CAGGATAATCTCAACAGACCTTGGATGCTCGAGCCGCCACCCCACATTGAAGAACCCTTGCAAACTGTATGGACAGGCAGGAGTCGGTGCCGCAGCTGTCGCGCGTACGAATACATGTAGTCAGGTGCGCTGCAGCACGAGAGAAAAAGTGCATATACATACGTTTGTGACATATTGAGCTTAGCGAGACACGGCGGAGATACCGTTCGGAGGGAGTAAGCAGAGGCGGGGTATGGTGGTGACCAGGAGGAAGAAGCGGCGAGAACGGAAGACCATCGACGCCTTCTATATATGCAGTTTCATAAAAGGAAACTCGCCGGGAGTGACTTTAGGGGAGGTCGAAGGAATCTTAGTGGGCAGACGGCGTGGATGCGATGGGCGGCGAGAAACACGTCTCGGAAAGCGAGACGGGTGACGTCATGTCATAACCGAGATCTGGGCGAGCGACTCATGTCGTGTTTAGTGGTATCAGGATAGGATCCAACTTATAATAACATACCGGTCTGAGTTACGATTTGCAATGCAATACCAGTCAGGTATCGCGTGTCCTTGCATTGCCAGCGTTCGCCATCCTGTTAGGCGCTTGCCTGGCAACTCATCCCTGATCTATAACCGATTTTTTTGCTGATGGTTGGTAGAGAACGCTGAGCCTGTGAAGAAACTTCATCAGCGGCGCCTTCGAAGTGATGTAGAGTGCTCACGCATGATATACTTTTTTCCGGCCTTTTCTGTGTCCACACCACTGTACCTTCAAAGTCCTCGAATCTCGTCTCGGTTGGCTGTGCCGCCCTGACATGCAGCATCTTCGATCTTGCCTTCCGATGACAAAGGCACGAAGCGAGTCTCGCCGGGTCCATCATCTCTATCAGGAAACGCATCAAAGTTGACGAAATCCCACAAGGACCACCCACCTATTCGAAGAGAACGAAGGGTCCTCGGACCGCCTGTATAGCAACATATGACATTGCAGACCGTTCTTTGGCAGCAGCGCTCGGCGGCGGTCTCGGGGAGCTGACTTTTGTCTCGGTTTGTGCCACGGCATCTCCGGGGTTCGGAGTGCCCAGCAACTCAACCGCCATCCTCGACATCGGCGGCGTCGGGGATGAAGCTCTGAAGCTCGAAGAGGCAAGCGAGCGGTGCCGCCGTGGAGTGAGAGGGAGAGGGCGAAAGTAGCAAGACGGGGACGGGAGAGCGGATATCTGATTAGATCGGGCTATTTGGCGGTGAGATGCAAGTTCGAAGCAGGCAGGCAGGACAAGTATGCAGTCCATGGCTGACAGAACGACGATCAGAAACCGAGAGCCGTCAGTGAACAAAGCCGATGTCCAACAGCGGCCGTGCCCCTTGCTTCTGCCGTCCACTTCAACTCTCACCCCCTCGCAGCGGTGGCGGGCTCCGTCTCTCTCGACGCTCCCCTCGACGCCCTCGCCAGTCATGCCCGCCCGGACTCTCTCGTCCGACTCAGAGCTCTTGTCGCCGCTGCGGTACGCCCCTTACGTCCAGTCCCCCCCTCTCGACCTCCCAGAGCCTCCGGGGCACGCAATGCAGAACGTCCATCCTGCCCACGCCCACATCTCGTACCGTCCATACCCGCCTGCCCCGGCCCATGCGAGCCTCCAGCACTTTCACCATCGCGGGGCGACGCCTCATACACAGCAGGACTATGTATATCCCATGGCGCCACCCATGCAGCGCACTGAGGACTTGGCCTGGCGCGTGCATCCCGTCGTCCCGTCCCAATGGTCCCCGCACTCGTCTATTGCCTCTGGCTGGCTGCCCCATCCTCCACAAAGGGTCGCTCCCATGATGCTCCCGCCGCCATTGCTGCATAAAGTTTGGATACTCGACTGCCAGACCTGCGGCACTTTTTTGACGAACAGGGGCATGAAGGTGTGTCTACCTTTCGAATGTCATCGGAGGCTGAAGTCTGACAGCCTCCTGCAGGCGGTACTGCTGCTGCGCCCAAGCGTACCGCTATACTCAACAGATGCTCTGCCAATCAACTGCTCGCCGTACGCTGTAACGGCAGAGACAACCGCCGCCGCCGCATCGTCCAGCAACTCACACGACCAGGCACACCTCCCAGCCGTCGCCAGAACGTGTGAGTGTCTGACCCAGACACTTTGGTGCCAGGGGTGCGGGACGGCCGTCGGGTACATGATTGTCACCCCCTGCCTCCGCTGCACGTCCTCCATCACGCCGAACAACAGATCGACGAACGGGCACCGTTTCGTGTTTTACTCGGCGGAAATAATCGCTAGTGAACGACACTACGTTCCTGGCGAATGTGGCATCAACGTCGACGCTCAATCTCCCGATGCGGCGCCCCATCACCCGACGCCGGCGACGTCTCCGCCGCGACGCTCGCGGCACGCCTCCGGTTCGCCTCGGTCCCAGCGCCATGTGCGTTCGAGCGCCCCGGTGCCGCCGCCGCGCCGCCGCGACAGCTCGGCCTCGAACTCTTTCGTCGAGCCGCCGTCCCCGCGTTCAGACCGCTCGTCTTCTCCTCCGCCACTGATACCGCTGACGCCTCCTCGCGCTACGCACCATTCCCGGCCGGGGCGGTTGCGAGAAGGGGAAGTCGTCTTCTGGCACCATCTGGCTCGAAGCGGAGAAGTGCCTGCGGTCTCCGACGACCCTCGGGCGCGTGCTGCCACCGAGGACGAAGCCGCTGCGGGGTCTGACTCAGCGTCGAAGACTAAGGCGGAGGCCAGCCAATCGACGGCCGTCCGCGCGAAGATGATTGCGGGTCGCTAATATTCGAGTTTTCTGTGATACCCTTAGAGTTCATGAACGTCACGCCTTGAATGCGGATCTTGAACGATGCATACTACTCCTTCCGCAGTCTACATCCCACGGACTACCTTAGCATTGTCGCCTACGAATCACGACCAATTCCCATACCCCTCGCGTCCGACTCTTCCGTGTAGTGATCTTAAGCCTTATTCTGTGCATATACTTTTGCCATTGTATCATTTCTTCGTCGTGTATAGCTTTACTTCGAGGTTTACCCGTGTATCTAGCGATGTATAACAGCCATCGATACCCTCACTCTGTCTTCACCAGCCTCTGGGCTCGGGTGGCCGTGGGCGCTGCCAAGTTTGGATACCGACGATCACCGATGGCGACCCACGCGCCATTAACGCCGCAACTTGGACTGGCACAGGTTTGAGATGGCCTGCATCCAACTACATCGCTGCCTTTGCTTACACAGTCCCCCGAGCTACGCTGCTGCTACGCAAGCTTCAAGTATCGATATTCATCATCTTCAGGATAGTACCTTTGTAGCCGAAAAAGCTTTTGACATCTCTAAGTGGTCGATCAGTACCAGTGCCTGCTAACCGATTCATGCCATGAGCAGGAGACGCAAGAGCCGGTGAGTGTTTACCCTAATAAAGTGATCTGTGTTGTTAGTGGAACACTCTTTTTGGATGGTGATATGCGGGAAGGGGCTTGGCCATCGATGCTTGGGCCGACAAAGACATGCATCACGGCCATTGTGTCTTCAAGGCGTACCGTCTTGTCTCGTTCATACAAGCACGCTCTATACTTTCTTTCTTCTGACCGCGACAGTCGGCGTCCTTTCGAATATGACTGACGCTATTATGTACTACAGCGACCAGGAGCAGGTAAGGAGGAATCTTCCACTGTGTTCGCGATCGAGGATATTGACATGGACATGCGCAGGTTCAACCTGAGCGTGCGGTCCCTTCGTCGAAAGGTCCCTCTGAAGCCACTAGCGCCAGTCGTCGTGGCCATGCCCGTAATGGTCAGAATGCATCAAACGGGGGAACATCAACGCAGGCTATAGCCACCTCGACGACACAACGACACCCTTCACAGAGTTCCATGACCATGACTACTGAAGACGAACCTCTATACCTAGGTAGTCGGAAGATTGCCTCTTTGGCCAAAGGCAAACAAAGAGACCTCGGACAAAGACATCATATCGGCCACAGTGGCACCGAAGGGCACGCCGGCCGTGGCGACACGCCGCAGGCAATGGTCCAGTCGGACTCTGGGAGCTCGCAGGGGTCCACGCTGCCCGCATGGAGGGTCCCGGGGTACGTCCCTGAGCATTCGCAGCCGAGCATGCCGCCTGCAGGCAGCGTCACCTCGCAATACCCCGCACCAACACAAAACGGAACAGGTGAGAGCCCTACCTTTTTGCATGCTACTCAGCAGGCTGATATCGACCGTGACCAGCCCAAGCGGGGGGTAGCCGACAGCAAAGAGCTCAAACCAATGGTCATGCGACGCGTCAGGACCACCACCACCATGCCCGCCGGTCCAACCACGCCAGCCCCGCGGAGGCGTCTCACCAGCAGGACGCTGAGATGCTGACAGTGCTGATATACGATCACCGGTACAGCGACCACGGCATCGCAGAGATCTTTGTCCCCACGTTCCGTGCTGATAGTGCACTGTGGGTTGACGCCCGAGACGTTGTGGACCAGCTGCAGCTCTCCCCTGGCAAGGTCGACGGTACGTCTACTCGTCTCTCTCCGTACTCTTTCTGGATCTCATCGTGTTCGTCTGGTTTCTGTAGGGCCTGCTAAAGTATATGTGATGCGCGGAGGGTGGAAGCAGTACTTCCTCCGTGTTGAAGCGGACGGGCGGACCCTGTCTGGCCTGGCCAACCTCAAAGTCGAGGAGAACAGTGTACTGAAGATTAATGTTGATTATGTATAGCCACTATTGTATTAAATACACTTAATCTCTGATCTCATTTCCAGATTCCACAATATGCACCACATCTGAATCAATATCTTCCTCCTCCTGAGCAAGGGCCGCCGGCGCAGAGGGCTGAACAAGGATGGTCTACAAACTCTGGGACGACCCGCATGCAGGCACAACCTGTGTCAGTTGATGGTCATTATCACCAGCAGCTCCATGCGCAGAGCCAACCTCGGGCTTCAGCAGGACGTAAACGCAGACATAGGTCATCAGGAGAACCGTTTGCTGGCACCCACGAGACTGGCATCTGGGGCGACATCTCTGATGCGAGTCACATCGAGCATCCGCCTTCAAGCGGCGGGAGTCCGGCACCACCGTCGATGGCGGCCCATGCACTCGACGCGCGGGCGCGAGATACCTCTCGGCTACTGACGTCCCATACGAGTGTCGCACCACAAATCGAGCAGGGGAGCACGGCGGACGATGCGTCCTCCGAATCGCCTCACCCAGCTTCCACACCTCACAGTTCGACATCGATGCTACACTCCGCCAGAGACGTCTTCGGAGCCGAACCCGAGCCACGCGCGCCGCCCCAGACTCGTCCTGAGTCTGGATCCCCCATCGAGGTCCGCTCCCCGATGCTGACCGATCAAGCTTTCTCGCCAGCCGCGCCGTCGATTCAGTTCTCTCCTTCGCCCGCCCCTCCTCGGGCACCCTCGTCGTTGCAGTCGACGCCGGACTCGTCGCCGCCGCGCCCGCAAGCCAAGAGGCCGCGGTACGACCACGACGATAGCGACTCAGATCTCGACGTCGACGCGCCGCGCGCAGGTCAGCCACAGCGACCTACCATCACAACCGCGCCCGCACCCGCATCGGGCTTCGGCAGGTTTGCGAGCGGGGGCACGACGTCCAGCTTCGGCCAGCGGGCCGCGGGTTTCGGCGTGCCGAGTACGTCGTTGCTGACGTCTAGCGCCGTGCGCACGGTGGGCCCTGCCCCCGTGGCAGCGGCGGATGGCGTGACGCCGCACCTGCAGACGCTTCTGCGCAAGGAGCCCGCGTACGACGCGTTTCTCAAGGCGCGGAACGCCGCAAACCTTGGCATCTCGGAGCAGGTCGCGCACTGGCAGTACCTCAAGCGCACGCTCGACCTGTATGTCGGGCGACCTGTACCTGGGGATGTGCGGGAGGCGGCGGGGACGGCGATCACGAAGGTGCGTGGTTTTGTTTGCGTGTGGGCTCTTGCTGGGGCTGGCATGCGATAGTGATGTGTGGTCTCGGTGCAGGAACAAGTCGTGCGGGCGTTCTATGTCGTGCCGGTGACTCGCGCGGACGAGTACGAGGAGGCACTCGCGCTGACGGGCCTCTACGGGCCAGGAGGTACTCGTGAGGAGGACGCACGCGTAGTGCAGATGTACCACGAGCCGTGCCCCGTGACGTCGAACGTGCAGCTTGGACGATACCTGGCCTTACTCAGATTGGTGCACACTCGGTGGGAAAGTCAACATGGGTCAGCGTAATACTATCTGCTATCACCATAATACTCTGTGCCCTCAGATCTGCGTGCTTGGCAGTGCTGTAATCCGAGCCAAACTGTGCAGCTAGTGCCAATCAACCTCATTATTAATGGTTGGTCAGCCGCTACTAAGCGCTTCATTACATACTGTACATCGACCACATCTCTTCCGTCGGCCTCATTGCCCGAGTTGGATGCCCGCACAGTACTCCTTTTGGTTCGCCGCTCACCCTGAGATTAGAAACACCTCAGTATTAGTCAGCGCTAAGTCAGCGGAGGAGGCTTGGGACCAAAGCACGCAATAGCCACGCAACTCGGTATATATACACGGAGGGTCTGAGCTGTATCTCAGAAACTCACTTCAGACTTCTTGTACCACTGCTCGTCTACATACCTCGCCCACTTCGCCATGGCCATCTCCAATACCACCACTGCCGAGCTCGTCTACTTCGTGCCACCCGCTGATGGCTCGAAACCGTATAGCGATATCATGAAAGACATCAGGACCGACGAGGGGAAGAATTGGACTCAATCAATACGTCAGTTCGAGATTGAGAACCTTCGTGGCAAGGAGGACAGTGTCTCTCTCGACACCACCGGCTTCGGCTTCTTCCGGCACCCGCAGAAGTACACCGCATTCACAGACGATGCCGAGATCGAGAGGGAGTACTACCCCGAGAGCATTGAGCTGGTGAAGAAGCTCACAGGCGCGAGCAGAGTGGTCCCATTTGATCACAGTACGCTATTCGCGTCTTAGCACACCTTCCATGTACTGACTGCGGATGATCTGCTCAGCCGTCCGCCGTCGTCGTCCTGGCGAGCTTGACGACAGCCCGCAAAAGCGTCAGCCCGTGCCCCTTGCACACGTCGACCAAACCAACGAATCTTCAGTGGCGCGTGTCCACCGCCACCTCCCCGCGAGCGACGCTCCCGAGCTCCTGAAGCACCGCTTCCAGATCATCAACCTCTGGCGACCGATCAACCACGCCGCGTGGGACTGGCCCCTCGCGCTCTGTGACTATCAAAGCATTGACGTCGAGAATGACTTAGTCCCCTCCACGCTCAAGTACCCCGACCGCGAGGGAGAGACTCTGAGCGTCAAGTACAACCCGAACCACAAGTGGAAGTACTTGAAGGGTATGGAGCCTGACGAGTTTGTGCTGATCAAGTGGTACGTCGTGCAAATCCTTCACCATGGTGAACCCTCGAAGCTGACTGCAGCACGCAGCTTCGACTCGAGGCAAGATGGGAAGACTGCCATTCTCACCCCTCACACCGCCTTTGACGACCACAGCAAGCCCGAGGGCGCGCCGCTGCGGGAGTCGATTGAGCTCAGGTTGCTCGTTTTCTACGATGATTAGAAATTCAGCGCAAAATATGTAGAGTTGTGCTGCGATCTGTAGTACTACAGAGGCTCCTACCGCGCTTCGTCACTTTATAGCTGTCTGGGTTCTGGGCCTTGAAACAACCAGTATAAATTGTACACGATTATAATTCTATGCTCAACTTGTATATCATGCTTTAATTTTGCGCGCGAGAGCGAGTACTGGCATAATTTCGATGTAACAACTGCGTCATGGTCCCCCAAAAAAAAACGGCTGACGACGTCAGTGACTTCGTGGCGCTTTCGGCCATCACCGGAAGCGTAACGTCTAGTTTCACGTGGCCTTGGTACAAGTGAGCAGTCCCTGGAGGTTGAAAGGAGACGTAGTCGGGCTAAAGTCAGGCAGATGTCTGCTCGAGCGGCGGTCGCGAAAAGTGGTCCCAGACTTGCAACGGAATGAGGTACAAAACGGACAAGAATAGGAGATTTGCGCCAAGATGTCCAAATTCGGATAATTAATAGCCGAAATCAGCGTAATTCGATCCGGAAACGGCACAAATCTGCCGGCGCGCTCCTAAGGGTTGCGTCCGTGCCTCTCGCCGTCGCGCAACACGTCCGTCTCGCCGTCGTCACCGTCGCAGCCAGCCATCGCTGTCGCAGAGAAAACTGTAGAATGGGCGTCGTTGATTTCCTTCCGTTCAGGACTACTCCTGCGTCGCATGTCTTGGGTAAGGGCATCTTCTCTGAAATACGTCACGTCCCTCACCTATACCAGTGACGGACTACCCCGTTTTCACCACTTTTCTCCTCGCCTTGGGTGCGCTCACGTTCGGAAAGTTCGTGTTCAAGTTCGCAGGAGTGTTCTTGCAGACGTTCATTCTTCCAGGAAAGAGTGTGAGTAGTATGACTATAAGTTTGGGGCATGCTGTGACAAAGCGTGTTTATTGTCCGCAGCTCAAAAAGTATGGCGCGGGCAAGGGAGCATGGGCTGTGGTCACTGGAGCTTCTGAGGGTATTGGACGCGAATATGCCCTGCAGCTGGCGAAGAAGGGTTTCAACGTCGTGGTTTCTGCGCGTAACAAAGTTGCTTTAGATGCCCTCATAAACGAAATCCGTGCGTGACTCGGCGAATACCCTGATAACACGTCCTAAATCAACACTACTTCTATTCAGAATCTATTGAGGTGTCAGGCAAGAAGATGCAAGCCTGCGCTGTGGCCATGGATTTCTCGAAGGTTGATGACGTCGCTCAATGGTCTCGCTTTGAGACGGCTCTTGAGGGCCTCGACATCGGTGTTCTCGGTGAGTCTGCGGCATTCATTACTCTGCTGTCTCGCGCTCACAGGATGGTAGTCAACAATGTTGGAAAGTCCCACTCGTTCCCCAGTGACTTTGTTGATGCCCCTGTGGATGAAGTTGACAGTATCATCGCTGTCAATGTTAACTCGCTGCTGAAGGTCACCCGCATTGTCCTTCCCGGTATGATCAGTCGGTACGTGTCGCCCCAAACATACCGCAGCAGCCGCTGAACGCTCTTGCCAGCCATCGGGGCCTGATTCTCGCGAGTGCCTCCTTCGCCGGCGTCTCTGTCGTCTCTCCCATGCTCGCACCGTATGCTGCATCCAAGGCCTTCCTGGCAACCTTCAACTCCGCGCTCGGTTCCGAGGTCAAGGGCAAAGGCATCGACGTCGAGACCGCCAACACGCACTTCGTCATCTCGAACATGTCAAAGATCCGCAAATCCACCCTGCTCGTCCCGCCGCCGAAGCTGTACGTCAAGGCTGTCCTCGCGAAGATCGGCCTGCCCTGTGGTGCGCTTTTCACCGGCAGGCCTTTCACTAGTACCCCGTACTGGAGCCACGCGCTCTTGGACTGGTTTATCGTACGGACACCCTGTTCTCTCCGCAAACTGTTGGCTTACCGTCTGCTTAGCATGTACTTGGCTGGAGGTCTGCTATCGCGGGCGTCGTCCACAACATGCACCGCGATATTCGCAGGCGTGCCCTCAGGAAGCTCGAGAGGGAGGCTAAAAAGCAGTGAACACGTCTGCAATATCGGTTGGTTCCACACGTGTCTCGATAAGTGATTAGCCCTGGATCTGTATACCCAGTGTGATGCATAATATATTAGTGCCGCATCTTGCAAACACTTGAGTGGAGAAGACTATTTGACTTTGCATTTAACTCAAGACGTTATAGTTACGATAATATCTTCGTGTCACGCATATAAAGTCCACTCACTTGTGTCGTCAAAGGATGGCAACTCTACTGTCGCACTAATAGATACATACAAGACTGACAAGCACAGCTAGGTTACATGGCGGGAAAAACAAGTCAGGGCAAGGACAATCGGTTTGACTACGAGATATGGGAGGGTCACTACCGTCCTGTTAATCTTAAGTAAGCGGTCGTCGTGTATAGTCTCTCATCGGACACACTCACCCAGTCACAGGACCACCTGCTGGACGACAGTCTGCGGTTGAGCGGCAAGCTTGTCGATACCGCTCGCCAGCGCGGCAACCAGTGCCTCGGCGGTTTTGCCCTGGGAATTCTTGATCCAGACGGTTAGGCCGGCCGCCAGGTTTGAGAACCCCGGGAAGATGATGGTGTACGACACCATGTTCTGCGTGCCCCTCGTCTGGGTTCCGTACAGGATCCCTAGGTGGTTCGGACAGGGTATGTCCAGGGGCTTGCTCCGCTCCGTGTCGCTGAGTCTCACATCCAGGGTGAAGTACTTGCGGTTCTCGGCCTTGGCTAATGTGTAGGCCCGGACGCTGGCGGAGAGAGCCTTGAGCTGTGCGGGCTCGACCTGGGGAGCAGGCATGGCAGCAGAAGTATTCAACAGTGGAAAACGAGAGAAGTGGTTGAAGGCTGAGGGATGCTATCCCTGGGGGGTCGGTTATATAGGTCTGCAGCTTGGCCCCTGCTGAGTTCCGGCGGCCTGCGGGGGTAAGACTTATCTTTGGCTATTTTTTTGATGCCTTTCTTTTCAGTAAGATCCCTTTGTCGTGCGTTCTGCTTCACGCTTTCGGCTGTGAGTCTGCCGCCACTCAATTTTTTGCCACTCGGCCACCGCTCATTTCTTCGGTCTATATAAACTGGGCCGGTGTCGGTGGCTCTTGTCGTCACCTTCTCTCCCAACTTCGCTTACAGCGATCCGAGTACACAATGGCCGAAGACCACGACTGGACCGAAGACGAGCTTTGTCACCTGCGTGCTCGAGACCTGGTACATTATCCTTTGGATCTTGCAAGCGTTCTGTCTTTCTGCCTTGTCGTCTTCTAATCGCGGATCAGGATCGGGCCAACCGTGTTCAGCTGTGGTATGTCCCTGGCGGCCCCGACATGGTGGTGAAGTCACTCGACCTTAATTCGACCGAGCTCGCTATCCTGAAGGTCCTTCTCGGGCACCGCTCCCCAAACAACCGTACCATCCCGACGGAATTGCTCCCCTGCGAACAGACATGTCTGGCGCTGATGCCAGCACTCAACCGCACAACCGGCTACGGCATTTGGTTCTTCTTTGAGAGGATCATCCAGTTTACTCATGATCTCATAGAGGTGGCCTCCTTCGCTGTGGTTGAGACAAATGCTTCGCTTAATAATTGTTGTAGGGGATTGAATTCATGCATTCTTTGGGCATCGCGCATTGCGTACGCATCGTTCCTTGTCAATGTGATATCCTTCTCATTTTTTGGCCGTTTAGGATGTCCACCCGAATAATATTGTGCAGGCTGTTCCCGCCGAGCAATATACGCCGTCAGTAGAAGCTGGGCGAATCTACCTGATCGATTTCGGTATATCTCGTGTCATGTCTGCGGCGCCTGCATCGCTCAGGGACGAGGCCATCGAGATCCAAGGCCACTTCACGCCTCCGGAGGGACGCGACGCGGCAGAGCCGTATTCTTACGATGTCTACTGTGTAGGATCCGCCATTAAAGCTGTCTGTCGAGTATGCAAGGCTCTACGTCAAGCATCGTGCTTCCCCACTAATCCTAGTTTCCAGGACACTGCGAACAATCTCTCAAGGGCCAATCGTGTACCGCCGTCGATGCGGGTCTTTGCAGAGGCCTTGACGGTGGTCGAACCATCTCGCAGGCCATCGATACGCCATGCCAGGATGATGTTTTCCCTCCTCCGACGCTGGCTAATGCTAACTCGTTGGGTCCATTGGCTTCTCCCAATTCCGCATGCGTGCGTCTCATCTCCCGTACTGGTGGTATCCGCTCCTGACCAAGCTGCTTCAATAGGGACCGAGTCGATTTTTATGGCTGGGAATTCATGTGTCGCATCGTGCTCTCTGCTGCCAGAAGACCACGCCAGCAGCCCGAGTTCCCTACTCCGGTACAGGACGAGGCCGACTAGACCCCCGCTTATATGTGCACTTCTAGTATAATCTTAATATTGAATGCGACACCTTCTCTACATCGCTACGTGTCATCTGACGAGAAGTGGAGATGCGGCATTTCCTATCGAGGTGAAATTGTGGCGCACAGTCGTCCTGGTTTGCATTCTCTATATGTCAGTGTCTCGAAGCAATTGGACCAGCTGGCCTGTGTCATGTATAATCAATTTCTCTTCCCAGCGAAATGCCGTTCATAGCAGCTGATCACACTAATTGGGAGCTGAGAGTGCACGTACGGATGGTAGTCAATGAAGTATCCGAGAGCCCTCCCGAGAAGCATGCACGGTAAAAGCGGTCTAGACAGGGTACGAGCGGGGCACTACCTTCCGCATGGAGTTTTCTTGCAAGTGGTGGAGGTAGAGCTGTCCTCGGAGCTTGCACTAGTGGAGTGCTCGTGTGACGGAATGGCCACATTGGCTTCTTCTCCCTAGTAGCTAAGCGTCAGTATTACACATTACGGTACGTAAACCCACCTGCTCATGTCGAAATATATCTAGATCCTGCAGGTGACCATAGCTGGAACTTTAGTGATGTGCGGGCCAGGGCTCAGAGCCGTGGTCACAAGGACAGTCCGGCGCACTGAACACGAAGGCTTCAGCGGCAGGAAGTTGGTGGGAATGATGCACGCAGACAACCTTGTGCGACGTCATCGGAGGTTACTGGCTTTTGCCGGGAAAGCTCTCGGGAAAACATCCGCAGGGAAGTACCACATGCATCCCCGGTACATCATTATGGTCATACTTTCCGTTGCAGCTACAGCATGTGCTCTCGGATGGCGGCTAGATATAGGTCTAAAAGCTCCGTAGATCATCTCCTGACGAATATATAATGGTACATAATATTATACAGTGAACCCCACTGATCCCAGCAGAAAGTATCTTGACAGCGCTGCCGTCATCTATTCCAAGGGGATAAAGAACGCATGCTCATTGAAGAGTGCCATCTGCTGGCTGCCCGGGCTGCATAACAGGCGTCGCTCTTGGCATTCGATGCAACCACGGTGCCACAGGAAGAGGTGCTGGCTCTCTGACTTCGGTCGCCGGGGACGGAGGCCGAATGTATCGTGGGGTGGGGGACATGGACTCGCGTAACTCTGGGGGAGGAATGTGCCTTGTGGCCTCGACCCATTGGTGAATGCGATCAGGTTCATCCTGAGGCAATATTAACGCTACCGGCGGTGTCACAGAAAGGAAACTTACCGATGACACATAGCTGTCCCTGTCCTTCTCAGCGTCCAGGAACTTGTCAAATGCCTCCATGGCATGCACACGCTCCTCACGCCTACCGCGTTCATAGCCTTCTTTGAAGCCGTCATCAAAGCCTACTTGCTTGCCTTCCTCGAAGCCGATCAGTCGGCCGGAGGCAACACCCTCTGTCCTACCGGCGTGTAAACCCTCGTCCTTGCCCTCTTCCAGACCCTCGGTATAGCCAGCCTCATACCCCTCCGCTCGCCCATCGTCAAACCCATCATCTCTGCCGTCATCGTAGCGTCTGCGGATCTCGAGCCGCATCCCCTCGAGACGGCCCTCTTCCCTCGCCTGCCACTCGCGCAGCGCTTGCTGGGATTTGCGCGCTATGTCTCTGGCGTCCGCAGCGGAATACTCAGCTTCGCTCTTGAGCCGCTCGAGCCGCTGAACGTCTGTTTCTGCACGACGAGCTTCACGCTCAGCAGCCTCCGCGAGCATTCGATAACGTGTAATCTCTTCGCGGGCACGTGTGGCCTCGAGTTCGGCGTGATGCCTCGCAGCCTCCGCGGTAGTAGCACGACTGAGAGCGTCGCGGGCACGGCCCTCTGCCGCACGCGCACGCTCCTCTGCGCTTTCCGCACGGCGCATCTCGCCCTCGAGACGGTCGCCCGTCGCGCGGAGGACGGCCTTCATGTGGTGCACCTGGCGCTCCTCCTCGGCAAGGACAAGGGTCAGCACGCTCGCCGCGTCGCTGTCCTTCTTGGGCCTGCGCACATCCTTGCTGCGCTCGCGCTCACGAGACCCGCTTCGTTGGGAGCTGGCGGAGGCCCTGCGAGATTTCTTCGGCGCGATCAGAGAGCGCAAGATACCTGGGTCCTGCAGCATGCCACTTAGCGGCGTAGGCGTCGAGGTTACCTCCTTTAGTTCAAAAAGTGGGTCCAGGAGGGCGCTATTCCTGCGGAAGTCATCTAAGCTTCACGCTGCAGAAATAATAGGACTTGAACTTACTCGAGATCAGTGTAACTACTGCCAGGAGAACGCTCCGACAGCTCAGCTGTCCTAGACATCGTAAAAGGACCTCTATACGAAGAATATGTAGCTCGTCGAAAGGAGGGTACCAGCCCACACGTTTAGCGGGTGCGGTGTGAGTGCAGGTTGCAAGTCTTAAAAGGGACGCCTGCGGAACGACATACGTGGATAATCGGACGAGTCCATGCTGCCTGCACGTGTTGAGGCCTTGATGGTAGATACCCTCGAGATATCCTTATCCTTCGACGAGGCCCTCGGGGAGGGTGGTAGGCAATAAAAGATTGCCGAGCTGCTGTGACAGACACGGAGCGCTACCAAACCGCCAAATTGTCGAAGCGCTCATCGTCGAAGGCGTGAACCTGAACCGCCATGTCCAACCGATGTGCTCCGCCACGTAGGTCATCTGCTTCACATGCGTTAACGTAACTCATACAAGCTTGGAAAGTTTGGCCCTGCATTTCCTGGTCTGCGGTTCATGACGGTATTGAGTCATCCATACGTGTACTCCGTTGGCATGTCATTTAACACTAGGCTCCTTCCGGCAGTAATGTCGAGTGATGTGTCGAAGTCGGAGAACAGGGGCGATTCTTATAAAGGTAATGTTTGTGGAGGGACGTGAGAAACTTAAAAGCGGTCGTGTGGTCATATAGCCCACTTTTCGCGACAGCCTACAAGCAGACCAACCCTCCGTTCAACCCCCCCTTTGCTCTATGAGCCACCTCAACGTTAAACTTCCTCCTCTTCGGACGGACACTGCTATCGCGTTGAATCGCCTTCAGCAGGATGGACGTCATACTGGCCATTGTGGCGGCACTGGCGAGTGACTCTTTTCTACCATTTATTTTGAGTTTAGCTCACCGGGTAGCCGTTCCGGATCTAGTAAACCCTTTGGCTTTGCCGCCCCCGAGCCCGGTCCCGGCAATTACAGGTCATGACCTCATGGCCATGTTTCCCCCGAAGTCGCCGCAGACGGTGCGCATGGGCAGCGCAGCGAGCTGCACCGTCTTCGCCCAACAGGAGCGGGCTTTTCTCTCGAGCCCGCCAACGGCGCGGGGCTTGCCGAGACACGACTCAGGCACTACGGACCGTGTGGAGACTGTTCATTCGGCGAAGATGAGCGCGCCACAGAGCTCAGCCCCTTCGCCGACGGCAGCAACCCTAAGCGGTAAACGTGTCCACAAACTGGCAGTGATCAGATGCTAAGGGCAGTTCACGCGCAGGGGATAAGCTTCCTGATGGAAAAGACGAGCGAGAGGTTACGGCAAACAATGATCGTCGCCTCGCTGGATACGGTCTTTCTTCTCAGAAGGGCCGCGCTAGCATGAAAGACTCGGGAATGCGGCGGTCTCGCTCTCGTGCATGCTCCGATGCGGCAAAGAACCAGGGTGCGCATGACACTCTCGCCTTCGGAGCTCGGCATCCCAAGCAGCCCGTTGACGAAGCCTTGCCTGTTGCTGACTGCCTCGGGAGCAATGGGAAGCCATCCATAACCGCTATTCACGCTCGCCGGCTCGACAGGGAGACAGGCCTCACTTTCATCGAAACCAACTACAAGAAGGGTAACGAAGCTCCATTTGTATTCGTGAACCAGGTTATGTGACAACTCGCTCGAATGCTCTCGCCTGAAGGGGGGCCAAACACTGAAACGTCCTATGTATCCGTGCTTTTCTCCATCCTCTGTAAATATTCTTTATGCATGTCAGTAACCGCTGATGCATGCCTGCGCCTGCGTGTATCCACGCTCTGTGAGTCTTCAACACGGCTTCACACTGTAGTAGACGAGTCTTGTAGCCCCAGTTAGAATTCCATTCGTATCCTTTCTACAGCACCTTCCCCATGCAGGCGATGACGCATCGTTTTACGATGACGCATTGCGTGTGATGGCGCATCAGATGCGCCACGCCGCGCGCGCTCGAAACATTAACATTCAAGCGCCGAGAGGCCATGGATTAGCGCCTATCAGCTGTCTTCACCCGCGACCGAGGGCACTTGGGTCGAACCACCTCGTCTACCACACGGTGCCGAGACCTTCAGAATATTTATTCTTCAACATATCTGCACCTCTTTCTGCGTATTTCGTTGCTCATACCCTGCAAACCCTGTTTACAAGGAACACGGCGCTCAAGCCACTATTGTGCTAGTAACACCGTCTCAGAGTCCCGGATTTGGCCCGCTCGAAGCACAGAATGGAGTCAACTGCAAATGGCATCCAGTTAATGGCAAAGCATGACGATGAGGAGACCAAGCGGCAGAAGAGGATAACATTAAAGGAGCTCAATGTCAAGCAAGCGGGCAAAGGTACGTGACTGATCCTCGTCTGCTGCGCCGAATTTCTGAACGGCATACAGAACCCTTGAGGAACCTGGACTCGTCCTTGAAGCGTAATACAGCATTCACAAAGCGGCTGAGGCAATCCTTAGGCACAGAGAATCATGATCAGCTGATGAAGGATGTCGAGGCGTTATCCCTCGAGAAGTACGTGGACGAACTCCCCGCAGGAGTGGTAGAGGGCATCTCTCGGTGCAAAACTGAGAAAGATGTTTGGAGTGCGGTAGAGGTGCGCGCTGGTACCCGATGGTGTAGTCCTTGTAGCCAACTCCTGGTGCCACACCTAGGTCATCTCGGCACTACACCGCCGTTTCCCTACAACCTTTACGCCAGCCCTTATCAGTGCCTTCAGTGCTGCGCTAACCGCACCCTCAAAGGCTGCTATGGCGGCGTTGAATCAAGAGCAACGCGAGAAGGAGGATACTGCCCGAGTGACACGACAGCGGCCTGTTCTGCGTGTATGCGCTGAACTCGCCCTTGTCGGAATTATCAGGGATTCACCAAACAGGAGCGGTGGAGAATGGATCATGAAAGTCGTTAGGGAATTGGTACGTCCTGTGTATCCTCCAGACAGCTGTTTTGCTATAGGTGCTTGCAGCTTTCAAACGATCCGACACTTTCGTCCCTTCCCCTGCTGTCAACTTTCCTCAAACCATATTCTCGCCCTTACCTCGGACTTGTACCACCATCGTCTTCCAAGCAAATATCCGCAGCTTCTGAGCCTGGAACTCTGTCAGAGGTGACTACTAAGGAAGCGAATGCTAAGGAGGACGGCAACATCTTGGCCAATGGTTCCGCTGCGCCAGCGATCAAGGAGGAAGATGAATTGGTCGAGAAGGACATCCGCGATCGTTTCAAGAAAATGTGTGAGGGCTACTTCGACAATGTCTGCAAGAAGCTCGTGATCGAACATAACGTCAGTCGAGGCTGTGTGCACCCCGAACCACGGAATTCATACTCGCTTTCTTCTTTAGAGGCTGCAAGAACAAGACAGACGGAACCACGAGGCATACATCCGGTCGGGAGAGATCTTTGAAGACAGGCAACAGGCGTACGAGAAGATGACCAAGAGCTATGAGAAGCTGCTCGCAAGTTGCCAGACGTACGTTTCCGTTGCGCCACCATGCTGTAGCATGTATCCATCACCCCTTTTCAGGCTGTCCGAGCTGTTGTATCTTCCCGTGCCGAAGCTACAGACTGCGTCACACAAGGCCGACTCTATTCAGATCGGTTCTAACACCGGCAGCTTACTCGGGGCCGACTCAGAGTTGAATGACGACATACGCGGCGGCAAGTGGGAAGACGAAGAAGAGCGCCGGTTCTTCGAGGATATCATTGATCTTAAGGACTACGTGCCCCGCGGCGTGCTCGGCATCGAGGACGAGGACAAAGATGATACGCACGGCGAAAGCAAGGAAGAGAAGGAGCAGAAAGAGAAGGAACGTGTCGAAGAGGAGGTTAGGAAACTGGAAGAAGAGCTCGCGGACATGGAAGTGAACGACAGTGTCAACGGCGCCTCCGCTCTGGAAAAGGGAGACGAAGAAGAGGGCGCAGAGGACGATGACGGGTAAAGCAATCTCCTTGTCTAGTTGTCCTGACTGAACTTAGTTGTCAGGGCGGCCACACCTACTCCCGGGTCGCCCAAGATATCGCCCCCTGGCACGCCGCAGATGGCTCCGCAAGGACCCTCACAACTGCTCACAGCCCTCCTGGCTCGCCTTCCAGATACAACAAATCGCGCCCTCATCGACCAGGCGGCGGTCGACTTCGCTTTCCTCAACTCCAAGGCTGCCCGCAAGAGGCTTGCCAAGGTATGTCACGTCGTCTAAGTCTCTGCCATTTACTTCCTCATGTATGCGCCGCAGTTCATGAGTCAGACACCGAAGAACCGTCTAGATGTCTTGCCTCATTATTCGAGGCTAATTGCGACTCTCAATAAGTATATGCCAGATATTGGCTCTGAGTTGGTCTCCGTGGTGGGTCCGAATGTCCGGATCCTCAGTATGCCACGCTCACACCCACATGATGATAGCTTGATGATGAGTTCCGTTATCTTCAGCGCAAGAAGAATGTCGTGAAGGAGCTTGCAGACGTGCGACGCAAGGTCAGAACCCTACTTTACTGTGAGTTGCTGGACTATCTCAGCTGACCGGCGCCCCGCTAGAACGTTGCCTTCCTTTCCAACCTCACAAAGTTCAAGGTCGTGCCGCCGCACGTGATCCTGCACATGTTCAAAGTTTGTCTCGACGATTTCTCAGGCACGAATATCGAAAACATTGCGATGCTACTGGAAGGCTGTGGGCGCTTTTTGCTGCGCAGCGACGAGACAAGGCAGCCGTTCAGCAAAATGGTACACTCGGCGATTTCGTTGCGTCTCAACGACGTCTAACTTTTGTTGGCAGGTCGAGCTCATGAGGCGGAAGCAGAGCATGCAACATTTAGATCAGCGTCAGCTGCTACTCCTTGAGAATGCGTACTATCAGGTGCGCATGCGTACCTGTTCCTGTGCCACGCCGGCTTTCTCACGAGAACCCTTGACAGTGTAATCCGCCTGAGCGCACAGCCATTCCACAAAAGGAACGCACGCCAATGGAGCTCTTCATCCGTCACCTGATCTACGACGTCCTCACGAAGAAGACGATCGACAAGGCGTTACGCTTGATACGCAAGCTCGATTGGAACGATCTGCTCGTACAGAAAACGCTGCACAAGGTGTTTACGAAGCCCTGGAACATCAAATATGGCAATATTGCGCTCTTGGCGATGCTTACGTACGACCTCCAACGGTACTACCCTGCGTTCTCGATCGCCGTCGTCGACCAGATCCTCGAGGATATTCGGCGTGGTCTTGAGCAGAATGTATACAGCATCAACCAGAGACGAGTTGCGGCGTTCAAGTATCTCGGCGAGCTGTATATCTACAGGCTCATCGGGTCGAGTATCATCTTCGACACACTTTGGACACTTGTTACCTTTGGTCATCGTATGTCTACTATCTTGTCTTCGCGCCAACTGCTCGTCTGACTGTTTCTGTAGCTGAGGGCAGGCCATTACCTGGCCAACCGTGCCCGATCGACATGCCAGACGACTTCTTCCGCGTTCGACTCGTCTGCGTGCTCCTCGACACCTGCGGGATGTGCTTCGATCGCGGCGCGCAACAGAAGAAGCTCGACAACTTCTTGACGTTCTTCCAGCGATATATCCACTGCAAGGATCCGTTGCCAATGGACATCGAGTTCATGGTTTCCGACTCACTCGAGGTTAGTGATATATAATGACAAAACTCGGCAAAATTCTAAGGAATTTATAGGCGATTCGTCCAAGGATGACACTCTTCAAAAATTTCGAGGAGGCTGCGCTGGCCGTCGACGAGATATTCAACACTGCCTTGCAGGACGCCGGAGGTAAGTTACATTTGAAGCCGCAAATAGGAGCAACGTTGACCTCTTCATTCTGTAGTAGCCACTGGTGAAGACAGTGGTGATGAAGAGGACGAGGAAGGTAACGAGAGGAGAGAAGGGCACGAGGATGAAGATGTCGAAGCGCCGAACGATTCACCGGTAAGCTGGCCGCATTTCCATGTTATCCATGTAGTCTGATGACATGATTAGGTTGACGAACGACCACCATCACCGGATACCTTTGTCTTGAAAGCTTCGACCACGCAGGAGAACCTCGGCCCGTCAGAAGAAGACACGGCCGAGTTCGAGAAGGAGCTCGCGAAGATGGTCACTGATAACGCCGAGTCGCGGAAGGTGGACAAGAAGACCGCCCTCGCTCTTTGGGACCAGACTGTTCCGCCGCCAGTCCTGCGCAAGAAGCGCGCCGAGGATGCTGAGGAGGTCCAACCGAATGCCGCACAAGAGCCTAGCGTGATGAAGTTTACACTGTTTACGAAGCGTGGCAACAAGCCACAGACGCGCGAGCTCGCTATTCCTGCCGAGTCTGCTCTGGCAGTCCAGACGCGTACAGCACAGATGCAAGACAAAGTGGAGCAGCAGCAGCTGAAGAGGCTGGTTCTGAATTACGAGCAGCGCGAAGAGGCCGAGGAATTACGAGGTAAGGTTGATCTTTCCCAAGTGTACACTCTGCTCATCAAACGTCTTCTCGTAGCCTTGGAGGCACGCAACCGCGCCGGAGCCATCAAGATTCGTTACGTCGGATAGTGCTTAGCCACTCGGTTGCTATCGCCCGTTTGCAGCGCCCAGCACGATCTCTCAGGTTGAGGCCTTCTGGGGCTCCATTGCCCTGGCTCAAAGCCATTCGCATGCGAGCATGCATCGGCTTGATGGCTCCCCAATGCCTCCGCCCAACATGGCTAGTATAGACTCGTACCTGCAAGTCCTAGACGGTCCGCACTCTGTCCCTTGACTGCACTCTTGTCTAGGATGACTTCTCTCCCTCGGCGGAGAATAGTATACGTGGTTATCGTGTAGTTTTCACCTTTGTATCGTTGCACATATTCAGTGAGAAATGTTTAATGTAGCAAAATGACTATTTGGCTCCAGCCGAGCGCCTAGCGCGTTAAACAGGCATCCTCCCTTTCTCTCGCTCTTCCACTTTCGACGTGCACCACCGCATCCTGGCGATGGTCAGCGAACGTCTATGGAGGACGAAGATGATTATGACAACTATTTCCCTCCCATTGATCTGAGCGCACAAGTGCTTGCCGAGCTCGACTCCGTTGAGCGCAAGTTTGCAGCGACACGACTGGCCAAAGAACCTGAAGAGCCCCCAAAACCACCACCTCGAAAGAAGCAGAAGATACAACACAGCAGCCAAGAGGACAGCCAATACGACTCGGTACCGATTGTTCTAGGTTTTGGTGGAAATTATTTCACCCAAGGTCGCGAAGAGACTAATCAGCGACGCGACCCGCCTATACCCCAGCAGACGAGACAAAGCACTGCCATTCACACGAGACCTGCACCTGCGAAAGCATCTCCCAGCTATGTATCATCTCCTGAGGCTCCGCTTCAGCCGATACAAGAGGCGCAAGCTCAGCAGTCGCGCGCATTGCAGCCTGTTAGACAGTCCAGTACACCCATGTTAAATGGTTCCCCGCAAGTCGCGTCCCGGATGCAGACACCACAAGTCGTGGCTCACTCGAAGCAGAATACCTGGAATCATCGATCTCCGAGCAACAGTGCAGTGGCAGGTCCATCAAGGCCGTCGCCTGAACCTCTGTCTGCCGGACAATCCTACGCCCAGGGACAACGACCGCATGCCATACAACAGCTTTCCCGCCAGAGTTCTGTATCTGTTACGGTACCTGCTCGTCATACGCACATGGCCCCTGTCAATGCCCAGAATCAAGTTGAGCACCAGGTACAGCGGAATTCGAACGCACCCGTCATGCAGGCCCGAAATAAACTGCCACTTGAAGCGCAACCGCTAAGCCCTTTAGACAGGCAGTCTTCTAACAATACCCATGTTCCCCAGCAGAGCGCACGGCCTGTTCATGGCGGCAAGAAACCTAACCACGCCTCCAATCTGGAGTTGAGCATCCTGAGGGCACAGGTCGCAGAAGTACGTGCACATACGCGTCATTTTGTGCTATGTCGTTGATATCTCTTGATAGCTCCAAAGCAGGGTAGAAGTCGCGGAAGAGGCGCGATATTTGAAGGAAGGCGAAGTAAGCATACTCAGGGCCGGTATCACGAAAGTGAGTGCGTGCAGACCCATGTTTATGCCACTCGCTAACCTATTACAGCATACGCAAGATCACATGGCTGAGATTGCACGTCTTCAAGCTGCAAGAGAAGCTGCGGAGGCCGCAAAATTGCAGCTTGTGAAGGAGCAGAAGGAAGAGGTCGAACGACTCAAGACTCAGTACACCTTCCGTGTATGTGCTCATTCTACTGCCGTCGGTTTACTCTCACCTATCATGCGCTTCTCAGCAACACGAATTGGAGACCTCTTCGCGTAAGCCACCATGGTCTGCACAAGCCAAGAAGATCCAGAGCCGACCTATTGGCTCCCCGATCGGGACACCTCTGCAGATGCGCGCATGGAATCCTCCTCGGATCGCCCAGCCGTCAAGTCAAGTAGCGCAGACCCCTCGAAGACCTCGCTTTGGTGAGATAATTGTCAGCCCAAAGTTTGCTCATCCGAAGATGCTATTGCCCCCACCCGGTCCGGTCCTGCCTGGTTGGCAGAATTCGTTCGCGCCGTCCGCCAAGCCAGCATCGCAGTTGGCAAAAGACAAGGGCAAAGGGCGTTTGCGGGAGCCGACAGTCGCCGAAGATGACGGACAGGCATTCTTCGCGCCCGCCTCTTCACCCCCGAGTCCAAGTCCGTTCAAAGAACATCGCCCGCTGCCCGATACTACTGCGGTAGAATATGTCGCTGTATCGTCAAAGTCGCCTGCGTCGGCCCCAGAACCTTCAACCCAGGCACCACTCCCTTCAGAACAGGAAGACGAGGACATCAAGATAGACGTTAAAATGGTGGACGACGAGATGGAAGGCTTCAAGACGGAGGACGTCACTGCCGGGACGCAAGAGGAGGAGAGCCATGAGATCGAATCACCAAACTGGCGAGACGAAGTATGTCTCCGCCATGCTCTAAATGACGCCGTTCACTCATTATTTGCCTCAGTTCCAACGTCTACTGTTCGCGCACCGTGCACCTGGATCAGATATGCCAACCTTGCATTCACTGCTCAATTCATCCATACCAGCCTCGGCGGCGGCAGACCTACAAAAGAAGTACACATCGATTTGCGCAAAGGTAATGGAGCATCTGGGGTTGTCATTTAGACTAGGAGATTGGGACGCCTACATTCAGATATTCTCTAATATCATCGCCGAACTGGCCTGCATTCTAGCCACAACCGCGGTGGTGTGTATCCGATCATATACTTTTCGGCTGAATGGCGCACTGATGAACTTCCTAGCTCTCGCGGCTATCTGCTCTGTTCGATTTGCTCCGAACGCTATGTTACACGATCCCTTCTTTCACTGTCGCATTAATGACTCCGCCCGCTGACAATGCATCGCCACGTATTCTGACCGCAATATGCGACGTCATACGCACCTATGGGGAATACGCAAAAATGGCGGAGAATGCTGACGAGCGTAATGCGCTGGTACAGTTAACATTTTCCTTACTGGAAGCATTGGCATGGAATATCCCAGAAGACCTAGTTTCCCAGTACGTAGTTTTGAAGAAATATGATCCATTCACTCACCCTGCTTCAGTTTGTCGATCGTCATCCGGCGTCACGAATTTATGTCTATATTTATTACTCGCAACCAGCCTGTGGGCATAATGACGCACTCGGTGAAACTGCTTGCTTTGCTCGCAACGCGTGAGACCAATATAAGCTTCGCCGTGACAAATCAGAGCTAACCTCTCTGGATAGATCCTACTCTCTTCCGTCACCTGCTGTCGCCACCAGAGAAAGGGGAGAGCGAAGAAGCTCAGAGCAAAGACCTCGGGAATCGGCTCTTTCGCATTCACTCGCTGTGCTACTGTCTCATAGAGCCCTGTCGAGATGGTCCGGAAGTAAGCCGTTCTGCTCTTGACAGTCTTGATACTCACACTCTATCGTACAGCACAATGAATTGAAAGATGCGATCATGACATTCTTCACCACGCTCTCACTCGCGCATCCGGATGCGCTCACCATCTTACTAAAATCTCGCGCCCTAATACCATCTGTCATCATATACCTATCTAACTTAGCCACGCCGATCTGGGAAGAGGACGAGGAGCTGGTGTCTTCGCCAGAGGAGGCCTCCCGGTTAGTGCTTCTCGCCGTGTGGCAATATCTTGCGTAAACTAATATTCATCCCAGTCTTGCCAGAAAGATCCTTCGTGCTATTGCCCTGTTATATTATCTAATATTTACACCCGACCCACCGTTCGACCTTCGACATCAGTTGCATCGGCCGCCTGCACGTCACCTGATGTCCATTGCCCATGTCTTCACAGTCACTATGAGCCGCATAGGCTACACGAGCCTTCCTAGCTGGCTGAGTGAGGAGCAGAGGTCTATACTCTCGCAAGCAGTCGGTGAGAGATGCCCAGTCATATTATATAACTCGTCTCAAGTCATCTCGTGCGCAGGCATGTCGAAACTGCTTCTCGAGCAAGTCGTTGACGGTCCTGAACTGGACGCCATATGGACTGCGTTCCATGAAGATGATCCCCCGGCCGGAGGTGGGGATGAAGACGAGGAAAACGAAGCCCGGCTGCTGCACCCTGCTGAGGACACCGACCAGTAACATATGTTCTCATTACTCGCGCGACCCCGTAATACATAGATGTTCTTGGTTTGCCGAATGCATCTTCCTAGGCCTGGACGGACCGACCCTTATGCAGCTGCTACAACGAATGGGCGTGAGTCGCAGGGCTTTAATTACAAATCTATAGCCAAAGCTGAAAGAGACGGACTACGGCAAAGCGACTCGAAGTGTAAGCACAGAATGCTGAGTGACTAGATACCGCGCTGCAGCCGAGAGCGATATCGAAGCGCACCCTCTCGGCATCGTGTATCGTATATCGTCTCATTGCGATTATCTCCTCCCCAGTGCATTAGGCCCGCCCGAAGGGACGTGTCATTGCTCTGACAAACACCGACAGAATGTCAGTCGCGGGCGAAAGGGTATATAATACCTGTAGAGTGCATGCTTCGCTGAGCGTACAAGAACATACACAACCCTGTCACACGTCGTTCAGGCTTGATCATACAATGTCTGCGACGATCTCAGAGCCCACGTCCACCCTCCGCCAGGACCGCGTCCGCGCAGTCGCACTCATGTACCCAAAGGAGGGCGTTTCCTTTGAGGAGTTCGACAAGTACTGGCTTGAAGAGCACAGCAAAGTATTCACGTCTATCGCCATCGTGAAGAAGAATCTTACGAAGTACGAGCAGGTACACCCGTTGTTTCCTCGTCACACGAGCTCAAAGCTGACACGAGACACAGTTTCACTTCAACCCGACAGTAAACCAGGCCTTGCAAACCCAGGGCTCTCCGGCACTGCCACACGCCGGGATGGCCATCTTCGAGGCCGAGTCGTACGAGAAGCTCATGAAAGTCTTTAAGGACTCAGAGTATGTGCGCGTCGTCATGCCGGACGAAGAAAAGTTCTTCGATCGCTCGAAGAGCACGGTCCTCACTGGTCCGTTCGCGACTATCTTCGGACAATGAAAAAGGTAGGTTTCCTCAGGAGGTACAGGCCACAGAGAGACTGATCCGGTAAAGTTCGACTGTCACCAGAAAATCCGGAAGAAAATCAAAGCCGTCAATCATGTTCGCGCCCCGTCATCCACGGGCGGCAGCTCCTCTTCAACCACCGAGCCTTTCGTGTTTGTGTCTCGGGTTCGAGATTGCGCGCGGCGGCCGTTTGTCTCGTAGATAGGATGCAAGTTTCGCCTCGAAATTTATTGCTCAATCGACGATGTACCCTTAGCTTTAGTCGGCGCAGATTATTAGTACACGCACATTGCATTTTAGGGGTCAAATACCTCAGCAGATGACGCGTTATGTGACGTGCGAACCTCATCGACCCAGTCCGTAGTGGGTCGCACATCGACGCCTCCGAAGTTCTCGAGCCAGATCTGCCAGAGACATTCAGCCCAGTTCGCCGGGCGTGAAAGACCAAGGAAGAACCGTTCTGTGCACCAGACAGGATTGTCGCGCCCCATGAGCACGGGCGACAGAGGCGAGAAGGGAAATGTCGTTCGACCACGCAAGCTGAAGACGACAGGCTTGTCAATGGAAAGGCTAGAAGATGATGAGACCGGCCGTTGGAAACTTTTCGGAGGCACGACGGAGAGGTTTCCTGGAAATAAAGCCACCGTTGAAGTCTGAGCGAAGACGCGAGCGAGGTTCAAGTACGCGTTCGGATTCCCAGTGGTCCCAGGCGCGAGGTATAAGACGTGCGCGGAAAGCTTATGCTTGGTCGAGGATATCCGGCGAAAGCCTGCCAGTTTTTTAACTAGCTCTTGCGATTCCAAGGATCCTGGTACAGTAGCGATGGTGACAAGTACTGACATTGGTCCTACCCATGGCGTTGAAAAACGCAAATAAGCATTTCTCTGCGCGGAACGCACCTTTCCAGCGAGAAGCCCACACGGATAATGCATCAATATTTGCAGCTTCAGTCCATAGACAAGCAGTAACAGAGCCAGTATCCACGTCTGCTCGCAGGACGTGAGGATCCAAGGCGACTGGATGGGGGTAGATCGACGTAAGCTTGGTAAGGAGGTGGTCCATCGGTAAGGGCTGCAAAGGGGACACCTCCTGCATAGATCCTAGAGCGTATAGCACGTCGTCAGGCGAGACGTAGTCGTTATCTTACATCGGTGACTTACGTGTGGGTTTCAGGGTCACTTGGTTAGACATAGGGCTAAAGAAGAGTCCACAGAACAATTGCCAAGAAAGAAAGCAGACGCAAAAACCACAGTAGAGAGCCAAGAGCCATCTGATCCGATTAGACAGTCGTTTCGAGAGGGGCTGAAGAGAAGCGTTCAAGAGTCCGGGGCCAGCAACAGAGGCCCTTCTAGGTTTCCAAGACGCTGTGTCGCTCAATAGAGAGAGTCGCTTGCCATTGTCGCCACTAGGTCGTAGCAGATGAGGCTCAGTGCTGGGGAACCATGAGTCGACGCCGGTCATCTTCAGCCGTATGGATGGCTTTCTTTCGTTTCGCGGCCGTTTGTTCATATCCATACAGCCAGCAAGACTAGACGGGATGAACGGGGTGTAAGAGCAACCTCGGGTCCCTCGTTGAGCGGTTCTGGTTATCCATAACTAGACATATCGTGTTAGGAAACTAGAATTTTAGTCCAAAATTAGACTGTTTTGGGTTATATTTTGTATAAATAGTTTTTTCATTGCCAAGTTGCCGGCTAGTCTCGTCCCCAGCCATTCTAGCTCACCCGGAATACTCCGGGCGGACCGCCTGGCGGACTTCGAAAACCGAAGTTCGGTCCTGACCTCGAAGTCCGACGCAGTCTCGCTCGGCTCCGTCCGAGCGCTGCTGACGCGGATGGTTTACGAGACTGGTTGCCGGCAAGAATGCTTCAATCAGCTCCCCGGCGGCGGGCACTCAAGTGAATCACTACTTACATTACACTCATCTCAATATGTGAAACCTCTTACTTCTGTGGCACTGACAAGAATAGGCTAAAGCATCGTCATGATCCATCCCACAGCTCGCCTCGTAGCAGGGCTTCCAGTGCTCTACTTGGGTACTGACTGGTGACCAGGACTAGCGAAGCTTTGTAGCCTTCAGCGAAGACAAGTAAATCCACCGTGAGACCATAGTGCAAGAATCGCCGCCCAGTACCAGGACGGCGCGGCAAAATGCAGATGCATTGCTTCGAGCAACGCACCACACAGTTCGATGGTAAAGGTATGTGACGATATCGCGTGCGACACGTTAGGCTCTCTCACGTCCGTATGATGAGCAGAGGTCGTCTAGCACTAGAAGCACGGACAAGGGTTGTCGGGGTCCTACCAAGCTCCAGCGTATTGAATATGAACGGGAACTGGATACTTAGGTTAGAGGCAGCCGCCGTCTCGCTTGGCCTGTCCACTCTGGGTTCCCGGTTCCCGGGCTCGGAAATCAGCTACGTCACGCTGATCTGATAAACCTTTCAGACTGAGCCAGCGGCCTATTCCATCTCGTTTCAAATGTCCCCCGTCGTGGGCTAATTGGCCCGCAACCATGGACGCTTCTCTCTACAGGGACCACGTCACCTCACGCGGGGTGAAGTATCATTACTGGTCTTCCCCTGCCGAGGGCTCGAAGCCGACGCTGCTGTTCTGCCATGGATTCCCGTCTACGTCCAGAGACTGGCGGTTCGTCGTGCCGCTCTTCAAAGAGAAGAGCTTCGGCGTGATCGTACCAGATATGCTGGGCTATGGTGATACCGACAAACCGGAAGACCCTGCTGCCTATTGTGGTAGCCTGCTCATTCAGGACCTCGTCGATATTCTAGACAAGGAGAATGTGGACAAGGTTATCGTCGTCGGCCACGACTAGTGTGTTTGCTTTACTCTTGCCCAGGGTGCCCGGTGTCAATGTCTTAACCTTGTCTTAGGGGAAATTACCCTGCTTCGCGTTTTGCAAGCTTCCATCCGGAACGCGCGCTGGCATACGCCTACTTCTCGGGCTTTTACATCTCTCCATCGCCCGGATTCGACCTGCAGAAGTTTCTTGAGTCCACGAAGGCGGTCGGGGGACGCTATCTCTTCGGCTATATTAAAATATTCGGAGCAGATCCTGAAGCTGAGAGGGTCATTGAAGCACACGTACGGATGCCCTTCGCTGTTGCCGAGAATGAAACCTAACCTTGTTGAAGATCGACTCCTTCATTAGCCAATGGTTCCCGCGGGACCCGATAGTGTGGAGAGACTATATCTCTCCAATTGGCGCGCACAGGAGGAACTTACTTGCGGACCATGTGGTGCCGATTGCATCGTATATGACGGAGGAGAATATCAGGTACTTCAAGGAGACGTTCGCCAAGGGCGGCTGGACCGGTCCACTTAACTGGTACCGGGCAATGGTGCATGGACGCTAGGCAAAGGACGACGCCAGTAAGCCAGCGGTTTGGGAACGCTATCCAACATCTAATCACGATGCTCGTAGAAATCTCTCCTGAGGTTGCCTTTCCACCTATCGAGGCTCCTATCTTCTGCGGAACGCCGACGAACGACTATATTTGCCTACCTGTATTTCTCTATGCAACCATGCGGTCCGAGGCGATGAAGAATCATCGCGTCACCTGTAAGGAGTTTGACAGTGATCACTGGGTGCTCTTCACACATCCGGACGAGGTGGTTCGGGAGCTTCTTGCGTGGATTGAAGGCTTCACACAATGACGTAACCCGGGTCGCATGCAGCATTGCACAGGCCGAAGCCGCTAGCATGGGATCTGCGGAGGGAAAAGCGCTATACGTAGAGACATTGATAGTGTAAACTGGGAACGAGGTAAGAACAGAGTTACAAAGGGAAGCAAATCATGTGGTATCTGTCCTGTCGCGGTAGCATTAAAGCTTGACATCGACAATATCCACGATAATGGTCAATACATGCACCGGAAGTAAGTCGGCCAGCACAGGGCTCGCCTAGGTCTTTGACTGCACGCCCCTGTCCAGCATAGTCGCGAACTCCCCCGCAAACACCTGCGTCCTGGCACGGTCAATTATGCGCCGCTCGTCGGGGAAGACGACGCGCTCGTATTCCGGGTGCGAGAACACCTCTAAGATTTTATCCCACGACTCTGCTTCGAAGGTGGCCATACCCCAGAACGCAGTGCCACCCGTTGAGGCACCCATCGCCGTGGCAAACTTCTCGCCGAGCTGGTTGTCAAAGTGAAACTGATACAAGCAGCGATTAAACTAGCTAAATAAACGAAGACGAGCTACGCCATACCTGCTCGTATTTTGTCAGGTTCTTCTTGGCAACGTCTAACGACATGAACTGCTTCCCATGTTCATGCAGCCAATACCGGTGGAAGTACTGGTTCGATATGCCCGCCGCAGGGAAGAAGAGGGCGGCGTAGCGTACGCGGTTTGGAGTGAGAGTAGCACGATATGCTGACTGCATCGAAAGCCAAAGGTGTGCTGGGCCTTGCTCCCTCCGCTGTTCCTGTAGCTTTTGAAGTCGCCCTCCACAGCATCCCCGGGCCGTGTGGCGGCTGCCAGCGTGGATCCGGGTATGTCGGTGGGAAGGCATCTACACAGCTCGTGAGCGGCGGTCAGAATGATAAGCAGTAATGGAAGTTCATGGGTCTGCCATGGCTGATAACATCTACTGGGATATGCCACTCAAGCTGCATCAATCTCAGGAACCGGAAGCGGGAACTATTGGGATGGGGGCTTGGATACATGCTACAATGCTGTTCAAGCGTGATATATGCAATAAGCTATTCGTGGGAAAGCGCACCTATAGCGAGGAATGAGTAACCCTACCTTCCTAGGTTCGCGAAGTCCATGAGAAACATGCTAGGTTTGATGTTTTTGCTCTGAGGGCAGTAACAAGAAGCGAATACAGGGTGCACCGATGTTTAGCCTCAAAAGCGAAGAATGGTATGACGGACCGTGACATTCAATCGGGGCTAGGAGTTTCTGTATCAAGGGCTGTCTACGTAAAGAAATGCATGATGCGCGGAGATGAATCAGTAAGAGACTTTCCGCTGTCCGAGCATGTTCATTTGACGAGCTATGGGTATGCAATAATAGTCTTAGCGTGATTTAACTTTGTAGTGCCGTTACACAGGACGGTGAGCTGAATCATGCACGAATAGAAATATGTCACGAACGCAGGTCTTATACTGGGTTCCTGAGCGGGAACGTATGAGGATGATAGGCCAACGGGAAGTCAGCACGCAAAAGATTGCGGCAGATTGACAAACACCCATGTCATCTGAAAGACTGATTGAGTTCAGTTGCAAACTGTCCAGTGAACAATAATGTTCGGCTCTTGTCTAAGACTACCCTTGTCAAGGAAGACGACCTGCTGATAGTCCTGGCGACTGAAGACGTTCATTAATTTGTCAAAGAATTCTGCCCCGAGAATTATGATACTACAATAGAACTTGGCATCTAACACAGAGACGAGGCTGCGAACTGAGTTGTAATCAGTGTTAGTCTATAGGCACGGCAGAGCCAGGAGCAGGACTAGCATGTTCGTACTTCATTGGATCCATCTTGACAATGTCCTGTAACACGAACAGCTGATCATGCTCATTCAACCAGGAGGCATATCTTTTCTCGGAGAACTTCTTGGAACAGGGGAAAAGCTGAGACGAATTGGTAGGCCTGCTTGTACAAAAGAATATGGTTGAAGTGGCTGCTGCTGAACATGACTCCGTCCCAAAACAGGTCAGAGGCTCGTGCATAACGGGAATTGCCGGACCGCTGCTTGCACCCGGCCGTGACGCCGAAGGCAACCTGCAGACGATGACGATTCGTCTGGTCCTGTTCGACGCGTTCTCTACACTGCTAGTCCCTCGTCTTCCGGTTTACGTTCAGTACTCACAGACATTCGAACCTTATCTCGGCGTGCTTGAGCCAGAGAGACTGAAAATTTCCTTCAAGATCGGTAGATGGCACCTGATTTGCGAAGCAGACACACACTGACTGAAGCTACATACCATCGCCTGTAAGCATTGAAGCAGCTGCAGAATGAAAAGCCTGCGTACCAACACGGTGCCCAAGGATGGTGGGGAGAGGTAATCCGGAGAACTGCCATCGGGGCTGGTGCTGACTCCTCCGGTACGCTTGCCTATCTCGTCCGCGGAGCCTGTTTCTAAATCCATGATCAAGCCGTCGAACAATCCTTGGACAGGATTGTACCTAGGCTATTGGGTCGCTTTTCAGGGAAAGAGGGGTATAGGCTTTTTGACGACTCAGTTCCTTGCTGTTTGTATTTCGCGCAAATATTCCGGAGGCTTCGGTATGAAACGATACTTCAGTGCGGAGCCTTAAAGCAGACAATATCAAGACCGGCCTTGTGAGTAATACCGACACGCGAATGAGTGCGTACCTTCAATGTCGCATTCATTGACAGCCTAAGTATTTGCCACTACAGGATTGGTCATCGAAGACTTAGGCATCTCACCATTCCTCGATCCTGTGCTCCTTAGTGAGGAAGAGCGCGTAGAGAAACCTTCTCTTCAAATATTCCTGCGGGCATGCGACCTTGCGGGGGTCCAACGAGATGAGGTCCTTCATGTAGGCGACGAGTTGAGAGCGTGAGTATTTAATGCTGGGTACTCGAAATTTACTAATGACGGCTGGAGTGACTACTACGGGGCGAAAACTTGTGGATTATCTGCGCTCCTAATCAGACGGCCAGGGACCGATGGTGAAGCCGAGATGAAGGAGCCAAACGAGGATCTCTCGGGAGTTGAGGTCGTGCCGAGCTTAATCGAAGTCACAGAATGGGTGAAGCGCAAGAATAACACGCAACTCAAGTGACTATACCTGTGTTATCCAGTCTAGTAAATTAAATACGACATATGTGTACATGGAGTACGCGGCAAAAACTTGCCAGCGATCTCTGAAAAACCTAGGCTACTACGGGGAAGTTGGTGCCCTAAATGTTTTCGAAGGCGGTCGCACGACATCTTCTACTTTTTCCCCGAGTTTGATCATGGTCCACCTAATGACTCGCGGGTCGTGCTTTAGGATGTTATCGAGACTGTGCAGTGCCTTCGGTGAAGAATCAAAGTCCATGGTCCAGTAGCTTTTCTGCACGTCAGGGAAGGCGCAATTTCGAGGGACAAACGCGACGTACTCTCCAATATTATGCCACTTCCTCCGTCTGTGCATGCGCTGAGGTAACGTGAGGGTACCCCATGAGTCGAGGCTGCGGACTACACCACCGTGGTTCATAACATGCTTTGCGGCCAAGGTGACGAGCTCTTTGATGTGTTTCTGCAAGGAAGCTCAGCACTAACTTATCTACACAAGCGAAATACACGCTCACATATTCCGGGAGATGATGTGTGATGCATAGCATCTGGTAGAATGGCATTTTGGGTGTCGTGCACGACGGTGCGGGCGAAAGACAATATCAAGGTTGAGCGTCTCTCCACGTGATGAATTCAGCAAACCGGGACTGGCCGGTCAGCCAGCTCGTGCGCGCCGTACGAAACTATCTCCTTGCGTACCCAACGTCTGCAGCTAATCATCACACGATACAAATATCTTATCACATATGCTTTAACCCGCGGTGTATAGAATCGGAAGCGAGACAAGTGTCCATCCGGCTTAATAACCGGGCGCGATTTGTTATCCGCTGGTAAGAAACTGTTACCGATATTATCAGTACAGTTACTGAGCGTGACCAAGACGCCCGTTGAGCGTGTGAACTACCTACTTCTTTGGGATTAGCTATGACACGTCTGGATTTCCCGTTGCACGCGACCTCCGGCACGCATCCTTCTCCCTCTTCCCACCACTTACATCCCACGTATCTCGGTTACAGACTCACTAATAAGCCATGGCTCAAAAGATGGTGCGTTCCCTGGCAAAAATCCTCATTTTAAGCCTCATAATTGACCAATCCTCGCAGGAGGTCAAATGTACGAGGGCACCACTTCATGTAATGCATGCACACTGAATGTCGTGGAGTAATCAGCTGTTATCTCTGGAGACTCTCTTGTTTTGCGTGAAGCACAAGGCAATCCCCCGAAGGAACGGTGCGTGTTGCTGAAACTCGCATGAACGCTATATACTCACTCTGGACAGAGTCTTGCATTTAGCAGACATATCTGCACCTCGTATGGGAAGCTCGGCACGCGAAGACGAGGTGCGTTAGTTTCTACAATATTAGTGCCCCTCGGTTTTACTGTTCCTCCAGCCATGGGCATACGAAGCACGCGAATACTTGCGCGCTCGAGTCGTGGGCAAGCCCGTCACGTTCACCGTCGCCCACTCGCTGCCCTCCAACGACGACACGCCCCGCGACATTGGTTCTGCAGAGATGCAGGGTGTTGACATAACAACGCAACTTCTCAAAGCCGGCTGGGCCAAGCTTAAGGAGATGAAGCGTGAGCCTACCGAGGCCGACCTCAAGAAGCGCGACCTCGAAGCGGAGGCGAAAGCTGCCGGTAAAGGCATCTGGAACCCTCATGGTCCCATGGCCCGCAAAGTGCTCTACATGATGCCCGAGGACTCACAGGGCTTCATCACCGAGTGGAAGGGCAAGTCCGTCGACGGTATCGTTGAGCAGGTCAAGGACGGCTCGACTCTACGCGTTCGCTTGCTCCTACCAGACGGCGATCATCAGCTCGTCAACATAACTCTTGCAGGAGTGCGCTCTCCTCGTGTTGCCAGCAAGCCGGACGAGACGTCAGAACCTTATGGGGAAGAGGTCAGCAGGTCTAAAAACACATCGTGATCAGGCGCTGACTTGGAACTTTCAGGCCAAATTCTTCACCGAGACGCGTCTTCTTCAACGCCAGATCACGGTACAGCTCCTGTCATTGCCTAATGCTACCGCGACCCCCTTCCAAAGCTCTGCTAACGCGGCACCGGCACCGGCGAGCATCTTCATCGGAACTGGTGTGTTCGCTTCCGCTGTTCTGTATGTTCAGTAATGACCTGGCTATGCATAGCGCTGCACGCGCAAGGTGGCAACATCGCAGAGCACCTCGTCGCGAACGGTCTTGCCCGTGTTGTCGACTGGCACGCGGGTATGCTCGCTGCGGGCGGCGGGATGGAACGTCTCCGACAGGCAGAACGTGCCGCGAAAGAGAAGCGCCTGAAGCTCTACGCGAACGCACCTGCACCCGCCGCAAAGGCAAACGGCCCGGTTACCAACGGCAGCACGCGTACTTTTGATGCCGTCGTGACACGCGTATGGAGCGGAGACCAGATCTCCGTCGCGGAGCGCGATTCGAGCAAAGAGCGCAGAATACAGCTCAGTTCAACGCGTGCACCGAAGTGCGTACTCTATCTTTGACGCGACGGCAGCTGTGCTTATGTTTCTCAAGGCAAACTGACCCTCGACAGGCGCATTACGCCCTCGAAGCGCGCGAGTTCTTGAGGAAGAAGCTCACTGGCAAGCACGTCAAGGTACATGTTGACTTCATTCGCCCGGCCGAAGGCGAGTTCGAGGAGCGTGAATGTGCAACTGTTCGCTATGGCAGCCAGAATGCGTAAGTACGCAGTACGTGCAGTATTTCTCGTCGTTTGACATGCTGTTTGCAGGAACATTGCCGAGCAAATCATCGAGAAGGGTTTTGCGACTGCGCTCCGCCATAAGCGTGACGACGAGGACCGCTCGCCAGATTACGACAAGCTGATGGCCGCTGAGCAAGCGTGAGTATCGCTCTACTCTTGGCACTCGAAGCATTGTTGAAGAGTACACAGTGCTGCTGCGGAGGGACGCGGCGTGCACTCTGGCAAAGAGTTTCCGCCACCAAAACAACTCAACATCTCCGAGGTATGTTGCCTCCTGAATATATCTCCATGCGTAGCTCAAATGATGTCTCTTGCAGAGCCACAACCGTGCTGCGCCTTTCGTTAACAGCTTCAAGCGCCAGGGTCGTATAGCAGGCGTTGTCGACTACGTATCATCTGGCTCTCGTTTCAAGTACGTTCGATGATCACAACCAGTGGCTCTCTGCTGATTGATATCCAGAATCCTCATCCCCAAGGACAACCAGGTGCTAACCCTCGTCCTCGGAGGTATCCGCGCGCCACGCACCGCTCGCAACGCGTCAGAAAAGTCCGAGCCCTACGGTCAAGAAGCGTACGACTTCTCGTACCGCCGGTACATGCAACGTGACGCGGAATTTGAGATTCACGACGTCGACAAGTCCGGCGGCTTCATTGGCGCGCTGCACTTCAACAAAACAGAAAACGTCGCTGTGACCTTGGTGCGCGAGGGCCTCGCAAGCGTACACTCGTACTCCGCGGACAGCCTTCCCTGGTCAAGGCAGTTGTATGACGCCGAGGAGGAGGCCAAGAAGGCGAAACGCAACGTAAGCCCGAGTGACGCGCCCGTTTTGGCTCAGGACTGATCTCTCGGGTGTAGATGTGGGGAGACTACGACGAGGAGGCGGAGCAAGCTGCCCAGGTCCCACAAGAACAGGACGACGGAGCGCTCAAGCCCGAATATCAGGACGTGATCATCAGCGACGTCCGCGTCGGACCACACGGCCTCAACTTCTCCGTGCAGATCCTGAACACCGAGGGCATCGCGTCGCTCGAGAAGCTCATGCGCGAGTTCTCGCTGCACCACAAGACCATCGCCCCAACGGCGGGTTTCGCACCGAAGAGCGGCGACCTCGTATCTGCCAAGTTTAGCGATGGGCAGTGGTACCGCGCCAAGGTCCGGCGGGCGTCGGCGGTCAAGAAGGAGGCGGAGCTGACATTCATCGACTACGGCAACCAAGACACGGTTGGGTTCGCGAACATTCGGCCACTCGATGCACGGTTCCGTGCGTTGCCGGGCCAGGCGCATGATGCGCGCCTGAGCTTTATCAAGCTGGTCGGGTCTGAGAGCGAATACCATACCGAGGCGATGGACCGTTTCCGCCAGCTATGTGAGAGCCGGAAGCTCGTCGCAAACACGGACTACCGCGAGGGTCCGCTACGGCACCTGCGGCTGATGGACTTGGAAGAGCACGGTGCCGACCCGCTCGCGTCAATCAACGTGGAGCTTCTGCGAGACGGCTTCGCGACAATCGACCGCAAGGGGTGCAAGTACCTGCAGGCATACCCGCAGGTGCTAAAGCGGATGCAAGAGGCGATCAACGCGGCGAAGAAGGACAGACTCGGAATCTTCGAGTTTGGTGATGTTGAGGAGGATGATTAGATGTGCTTGGCGTTATTCTAACTCAGGGCCCTGTGTTTGGTTCACGGGCTCGAGACGAAATGAGAACCACCGCTGACTAGTTTTTGCATTTATACCATTTATACCAGGGAGATGAGGGGACGTGTAGCTGTTGGGAGACATTGTCTACCAGACGTGCGCGTGGAAATGGATCATTGTACAAGGAAGCCGATGCGAACGTCACACTCGTACCGCGGGCTCGGCCACTAACCCGAGAGAGTGAAAAAGCCAGAGCAAGCCGTTATCGAAAGTGAGTCACCGCGGGCCGTTTTCGCGACGCTGTGCTTGAGCAGGCTTCAAAGTGATTTGATCTTCCCTCTATGGAGGTTCATTTGATCTTGATGCTTGAGGCCTGAGGCCTGAGGGCCAGAACATGCTGAGCATCTGAGAGAACAGGTGGCGCCGCGTCTTTTACCTCGTGCTCCTTCGCTACCGCCACGAGCTGAAGATAGGGAACTTGACTGAACCCAGAGGTCCCTGGTAGGGCATGAGCGGACACTAGCTAGTTGTCGTGCGCGCACTTCTGCAGCGCGATGCGTACATTTTGATAGCCAGCATTTGCACCTCAGTGGCCGCCAATGTGCCTCGCCCGACAGGCCGCGACAAGTGGCGGACTACTCAACCCCGGTGACGTGCTGGCGGGAGCGTCCAGAGGCTCACAGTCGCCGTTGCGAGCCCGGAACCGAGACCCTGTTGCTTCGTCGACCTATCGTTCGCCGTGATCACCCACGACTGCAAGCGCTGAGGACAGCCCCGTCGGGGGGTGTAACGGATCTAAATGCGCGTCCAAGTGAGGGAACCCCGGAGAACGCAGACCGTTGTGCGCGCCGAGCGCAATGCATGTCGTGTCCGATGCAGATGAAATGTAGACACAGGCCAGGCAAGTCTGTATTACGGGGTCCCAGGCGTTCAATCGGGATACCGGTCCGATAGGGCGCTTTTCGGGCGCTTCAGCGCTCAGTGGCCCCCGGAGACGGCACACCGCGCTGAGGTTTCGAACTCCAAGCTGGCAAAGAAGTACTCACGACGTACAAGCTGCCACGCTGTCACTCATGGATCATTCGAATGGATCTCAGCAGACTCAACACCACCGATGACCGGCCAGCCGGCTCCGTCTTATTTAAATACTAGTTCGAGTCGTGCAACCGCCCACACACACTCCCATACTCTTAGCTTCACCCTCGTCTTCACTCTACATACCTCGAGATGACCGTGCCTGCAGTTGAAGTTGCCATCTTTACCGCAAGCGAAGCATACAAGAAGGATCCCACCGTCATCCTTCCAGCTCTAAAGCTGCTTCAAAGTATCTCCGGCTGCGTTAGGCACGTTTGCACTTCGCCAGTCACTGCCATCGGGTCCTGACTAGATCATCTCATGCAGCATCTGGCATGGTCTCCAGATACAGGACTCATCGCTCCTATACCTCGTCATCTGTGAGTCCATTCCCTTTGCAATACTCCTTCGCAGGTTAATGGTGTCCCCGTAGTCTGGGAGACGCTCGATCATCACCTTGTCTACATGAATGACAAGGAAGAGTATCCGAAGCTCGGTATCGCCATGCAGCCTGCTATTGAGAAGCTTCTCGGCCTGTACCACGTCCGCTTCCCGATAGACATCCAGCCCGCGCTCGATGCGCCCGTGACGGAGATCGCGCAGTGGACTGTCTCTGAAGGTGCTGACCTCAGCGCATTCCAGGAGAAGGTTAAGGCGCTCATTAACGCGGCCCACGCTGGCGCGCCGAACGAGGTCTTTCTTGGCGGTCTTGGCGAGGTTGTTGAGGGAGAGAGAAAGCTCTCAGTCGTCCTTGGCTGGCACAGCTTGGAGGTGCGTATCCTAGCTTCTGAATGGATCGAAACGAAACTCTGAAGCCTATGTATCAGCGGTTCGGCGCTGCGATCCAAAGCAACCAGACGTGCCTTGATTTAATAACGGAGTTGAGGAAGCTTGGAGAGTCTGAGCTCAAGCATGCCAATCTCCACAAGTACAATAAGGACTAGTGTTTGATACGACATGGAGCTATGTTAACGAAAGCAGACGCGTGGCATTTGCTATCCACCAATATAAGACCCATGTGGCCGAGGTTGTATATTTTCCTACATTTGCAAAGTGAGTGCGTGATGCGCTTAAGATATCTTCTATCAATGTCCAAACTTTAGATTGTGCGGATGCTGCTTAACGCCTGCTTTATTAGTGGAATAAATTAAGTGCACGTTAGATATAGCGCTATACGCATGCTCATGAGCTGAGATGATCCCAATGGGTACTGTATCATATCTTCTTTCCTGTTCATGCATGAGTATGGCTGGAAAAGTAAGTATTGTGATCAGTTTTAGGTCTTGATTGTGAGCAAATTCGCACAGGCGGGTAAAACGCAATAAATTCGGGGGATAATACGTCGCATTCTTTTATAGTAGTGCTATTTCCTAATATAGCCAAACCCAATACATGCTCACACAACGGGCAAAACCCGCATCCAGTTCCGCGCGAGGTGCGACTGGACATCATCTCCAGTACCACATCCAGTACCGCATCCAGTCGCGCAATCAGTCGTGGGAATTACTGTCGTGATTGGTTGAACCCCTCCAGAAAGGCAGTGTCAAGTACTAAAAATAGAAGTGATGCGCCGCCCCAGTGCCCGACGCTGTCCACCCTTGTGTCAGTGGAAATAATTGCCGCGGTGCCTAGATATTTATTCATAAATAACACATTTTTGGTCCTCGTGAAACTTGTGTCAAGGCTACAGATTTGATAGCGTCGCAAGCCACAAATCTAATCGCGTCGCCCTTGCATGGGATCATATGATGCATGCGCCCAGCGCTCAGCGCGCAGTGAGCAGCGCGGCGATTTCCGGGACCACATCCTCGGCGAGCAAAGAGCTATGGCGAGGAAGGGTCGGACGTTCCCTTCATTTAACTAACGGCCACAGTCACGAGCGGAGGGGCGCTAGCCCCTGCGAATTCAGCAGCCAGCGCACTCGAAGTCGCATGAAAGTCTCTCAATCTGGCAGGTAGCCTTGAGAATGCGCGCGGAATATTGCTTGTCTCCCATCACGCCATCACGCTGTGCCGCTGTTCAGCCGGCACCTGAGAAATAATCTGAGAATTGCTTTGGACACTGACACAACCTCAAGGGTGGACAGCATCGGGCACTGAGGCGGCGCATCACTTCTATTTTTAGTACTTGACACTGCCTTTCTGGAGGGGTTCAGCCAATCACGACAGTAATTCCCACGACTAGGCGTGCTCAATTCTAAAGTGGATGGGATGGGATGGGATGGTTTCGAGCCAGCACACGGTGGCTGTAGCTTTCCCGCTGATGGCGTAGATTAGCCGTGAGACATAAGTCAGAAATAGATCTGTTCCTAACCCGCCATCCCGCCCTTGAGTCCCGCTCGCTTCCAAAACAAGTAAATGTATTTGTACAAAGCAAATAGAGGCGGGAGAGGGGGGTCGAGCACCTGGTGGCCAACTGCCTGGTAAAGTGCCCGGCGCTGTCTCTAGCGTAAAGTGCGCTAGAATGCGGGTTATATACTGGTTTCTGTACCAGAAATTCCTGTTGAGACAAGCAAATATCTTGAACTAATTGGTGTATTTCAGCATGTGGTTGTAGGGCCCATGGCAATTATTAGCAAGTGAGCTAAGGGTTACATGATTTCTCCTAGAGCTAATTGCATGAAGGCTTGAATGTTATTGGAGTCAACACTCGAGGTCCTTGAGATCACTGTTGTCGTCACGAGCCCTTCGTGCAACTTGTGTGCTCGTGCCCGCAGCCTGTCATGGCCTATAGGCACATGCCGGCATCATGGAACCTCCTCAAGGCACCGCTCTGTGATATTGGCCGATTTTTCTCCCTCCATTGCATAATGGACAGTGCATTACGCGAACTGTCCCCTCTACCTCACGGTCATTGTGAACAGTCTCTATTTGTCTCGTACAGATACACTTACTTGTTTTGGAAGCGGGCGGGACTCGAGGGCGGAACTCGAGGGCGGGATGGCGGGTTAGGAACAGATCTATTTCTGACTTATGTCTCACGGCTAATCTACGCCATCAGCGGGAAAGCTACAGCCACCGTGTGCTGGCTCGAAACCATCCCATCCCATCCCATCCACTTTAAAATTGAGCACGCCTACTGATTGCGCGACTGGATGCGGTACTGGATGTGGTACTGGATGCGCTACTGGAGATGATGTCCAGTCGCACCTCGCGCGGAACTGGATGCGGGTTTTGCCCGTTGTGTCACTCGCTACTAAACGGGCGTCAAGACTCACGGCGGCGCATCACATCTAAATAAGGCACGGCTACGGCGGCGCCTGATGCGCTCCATACAGGAGCTTGGAGATGATCAACGCGACGAACATGGATAGGCCCGGGATCTTCGATTTTGGCGATGTAGAGGAGGATCTTCAAATATGTTTGGTGTTGTCTACTCAATTCGGGGCCTTAGTTTACGGGCTCGATGCGAAACAAAACCCGTTACTCGCTGGTTTTACTTTCATACAAGGGAACAAGGAAGCAAACGCGAACATCAAGATGCTTTTACCAGAGTCCTACCGCTTGACTAAGCGAATAGAATGGTGACAGGTCCAGAGAAGGCCATTACTGAAAACGAGTTGGTCATGCTGAATTTCCGCGGGTCATTTCGTAACCCTGCGCATGAGCATTTTTCAAACGGTAACTGGTCGTTCTTGTGTGTATTACATTTGATCGTGAGACCTGAGGGTCAGAACAAGCTGAGTATTCGACCCGCGTGGCGCTCTGTAGCGCCGTGTCTTTTTGCTTAAAGGTGAATCGTAACTGCCGTGATTACCGAGTGCAAGGACCGTCCTGGGCCCGACCCCGAACCTCCCTCCCCCCGACGTTTGAGGACCCTCGCTGTCTAGGAGAGCTCGTCCACCATCCCCGTTACCGCGTCGATTCGCACATACTGACTGAGGGAACTGCCGCCGCCTCTCGCTGTGCACGTGCACATGTTCGGCTGTTTCAATATCTAATTTTCCTTTATCTCAGGCTCATGCCAGCCGTCAATCTGCGTGGCACCTTCCGACCTCTGGCATGAGGTATACTACTCCAGCAGCGCGCCGTCGCGACGCTCGCGGGTCAGGCTCGGCGGCTGACATCTCATACCTTGACCACACGCTCGACAAGTGGCGGATTACTCAGTTTCGGTGGCGTGCTAGCGGGGACATTTAGAGATCCGCAGCAGCAGGCTCTAAACGCCCAGTCCTGGCCGAATCATCGTTCTCCGATGCTGAGCGATCCTCTGGCGAAGTACGCATACGAGCTTCCACGCTGTAGCTCAAGTCATAGAAGATTCGAGTGTGTCTCGGCAGGTATTGATGATCAGCTTCACAGCCATCTCGTCGACATTATATGTAATGTTCGTAGAATCTTCATACAAACGACCCCACAAGCTCCTATTCTCCTAACTTCACCATCGCCTTCGCTCTACAACCTCGAGATGACCGTGCCTGCAGTTGAAATTGCCACTTTCACCGCGAGCGAAGCATACAAGAAGGATCCCACCGTCATCCTTCCAGCTCTAAAGCTGCTTCAAGGCATCTCCGGCTGCATTAGGCACGTCCGTACTACGCCAGCCACTACACTCGAATCCTGACCAGGCCATCTCATGCAGCATCTGGCATGGTCTCCAGATCCAGGACTCGTCGCTCCTCTACCTTGTCATCTGTGAATTCCTTCCCTTTGCATCACTCTTTCGCAGATTAATGGTGTCCCCGTAGTCTGGGAGACGCTCGACCATCATCTCGTCTACATGAATGACAAGGAAGAGTATCCGAAACTCGATGTCGCCCTCCAGCTCGCCATCGAGAAGCCCCTCGGTCTGTACCACGTCCGCTTCCCGATGGACATCCAGCCCGCGTTCGACGCGCCCGTGACGGAGATCGCGCAGTGGACCGTCTCTGAGGGTGCTGACCTCAGTGCATTCCAGGGTAAGGTTAAAACGCTCATTAATCTGTTCCACTCGGGCGCACCAAGCGAGGTCTTCCTTGGTGGTCTTGGCGAGGTTGTTGAGGGAGAGAGGAAGCTCTCGGTCATCATCGGCTGGCACAGCTTGGAGGTGCGTATCTTAGCTTCCGAGTGGAGAACGAGACGGCGCTGAATTTTGCACTTCAGCGGTTCAACACTGTAGTTTCCAGCAACCAGCCGTGTCTCGAATTGATAACGGAGCTGAGGAAGCTTGGAGAGCCTGAGCTCAAGCACGCCAGTCTCCATAAGTACAACAAGGTCTAAAAAGTATATATTTAGTCTAGATACCGTGCATTGGACCTCGCCACGTTCAGAACCATTCGAAGGGTCAGGGAGCAGCGGCGAAGTCAGCGCCATCCTGACGGGAAATCGTTCGTTTCCATTGAGCAGCCTTCCATATCTCTCGCTCACTTTTCTCGAGTAGTGTAGCATTTGAAACGTAGGTCGAAAAAAAAAATCTGGGTGAAAGTAGTGCGTTGACGAAAGCGGCTTACCCTGGAGTGACAAAAGCGCATTTGTCATGCAGCAATGCCGGCCATCACTCGGCAGTGAGCTCAGCTGTGAATTATCAAACTCCGATCACGAGCATTGACAAGCAATCGGCGACTCGAGTGAAAAACTTCGCCTGTTGGATGCCAGCACTCGAGCAATTCGTTTACACTCTCTGCCTCATTGCCTTTGCCCGCGAGATATTTATGAAATTGGGAGGGTTCGCACTTTTTGAAAAGTGCGCACTCTCCCTTTAGGATAAGTAGTAGCTTCGAAATTCTTTACTCACGATCGCCACAAATTCGAAGGCTTCTTAAGATCTTCTGGAAGTTCATACGACGACAAGTGACCAGCTGCTATACAGATCCCAACCAGTACTGTAGAGGTCTATTTGCCGACAGGTCGGTATATTCTGCTATTGGACTCGAAGCATCGCGATGTAACGATAGAAGGCTCACCTTGCGCTTCACTTCCAGAAAACGTAACGCTAGGAACCGTGTGATGACCGGAGGTTCTGGCTTCTCAAGAATAGCGATTCCGATTCGCTTTGGACTGCTCTCGACCGACTCGGATGCCGTCCGAGACCGAAACTCCGCAGTGCGCACCAATTGACGCATCGGAAGCCTACGCGTCTCACCGGCATCGCGTCCTCGAGTGTGTCGCCGCCTGGCACTCTGCTCATCGAGAATGACATGCGACGGCGAGCCGTGCAACCTCGAGCGGGTATAAATCCGTAGATTTTCAGCAGCTCGAGGACGGACATACCAGCTATCTCTCCAGCATCCTCTTCTAGACTCGTCAGACGTGACAAAGAGAAAGATGCCTCTGCCCACCAGAAAGCTCGGCAACAGTGAGGTGGCGGCCATAGGCTGGGGCGGTATGGGCCTCTCCACCGCGTACGGGCCCACGCCGCCGGACGAGGAGCGCCTAGCGTTCCTCGACGCGCTCTACGCGAGCGGGTGCACGTTCTGAGACACCGCAGACGTGTACGGCGACAACGAGGAGCTGCTCGCCAAGTGGTGCGTCGCACGTGTGGGTCCGCAGGGCCCGCAGCACATATAGCTTACGTGTACGCGCAGGTTCAAGCGCACAGGCAAGCGCAACGAGATATTCCTTGCAACCAAGGGCGGGTTCTTCTTTCAGTCCGGCAGGCCTGTAAACGCAGAGCCCGAGTACATCAAGAGCGCTATCGAGAAGTCGTTCGCCCGCCTGGGCGTGAACACTATTGACCTGTACTATCTCCATCGCCCGGATGCCACTGTCCCCATAGAGAAGTCCATTGCGGCTATCGCGGAATACGTCAAGTGAGTTTGACAGAGCGTAGCAATGGCGCAGCAAGTCTTACTGGAGTCGTTGACAGGGCAGGAAAGATCAAGTACGTCGGCATCTGCGAATGCTCAGCTGACACTCTCCGCCGTGCGAACGCCACGCACCCGATCTCTGCCGTCCAGACGGAGTACTCTCTCGCCGAGCTCATCATCGAACGGAATGGGCTACTCGATACTTGTCGGGAACTGGGTGCCGCTGTTGTCCCATTCGCGCCCCTAGGCAAAGGCTTGCTGACCGGCCAATACGTACGCCTGTACAGCATTTGGTCGTGCGATTCAAATACTGACTTCTAGAGTATAGAGGAGCCCTGACGACTTTGCGGAGACCGATAACCGGAGATTGTTCCCAAGGTCAAACCTATGTCGTCGATTGCTACACTGCCATTAATGACCAGTGTCGTATAGGTTCTCGAAAGAAAACTTCCCAAATGTCATCAGACTCGCTGACGGTCTCAAGGCAATCGGCGAGCGCCATAGTGCGACAGCAGGACAGGTCGCGCTTGCGTGGCTCCTTGGCCAGGGCAACGAGGTCATCCCGATACCAGGTACGAAGACGGTCAAGGTGAGTGGCTGCTACGGTACTTGATGGAACAGCAGGTCCCTGATTATATTGCAGTATCTTGAGGAGAACCTCGGCTCATGGAAGGTGTCGCTCACGGAGGAGGAGCTCCAGGAGATCCGTGTCCTGGCGGAGAAAGCAGACCCGTGGACTGGGCCTCGTTTCCCGGCATGGTTTACCGCCGAGTCTTTCATCGATACACCGCCTCTTTGAAGCACATGAATATGAAGCTGTAGTTCGCAGTCGTGCACATGATTGATGAAGGTCGTGATGGCTTCCGTCCAACAACCGAGCAGTTTTGCATTCTTGCACGATATACGGAAAATCAAGGCCATGAGACTATGCTCGATCGAAATCTAGAAGTTGTTCAGTGCTGTTTAACAGATGCGTCCGAGAAAAGCGATCGAAGAACAGTGATCGACGAACGAGTTGTCGCTCTTGCCACATCTACTTAACTCCTTGGCATAGCCCTAGCCGCAAGAATCATCCCATGATGTGATGGCGTAGTGTCCGATAGGGTCCCGCATCGCATGCTGTGTTCGTAAACCTAATCGTATCATGTTAAATCACATTTCCTTTGTGATACAGATCTTGAGAAAGCAGGATATAAGGTTATACTGCGTAGCGTAGCCTTGTGGAATGTAGAGATTCATAGGACATCACAGTGTTAGGCAATGGCATATACTGCGTGCCTGGAAATATAGGATACAGCGATGAAACACACGAGAACGTCGAGAGGTCGCTAGGCTCCTTGATACTGCTGGGCGACAACCATGCTCTTGACTGGAGCAGCAGGGCGAAGTAGAAAGCGTAACGAGGCAGAAGGCCGGCCGAGCCGAACCCGCTAGCGTTCCGCGCAGGGGGGCAGTGCGTCCTCTGGACGACACTCCAGACTTGTGAGAAACGAGTAATATTTGCCTGGTGGTCGCCCAGGTTCTCCTCGCGGAGCATCTCGCTCATGTCGGAGGAGTCGGCAAAGCAGTGTAGATGACAACAGTTCCTGTGCGAACACGGCTGCACTGCGTCCAGGCGGGAGGATGTTAGCGAGGAGAATTACCATAACGAACCGAAGGCATGTCACTTCCGCCATCAAAGATGAGATCTCGCAAATGGGCGTCAATCGAACTCCGCGCTGCAGCTTCAAAAGTGACATCCTTGTGATACTACTACAAGTATTCCCCCTCCCTTCAGCTACTGTAGACTTAGATCTCTCCCCTCCCTGAAGCCTCTGTTCCCTACGACACGTTCAATCTGCAGAAATGAGTTCAGAATTGTCGCCAATTCCTCCATCGCCCGGCTTTGGTGCGCGCCGCAAGGGACCAAAGGCACCTCCAAAGCTGCCCATGTCCGTCTTCACTCCCCCTCCTTCAGGGACCACGAACGGCTTTCCGCTGCAGCCAGACCCTAGCACGATGCACCCCAAGGAGGTCGTGGACGCTCATGTTGTCGCGCCAGGCGGCGATCTGAGCAAGTGGTCGCAAGAGACAAGCCAAGTGCTTGGTAGCAAGGCTGCTGGCGTCGTCGTATCACTGAGCGGCACCGGCTCATCGGAGGTCGAGGCGGCAATAGCATCGTACGTGTCTGTTGCCTTGGCGATATAAGATATCATGCTGAAGTGCTGCCAGGCTGCGCTCCAGTGGTACTCAGCCACCAATTTTGGCGATTCTCGTACCATTTTCGTTGGACCAAGGCGCACCCTCCGATCCCCCAGCGTATCTTCAGGCCCCAAACACATCAGGCCCCACCATTGTGCTGTCCACTGTGTACACGCGTTACACACCGAAGTCCGTCGAGGCTCTCCAATGGGCGCTCGAGAAGGGCTTCATAGTCGATGTTGACATCGAGACGAACCTTCGAGCGGGCGAGGGCGCCTGGGAAGATCTTGAAGAATTCCTGGTGAAGGCCATCCCGACCTCACACAGGGGCAAGATCATCCTCTGTGCGTTGCATGTATCGTATTTTCTCCCGAGCGGCCCGCTGACCGGCCTGCCGTTTCAGCCAACATTTTGCCGCCGCCCGATGATCTGACACTGCCCATAGTGAAGCTGCTCACGCACTCCACGTACCAGGACTACCAGGCGCAGACCGCCGCGCTTTCGCTTTACGCCAATCTCTCGGTCAAGTTCACCCCGCCCGTGTGGGGCTCGCCGACGCCCGGCGCGCCGGAGGGCGGGCCCCGGACGGCGGACACGCTCGACAAGAAGGAGTGGAAGAGGCGCATTAAGATGTACAGTGCGTGCCACATTTGTTTGAGAGACCAGCCAGCTCCGCTAACGGTGTGTCATGTGCAGTTGGTCCTGCACTTGAGGCGCTTGGGTACCAGCGGATCCTCTTTGGATCCTCGCCATCGCCGTCCTCACGCGCACAATCAAACGCTGGCGATTGGTACGAGCTTGCGCGCGAGTCCTTCGCCGAGCTGGGCCTCGAGCAGGAGGACATCGATGCCGTTTTTGCCGGCAACGCAAAAAGCGTATACGGCAGCAGCTCATAGTCAGGTGCCGACAAGGTGCATAAGATGGGAAATTGGATGGATAACATGAAATTGGCAATTTTTTGAGCGTTGTTGTACGCACAATATCACTGTATACTTGCAGGACAAGATCTCTTGTAGCCTCGTTTGTGTTGTGTATATCTTATATTTATCTTGATGTTTTGACAGAGCATGCTTACCCACAGCAGGCTTCATACGAATGGCAAAATATATCACCCTCGGGTGCCATACTCGCTGCTCTCCATTACTATCTCTACTGCCTCCGCTGTCACTGTAGACACCAGCTGAGAGGGGGTCAGGCTGCGGGGGATCTTCGTGGCAAAGCAGTGTGTCAGAAAGCCGCCCATAATTCTCTTTAATATTGGGTCTTGAGTTCCGAGGGTGACTTCTTGTACTCAGGCCGCTCTTCGCAAGAGATACACTCTGCTATCTACCCCGCGTTCAACAAGACCGTCTACACTGTCGACAATGTGTGGGAATGGGAGATCGTTGTGAGCATGAGTTCCTTTCCCATTCTGAATAGAGCGACTGAAGGCGGAGAGCACGTACATCGTTGTAAGTCGCGGTTACTGCAGCAATACCTGTACCCTCCCCGCCGGCGCCCCGCCACCAGGGTCTTGATGCGCTATTATGGTGGCGGATCAATCGATCGCGACTGTACATAAACCTGCGACTGGCCTTTCTTGGCCTTCTCACGTTTCCTCTCACCGACGATCCCGTTGACAGGATCGGCTTTCGTTCGACCCCAGGCATGTCTGCCTCAATCTTATTTACTTTCCGTCTGCCTGTCAATGTCATCCTCTAGGACATGTTTTCGCTGTCAAGCAGGTTCATGTAACGGCGGTGTCTATACATACCCCGGGTCGCCGCCCACTTCACTCACGGCCTTGGCTCGCAAGGTATCACGCCTCGTCTCATCCTGCTCACAATGTACGTAATTTATCAATTATGCAAACATGCTCAAGCGACCGTCGACAGCGAGCGACTCGCTAGCATGTATGCAGCTAGCCCTACGGACTGCGCACCAAACCGTGCATGCAATGTCATTCGAAGTAGAGTACACGTTGAGATCGGAAGCAGCCAAAAAATGCACATACTACCGACATTATCGCAGGCTGTCCGGACTTGACAGCGCTTCCCGTTGCTAATCGGCAGACGGGAGCACGCACTGCGCTTCCGCATATTTGCGAACGCGCGATACTTGGAAGGGGATTGTACGTCGCAGGCGCGTAAATCAAGTATCTGTCCTATAATACCCTTCCTCTCCAACCTGTGCTACCCCTCGTTGCTTTTCCTCTCCCGTGTCGCGTCGGTATGGAAGCATCTCTGAGCGACACGCGCTTCTACAATGAACTCGTCGACATGGTTATCGACCACCTCCACGACGACAAGGCGAGCCTCATCGCCTGCTCCCTGGTATCCCGCACGTGGCGCAATTCTGGTCAATACCACCTCCTAGAGAGCGTCATCTTGCTGGGAGTTACGTCGGAGAAGGGTCTCGAGGCGTTTTTAGCCCAGACCCAGCGGTCGCCGCGTATACGCCACTACGTACGAGAGCTTCGCGTCCATGGAGAAGGCTCGTGGTTCGGCAAGTACAACGCCACCGAGCTGCGCGAGCTTTGCCTCGGACCCAGGAACCTGCAATCCCTCGCACAGATGCCGGCGCTCCGCCGCCTGTTCCTCTATGATCTGCTTTGGGACTCACATCGTGACGGACCCGAGAGTCTGTCGCTGATCCGTGAGGCCGGAGTGTGCCGGGAGCTGGAGAAGCTTGTGCTCCAGCGCGTCACCTCATCGCGGTTCCAGGACCCCGGGCAGATTCACCACGGCATTTACGCGCAGGACATCCTCGACATCCTCTCCTTCTTTTCCGAGATCAAGGTGCTCTGCTTCGACACCCCACGCTTCGAGATCGACGGTTGCGACGCACCGCTGCCCCATGTCGAAGACAGCTTCCTCCAGCTGCAGTTTCCCCCGAGACTTCGCATCGGCAGCATCGTCGCTGACCCCGACGCCCTGGACAACGTCCGCTCGTCCATGGCGTACAACATGTTGGACCGCGTCTGCAGGTTGAATGGCCTGCATTCGTTCAGGGCGCGAATCAAGCCCGGAGACATCGAGGCTGTGTCCCACTTCGTCTCTATGAGAGCGCATTCCATCCTTCACTACCAGCTAGACATGTCTGCGTACCTTGCGCTAGCTCGCCTCGGTAAGCACACATCATCATGCTTGATACCATTAGCTGACACGTTTTCCAGGCGCAAAGGAGACATTCACGTCCCTCTATCTGTCCTCGTGTCCCAACCTCGAGACCTTCGAGCTCCGCACGCCCTGCTACCCGCCCGACCGCCTCTGGCAGTACATCCTCGTCGCGCTCTCCAAGCTGCCCGACACGGTGCGGCGCATCTACGTCTGCGTCTACCTGACCTCGACGCTCCCGGATAGCTTTGCGGACGCCTGCGCGGGGCTCGTCGACGCAGACCTCGCATACATGGAGCGTTTCCCGCGCCTCGAGGCCCTCGAATTCGTACTCCAGCACCCGTCCAGCTCGGATGCGGCGTACCCCTACCGCTTCGAGAAGTGCAAGCGCATGATCGAGGAGATGGTGCCCGCCCCGCTGAAGCGCGGCGTCCTCAAGATCGAGCCGTGCGAGTGCTTCTTGGTCCCGACGCCCGAGCCGCTGTGCTTGAGCGTCCAGGCGCAGAGCCCCACGTTGTTCTGAGGTTGGTCATTTCTACCCTTGTAGGCCAAATCCGGATGTGCTGATTATTGGGTTCTACTACAAGACTAGTCATGCTATAGTATCGTAGATGACTAACAGCTTGCTACCAGAGTCGATGAAATATACAAGAAGTAATAGTTATCGCGATAGAAGCTTGGTACATTAAGTTAAATCAAAGTCGAAGCGAAACTCCAGAGGGTCCGTAAGTCGACTGTCCTGCGACGAGGACGGCATTTGAGTTCCCCAGCCGCCCACGCGACTAGCAACAGGCGCCCGCTTGGATGAAGTCGCGGCCGGAGGCTCGTCATCGGAAATGTCGATGATACTTCCGCCGGTGGGGATCGGTCGCCCGCGCGGCGGTTTCAGGGCGTCGTTGCAAAGGTCGATGATACTTCCGCCGGTGGGGATCGGGCGAGCTCGAGACGGTGGAGGAGTCCGGTCAGAATACGACCTGTTGTTGGGGTCGTTAAGTGGTGACAAATCCGGGAAGGGAGCAATATGTCGCCTGGTTGGTGTAGATTGCGCGGGTGCACTTGCTGAGGGTAGTGGAAGGGGTGCATCGGTCGCCTCGGGGCTGAGAGTTGCTGCCATACGGCGCCGCTTGGCCTGTTGGGTCCCTTCGGTCGGCTGTATCGCAGGGGCTTGGGCACGTTTCCTGGTTGACGTAGCCTTGGCCCGCATCGAATTTCCACCGGCCGGGTCATGACCGGCACCGAGAAGGACTGCAGACATTGGCTCGCTACCAGCCCTTCTCGCGGGCGCTACACTCCTCTTCGACTTGGCCTTCGTGGTGGTTGCAGAGCCTGAGCCGCCACTGGGAATGCCGAGTGCTCTGTCAATGATTGCTTCCTGTGTCGCAGAGAACATCGAGGGCATTGGTTCATCTCGACGAGTTTCACTAGATGTCGGCTGTGGCCGGGCAGAGATCCGCGGTGGCTGGGAGGCTGCGGCGCGTGGTGGCGCGGGATTATTGATGTTCGACGCGTCCGCACGAGCTGCACGAGTTGAAGCGCCGCCAGTAACCCGTTTGCGTGGTTGTGGGCTCTTCCGGGTACCCGTTCGTCCATAACCTCCGCCGCTCGTGATACCTAGCGCCTTATCGATGATAGCTTCCTGTCGAGAAGTGAACAGAGTCGGAAAAGGCTCGTCATTGTCGGAGGGGATGTCTCTAGAAGGCAAGGTGCGGGCATGAGACTGTGCTGGTTGGGATGATGAACCCACGACAAATTCTGGGATAGGAGGGTCCTCCTCGTCCGAAATCATCATGTCCGGGTCGCAAGGATCCGAGAAAGTGAAAAGGGAGGTGTTCCGGTTTGTCGACCTTTCGAAGTTGATGTCTCCAACGTTATGCAGAAGATGAGGTCGACGCGGAGGCTGTGACATTTTGACCATTGGAGCGACGGGTGGCGCTTTGTATGCGTCCGCCGGAGCACTAGCAGCCTGGCGTGCGGCGCGGATAGGCGTAGGTTGGGATTTCACCGGAGAGCTAGGCTCATCAGCAAATTCTGGCGCACTGTCACTATCGTCCTCGTCCTCGTCCTCCTCAGTGGCCGCAGTCTGTCTCTTGCGTCGTATCGTCCTCGGAGGACCCGCTGTCTGGAAACGCGTGACGAGCCCAGGATGCACCTGCCGCATGATCGAGGCTGCCACCCATATTCGCTTGGTCGACCTGTCGACCGGCTTTTTAGTCTTCTTTGCCCCGCCAGTGCCGTATACCCCGTCTTCATCTGGCAGGTTCTGTGATTTTGTTACGGCCGCAGGCTCGGGATGCTTGCCGGTGATGCCCTTGTTCGCGAGGTCGTCGAGTTGCTTGCAGCGAATGACGACGCGATACTCGAGGATACTGTCGGTCGAGAGATGCGTGCGCTGTCCCACAATGCTCTCAATGAGCGGGTGTGTGTCCGGAATGTTGAGGACAGGGGTCGAGGCGCGCTGTGTGCCACGATTAACGAAAATTTCGGCGAGGCGCTCTTCGCGAAGGTCTCTCTTGGCTGGATCCAGGTATTGATGTACGAGAGACGCGGGAGTTCCTATCGCATCCAATACGGTAGCACGAAGCGGTTCGCGGATGTGACCAGGTTTGCCCTCTCGAAGCCTCTTAGTCTTTTCCTTCTCGTCGGCTTCCAGAGCGGCACGACGAAGTACGTGAAAGACGGCGCCTTCATACATGAAATTGTGGAATCGTTCGAGGATCCGTGAGCGATGGCCCCACTCGTCAAAGTGATCCTCACAGAACTTCGCGAGGCGCGGCAAGCTCAGATCGTCTCTATCCTGCAGTGCCAGGCTCGAAGTCCCTTGACCGTTGAGAGCGCTGCATACGGGATTGAAATACGCCGTCAGAGTGATCATATCAGGCCAATTTGGAGAAACGGCCGCCGAGGAGCAGCAATGAGGTAGCATTCCGCTGGCGTTTGTACGCAGTTCGGTGTTGAGCTCATCACGCCACCGGGGAAGATATGCCCGGAAATGCGCCTCGCCCGTTCTGTATGCGGTCAACAAGCGATCACCGAACCCACACCGCGCAAGTCCATGAGCAATCTTGGGACCCAGGCCTTTGACACCGTTGTCATAATCGCCTCCAGATAGTAAGGCGATGAGAACCATGCCGCCTCTCGTAAGGCCGATGTTGGGGTGACTGCCAATCCTATCCGAAGTGAAAACCATGGTGTGTTGGTCACTCTTCTGTCCCAAAGCGTCCGTTGCGGGGTTGTTCCGATTTCCTGCCAATGTGATACTCGAGCTGGCGAAAAGTTCAACGCGGCACAAGATGAGCGACACTTGGGACTTACTTCCGGATAACGGTCCTCGCGCCAAACACCAGGGTGTCTACATCATCGGTGATGATTGCGTCAATGATGCCCTGAGCATTCAAGTATGCAAGTTCGGCCTCGGCTTCTCCACGTGCCTGTGGAATCGGATGTCAAGCAGTAGATAGGGTTTAAGAAGATAAACGCACCATTCTCCACTCCATACCAAAACATTCTATCATCGCCTTAAATTCTTGAGTTAAATTGTGCGTGCCTGACTTTCCCACTCTGCTTCCGCGCTTTAGCGTAGGCCGCTCGCGACCGTCGAAGACGAACAATACCAGCCACGGGAGTTTCGCAAGTCGTGCGAGACGGAAGAATAAAAGCCGGAGCTCAGGGTTGGCTCCAGCCTTAGTTGAGTGTTCTCCATGCTGATACCAAATACTTGCATCTATTCCAATTCGATAACCGCGTCTTCCGGACTCGTTCCCTTCGAAGCCGTCGACCACCGCGATTTTAGTTAAAGAGCGAGACTGCCCTGCAGGCTCCAAGATCTGGGCAGAGACTAAATATGAAACCTTGAGGAGATCTGTGGTGATTACATGCCTCCCAGAGACCTTGAACACCCATGTCGCAGTGACGGTTTGTGCTAGGCCCGGTGCGGCCACCGGTCGCGGTCCCCCTGCAGCGTGACACGCTTTGACACGAATCGTCACATATGTCACGCAGCTGTCTCAATATAGCGCCTGTGACAACGTGACGGGAAGGTGGGCCTTGGGCGTCTGCCTGATTTGGCCAGCGACCTTCAGGTGCGCGCGGCGGCACAGCACTCTCACTTTGACCCCTCGACGTCGTCGTCCCCGACGAACTCGTCTTTGTTCAGGCCGTAATGAGCGGCGAATGGTATTATCAGCAACAACAGCAGAATATTCGCCATCGTTACCAGGCTCCTGCAACTCCGTCTCGAGTCTCCGTGGATGCGGTCAATGATGCACATTCACTACTTGCAGCATACCCTTTCGCTTCCGCAACTCCCTCCTCTCACGGTCTGTATTTTCTAGACTTATGAGATTTGTGCCGCTTGTACTCACTCTAGGCTAAGTTGCAAGACATCTAGGCGGACTGTCCTTGACTGCCACCCCTCCTTCATATTATATCCAGCCGGCTATATACAGCCAACAGATTATGACCACAGCGCCCTCATACTCCTCTCAAATCTCTGAGTACTCACAAGAGCTTGCTCACTTAGCTTCTCCGAGTCCCCCTTACAACGATGGCGGATATTGGGAGTCAGAGAGGATTAATGCAGTGAGGTATATTGGGGAGCAGGCTTCGTGCGTAGCATGCACATACAACCTAGTGCATAAACCTCATATCATCTTAGAAGCTATAGCTACGACCATTCACCTCAATGGAGCAGCAGCTATACAAACTCATCTGGGTATCAGACGACGCCTTTTGCTCAGTCCGTCTTCCAGCATACTACACCCTCCGCGGTATATCCTACACCTCCCCCGGCTATGAACGCATCATCATCCTCACTTGCAATGGCACTAGTTGAGCCCAAGCCGAAGAAGAAGCCCTCCCCAAAGGTTTACCGCGCCGAGGATTCTGCTGGGTTTTTCAACAACTTCCTCGCACAACAGTCTGCTGAGTTAAAGAACAACAAGACGAACGGCCACCTTGTGCAGAAGAATGGAGAGAAGACGCCGAAACGTCGCTCCAGGGAGCACTCGGAAGGTAGTCCCGATCCACTTGCGCTTACACCCGCGACTCCTCAAAGCCCTCGGAAACGTAAAGCTGCACAAGCACTTGAGTCTCCATCTATCCGACGTGCCGTGATTCCGGAGAATGGCCTTAACACGCCTCGAGCGACTTCTGATGGTCGCCCCACTCCGATTGCGAAAGCGACTCCAACGCCTCGGGTCAGGCTCGAGCCATACATCGCGCTGCCTCCCATTCCCAAGGCATACCAAACGCCCAAAGGCAAGGGCAAAGAACGTGTAGAGTCTGATGACGAGATTGCTGGGTTCGAAGTCGATGAGTCGCCTCTCAACTACAGGTCAAAGGGTGTCACGGATAACATACAGTCGTCGGGGAGGCGTGCAATGGGCGATAGGGACGACCGAGGTGGGTATATGCGCTTCGGCTCAGAATTTTCACTGATCTCTCGTACTGTCATAGGTCCTGTCGACAAGTTGGTATGCCTGCTTGAGGACATATTCGAAGCTGAAGACGCGCTTCCACCTGACATGGACCTTTCCGATCTTCCAGCCGAGTTCTTCTCCCCTCTAACGCTAGACACCGCGTCGCCCTTGCTTGTCCCTTCTCTCGTCCGTAAATTGACGAGCTATATCCTCAAGGCTTCCCGACCGATGAAGCGCATGCGCCAGAACACACGGGATGGTGGCCACTCTAAACCCCCCTCGAAGACGAAGGGTTTGGCTAGTATCGAGACTGCCCAGCTCTCGAGGATGCTCAGGATATTAGAGCGCACAGTTCAGGCTGGTGAAGACCTTGACCCATTCGGAATAACTCATCTACAACCACCGTCCGTACCTAAGTCGCCGTCTAAGAAGAAGGCGAAGAATGGTGCGAAAGGAGAGGATCGCCGCTCTAAATCCAGGACGCCACATCCCGACGAGGGCTTTGACGAAGACGATGCATCCGAGCACGCGACGGTGACTGAAGCTGATCTACGAGGCTTATGCAGGGCACTCAGTCTTGCGAAGGATAGCATATACGCCGCAGATTGTTGCTTGGCTCTGCTTGGCGGCGAACGGCTCACGAAACAGGTGCGAGCTCGAATACTCCTCATAGACGTGCTTATCAACCTGTCGTCAGCTGTACTCAGAAGAGCTGATCACAGCGTGTCTTTCTACCATCAAGAACCAGCTCTCACGTATCATATACCCATTCGTCGAGGCGTCATCGGAGTTGTCCAGTCAATGTTCGCCTCTCCTCCGCCATGTTGTCCACTCGCCTCCTACAGAGCGTGATCAGGAGCGACGTCTGCTTTCTGAGATCTTCCATGTGCTTTCATCTGTCTTACCACGCATCACCCAGCTGATATGCGCTGAGACAATGGCCATGTCCGAGAGCATCATTATACAAGCTGTCTACATCGCCATCGGACCATTTTTCGCGATCGACAACACGCTAGACAGTAAAGGACGTGAGAAAAAGGATAATGTGGTGATCAACACGCTGGGACCAAGTGCCATGCGAGGGCTGAGGCTTGAAGCATTATCGTTAATACGAAGCGTAAGATTCTACATTTTTACGGATGTAATATTCTGAGATACTGACTCATGAACCAGATCTTTGCAAACCATGAGGACCAACGGAGTTGGATCATTGAGGAAATTTTGTCTTCGCTGATTAAACTCTCGGACACCAAGCAGAAGGCGGGGCAATTCAGGTGTGAAGCTACACAGTGTCAAGCGACGTAAATAAGCCTTGACTGACTTGCATACAGACTAAGGGACGGTCGTTCTATCCGGACTGTATCTGCTCTATTGCTGCAACTCGTGCAGACATCCGCGCACGATGTACACATGGAGGCCGAATCGTTGCGCGATTCGCGATTGCAGGCCCTAGCTCTTCGTCGGCAGGATAGCGCGAATGACGTAGAGCCCACCTTTCTTGACGAGAAAGACATGGAGGTGAGTTATATCTACGCACATTCTTATTGGCGCTGAAATGCGAGCAGGAGCTTCGATTATACACGTCTGGCTTGGATTCAGCGACCAAAGCGGCAAAGACTATCATCGCATTCTTGACGCAACGGTGAGTTGATTACGGAATCGCGTCTGCGTTACCCAATTGACACATAAGCCCCAAAAGATCTGGCAAAACGAAGACCACCAAGAATGCCAACGAGGCGGAATACCGGTCGATCTTTGATAACCTGATCGCCGATCTTCTGACTGTCCTGTTCTGGCCTGAATGGCCCGCTGCGTCCATCCTTCTCGGTGTAGCGTCGAAGTTCATGGTTCGTATTGCAATCCTCCTCGCAGTCCAACTTTATGCATATAGTATACCGCAGATCTCGTCTCTAGACGATGTCAAGACAACCAATCAGAACGACAACAATGCTGCAAAGACCATAGCCCTGGATCATTTGGGTGTAATAGCGGCGCGTCTGCGCACTTGTGCAGTCCAGAAGAAGAGAGCGGAAGAGTCTGGGCCAGGTTTGAAGTGTATCGAAGAGGTAGAATCTCCGCTTCCGGTCATGTTCAGCTGCTGAAATGTGATTCGCAGATTGTTAACCAGTTGGATGTTGAAAGTCTTCAGATGTTACTTGACGCACACCAGGACCTCTCTGCGTACTTGTTTACTCGGGCAAGTGAGGACCAAGCATTCGGTGTACGTTCATCATTCTATTAATTGTTATATGAGCTAACGAGACCTGCAGAGTGCAAGAGAGCTGGCAGCCGTCATTTTCGGCGAGGACCTTGCTAAGGCTCTTAAGCAGTGCGCGAAGCAGCTGGAAGATGCTGGCGAGGACGAATCCCCGGAGCCGAAGCTACCGGAGTTCAGTAACGAACTAAAGAATGCTTTGCAGAATATCTGGAACGAACGCACGATAGATGTCTTTGATTCGGGGTATGTAACTGTTGTCACTCATCTGAGCCCAGAGTTAACGTCGTTGTCAGTGTCTCCCAGGAAGAGACAGCTCGCGTGGATCGGCTAGCCGAGACCATAGGTATCACGCAAGGTCTGAGGAGCTACTTCAACCCGATTTTGAACGTCGTCTTGCAAGCGCTCGATGCACCTCCTGTCTTTATGCGTACGAAAGCCTTGAAAGCTTTGGGTCAGATTCTCACCAGCGATCCTACTATCCTCGGTCTTGTAAGTGGTCGACGACAGCCTGCTGCTCGGAATCTAATTTATGTCTGCAATGTTCCTAGGAAGACGTCCGAAGGTCCATTGAGAGCCACCTTCTTGACAGCTCCCCAGCCGTGCGAGACGCAGCTGTGGAACTCATCGGCAAGTACATTGTGGACTTCCCGCATCTGGCCAGCAAATACTACCGTCAGATCGCGGAACGGATAGCGGTGCGTATGAAACCGAGCATATGCTCGTCTGCACCATGTTAATGGTCAACACAGGACACTGGCCTCGGCGTTCGCAAACGCGTCATCAAGCTCATGAAATCTGTCTATAGCGTCACGGATGATAGGAAGCAACAGGTCGATATTTGCCAGCGAATAATCTGTCGGATGCTGGATGAGGACGATACCGTAAAGGATCTTGCCTGCAAGACGGCCGAGGAGCTCTGGTTCCAGGACGCGCCCGTTGCCACTTCGCGGGAGAAGTCTGCCGACCCTATGGCTCAATTGCTGCGCAAGGTCTCCATCATCATGGAGGTGTCGGGCGGCTTTAAGGATCGCAACTCGCCGCTTGAGGAACTCTTGCACAAGATTATGTCAGAGAAGCCTGATTCAGAAAAGAGTCTGCTGCATCGTCGCTACACTGAGATATGCGAATGTCTCATCGACGGGCTGGTGGATGCCTCAGAACTGCCTGAATTCGTATGTGGTGCTATTCTTGCTTAGATTGAGCGCTAATAGTTTCGCGTCTCGTAGACCGTGGTCAACTGCGTACGAACCATATATCTCTTCACATCAGCCTATCCTGCCGTCTTGTCTGCCAGTAATGCCCAGACTCTGCTACCTTACTTGCAAACTGCTTCGAAAGTACGTAGCTTCATGTTTATCTTCGCCCTCTCTAACGGCCATTTCCATCAGCCGGAGGATCAAATTATTTCGGATTACATCCTACGAATATTCCGGACTTCAGTTCCTCACTTGCCCAAGACGGCGAAGGCATTCGGCCAGGAACTGCAGGCTGCATTGCAGCCCATGATTTTGAAGCCCTCAGCAGCATCCAATGTCATGGTGTGTGGTCGTGGGACTGGACTTTTTTGACCTATCACTGACTTCGTGCAGGGGTTGCAAGAAATCGTCGCTTGTCTCTGCGTTGTTGTCCAGCACCTAACTCTTGAGTTCAAGCGACTAGTCTCGCTACTGCGGTCCTGCATCTGTAAGGCTCGGTATTGCGCGTGTCCGGCTCGACGGTGCTGACTATTATGTCATTTAGCCCGCTTACTTACCCTCGTGAAGACATCTACGGACGATATTGTTCCGCGAGACATCCGCGCATTGCCTATTCTGATCCTCATCGTCGCACTCCTCTGTGAACATTGTAACTTCGAGCAGCTGCGAACTGATGCTAGTCCAGTTACTGACGAGACATTACCGGAGATCCGTAAAGACTTGGCGGCTTTGACCAAAGTAGGGGACTCATGGCATACCTTCATATGATTTGTTGACGTGTTGCTCTAGGGAACTGTGAACGAGTACATTTATACCGTCTTCCTGCGCCTGTATGACAAGTTTACGGAAAGCTCGCAGCGGAACCGGATCTTGCAGTGCCTGGGTGCGTGGACAGTCATACTGGGTTACACAAGAGCTGACGAGAGCTGTGTATATAGGCTTTCTCTTCCGTGCGCAACCAGCTCTTTTCACAACCGAAACATCTTCACGCATCATGGACGACATCTTCTCCTCGTCGGACAAAGAAGCACGAGGCCGACTGTTGAAGCTCATGCAAGATTTCCTTGTTACAGAGGCAGAGAAGCATGCAAATTTGCAGAAAGAGAATGGTATGCTGGCTATCCACGTTGGTATCTGGTCTCATTGCTGTGTAGCTATGGCGAAAGCAAAATCATCCGATGAGAAGGTCAACATGCAGGAGCTTGTTGGGAATACCGATGGCTTCGCTGAGTCTGGGTAAGCGTACTTTCCTACACTTTGGTGTTTGAGTGAGTATACTGACAACTGCACAGTGTCAGCTCAGCTGTGGTTCAGCGATACCTGCAACATATTCTGGATGCGGCCTTGTCGCGGGAAGCTCAGATACAGGGCCCTGCTGTGGATATTCTCACATTCACAATTAAGCAAGGTCTGGCGCACCCCCTCCAGGTAAGCTGACCGCATAACACGCAAAGTACCATACTCTAATGGGCTCTGTAGTGTTTTCCGATTATCGTGGCGCTAGAAACTAGTCCGAACAGTGTTCTGAGCGGGCGTGCCAACGCACTTCATGGTATCCTGCATAGCAAACATACGTCATTGCTTAACACGAGATATGTTGCGAGCGCGCGAGCTTCCTTCGATTACCAGAAAAAAGTGAGCGGAGGTCAAGTGTACGGTATGTCTCCTCCACCTCCTCTTGATGTCTAGATGTCTTATTATTGGCTAGGGTATCGGATGATGCCAAACCCTACCTCTCTCCTGCATCGCTGGCATTCACTTGTCCGGGACAAGCGAATCACGCGGCAAGACTTTCTCAGGGCGCTAGTCAAGGTGTTCGACGTTGAGTTGAGCTCGACTTTCCAGGTATGACATCGTGTCTACAAGTTCTCAATGGTAGACTTACACAAATACTAGGACGACATTGACTTCGTCCGATACATGGCGGAGAATTTTGCGTCTTTCGAGTACAAGGCACAAGAGGAGGTTCTCACGGTCCTAAAATATCTCACGTCCATCCTTTCCACTTCTGGCATGCAGCTTGTGGAGACTCTGTCGCCTGCACACCTCTTGAAGCAGCTGCACGGACCCTCTCTACCGGAAGCGCAGGTACGTTACATGCATGTTTGTCCCTCGACGTTTGCTCAGGAATGTACACAGGTCGAGAACAGTGTGCCACCGGCGTTTACTCCTGAGGGTGAGAAACTTGTCTTTCATATACTTGCCTTGAAGCTCATGTACCGGCAGAGTTTGCAGAGCGTCTGCCGTTGATACAAAGCTCCGTAATTATTGCTATTATTATGATGCTCAAGGCCCATCTCAAGACCTTGTATGGTATAAGTGAGGAGTAAGTCTGCACTCTTTACTCTGCGCCGCGCTTTTCTGAAAGTCTTCCTTCAGGAAATGCGCGAAGTGGGTTATTGGGAAGAAGACTGCGGTAGGCGACCGGCCTGCGACGAGACGCCACGAGAAGCCTTTGTCGTGGGACCGTCTACCATTCGCGACGGCGCCGATTCTGAGCAGCCAGGATCTTACCGCTCAGCGCGATAAGGTATGTATTTGCGGACCCTTGCCTCGTCCCATCGTTAACCGCCTCGGCAGTTTTTGGAGATCTGGAGCGAGGACGGTGTCACCGGCGAACCGGAGGAAGACTCTTTTGACTGAAATGTGTCCCTAAGCTCGTTGCTATCGCATTGCTCATCGCTCGTTATGCTCTTGCTCTCGCATTCCTGATCGTTACTCTAGGACTCCTTTATACCCAGCTGTATGTAATGCTTACCTTGTAGAACCAAGCTTAGTCAATCATTTGCGCCCGTCTGCTTTGGAGCAATCCATGTGATACTCACGAACTCAGTCAGGACCCGAAGATGTGAGCGGATATGAAGGAAATAGGCTTTATACGGGAAGGCCCAGAGGCGCAAGGGAGCCCATGGCCTAGACTGCGGATAACGACGTTGTATTGCTCCATGCTTGGTGTGGGTATGGTTTATAAATGCAAGAACGACAGCAATATACATGCGCGGCGCCTGTGAGTGCACCCAATCGATATCACTACTCGGAAGAGCGGTAGGCAAACAGGTTCAGCACATCGTCAGAAGACAGCTGATCCTGGGCTCCGCGAGCGTCCCTGATATCTGTATCGTCCTCGTCGTCCTCGTCGTCTCCCTCCGGTCGGATAGCGGGCAAATGACGCGTCTTGGGACCGTGCACACTGTGCAGCCAGGCGCCCTCGTCATCTGAGCTGTCCGCGTGCAACACGACCCTGTTCATCTGCGCGTCCCGCAGGATGGACATGAAGTTCGACAGCCGTCGAGCCGGCAAGGATTTCTCGTCCGACGCACGCGCCAAGAACACGTTCTCCTCCTCATCTTGCGGCGTGGAGAGGCGCGAGGACACAGTGGACGTGGACGCCGATGTCGCGGTGTCTGGGTAACGCGGTCGGGAGGTGTGCGACGGGCCCTGACGTCCAGCGGTAGCAGTGCTTGTGGAGGATGTATCAGAGGGTGTGCGCGCCGTCGGACGGTGCCTGTCAGGACCTGCAGCCCGTGGTGCCGTCTGGACAGGGCAGATCCTGTCCGTGCGCCGCATGTGTTTCGCCGGGATCTGCGCGGGCCCGGCGGCAGAGCGACGCCGTTTGGACCCTGCCGCAGGCGCGGGGGTCTTCTGCACCCAGCAACCGAGCATGTCTTCCCAGCGCCACTGGCTGCCCGCGGGCACGGTACCCTTGCGCGGCGTCTGCCCACCGCTCGACGGCCGGACGCCGTCGCCGGAGTGCGCGAAGCAGCGCCTCTCCGCCGCGTCGACCCGCCGCACTATTTCATGCCGCAGGCGCTCGAGCGCAGCGAGGAAGGCAGAGTGGTGCGACGCAGGGTCGTAGTGGGAGCCTGTCTCGGGTGTCAGGTGCTCAACGTGCACGAGCGCGCTCGACCAGAGTGAAGTTTCGAGCAGGTGATAGGCGTGGGCTCGGAGAGTGCTCGCCCAGCGTTCCAGGGCAGCGATCGTGGGACGGACGAGGGTGGCCGCGTTAAAGACCCCGTCTTCGCTCGGTTTGGAGACCTGGGACATTGTGACATCGATAAGGATGCCAAGGGTCTCCGATTTTGCTGGCGCAGCGCCGAGGATGGAGTGCAAGCTCGTTGATACGGCTTTGGGTAGGAGCCCGGCTATTGGAGGCGCCAGAGACATGGCAGAGAGGCAAGCGATGGCGTCAAAAAAGACCCTGGACTCCTGTGATTCCGACAAATGATGAAGTCGAGATGCATTGGCACATACTATAATATCGGAAATGATGCTTATTTCCTCGATGGCCTTCGCGTCCAGGGGAGGTGTGGAAATGTCGTGGAGCCGCTGGCAGGCGTGGCTTAGCCACTTGCCAAGGCGGCTAGCAAGTGAGACAAGACTCGCAGGGATAGCGCCACCATTCTTCGAAGACTCGGCGTGCAAGGCAAGGAAATGCCCGGCCGAAGAACACATAGACAAGAAGGCAGAGTAATTTTTGGATCGAAGGCTTCGTGCAAGATGTATGGTCGCTTTACAAGTCCAAGCCTGGGCTCCGTGGTCAGCGGAGAAGCCACAGATAACCTCGCTGAGAGTCTGCACGAACGTCTCCGCAGTTATGACTCTTCCGGCGGGCGGCGAGCACGCGTCCAGAAGGTGCACGAGGTATCTCGAATGGACGGGGTGGACGATCTCCAGAATGAGGGTATCGGAGGTGCTTGTTAGCGTAGATAGCTGTAAAGAACGTGCAAGGAGGTGATGAAGTATCATGCGCGACTCCGGAGTGAGGTTGTACGAGATGGTGAGCTCCAGGAGGATTGCCAGTAGCGTATGGTACGATGAACAGAGTGTCAATATGAATGAGAGGGCGTGGGAAATGACAGTATGCCTGCAAGATATTGAGCTTTACTAGTCCTCAGCGGGAGATAAGAGAGGTACTTACTTGCGATATTGAGGGTATACAGCGTCGTACAGTGAATCCAATATGTCCTGGTCTTCTTCGTCGTTGGCCTCCTCGCCCTCACGCTCCTCCGCCGACATGCGTATCTGATCTTCAAGATTGCTCCCGACAATGCTAGCGCACATGGCAGCCAGGCTCCTGGCGTGCTTCTCGCCGCTCGGTTGCGGGGTGCTCCTCCGCGAGCCAGTGCCCGACGTGAGGGTGGCCTGCAAGATGTTCCGGAACGCGTCTCGGACATCATATATACGCCGGGAGAGCTCGAGTTTCTCCCGCGACGAGCGGTCCAGCTTGGACAGGACACTGAGCTTCTCGGGAGGCGGGATAACCGCCAGCGGCGGCTCGTTGCGCCGTTCGCCCGCGTCGGCGCCGCTGTGACGCGACGAGCTACCGTAGGTCACGACCACGGACCCGCGCGACCGCTGAGACGCAGCTTCCGGCGAGTACGACGCGAGTTTCTGGCATCTGACCCGCAGCGGCCTCAGCAGGCGAGAGATTCGGGATGTGGTGAGGTGTTCTCCGGTCTGGGTGTTCATAAAATCGGCGAAAACTTCAAGAATATGTGGGCGTGGTATCCAAAATGTGTGTGTGCCGCCAAGATTGCCAAGGACCGCTGGAGGACGAGAGGAAAAGACAGGCTCGAGGAGTTAGCAGACAGGAACAATGGTTCGGGCGGTTCGCTTGGCTTTTTGATGGCATCATTTCCGTCGGTCCCGCACAGCGCGGACCGCCTGCGCGGCCGTCACAGGCCTAACTCTCGCAGCAACTGTCTGCAAGCTCAGGTGAAGTTCAAACGACGAGCTATTGCCGCGTAAAAAATTTGACGAAGACTAGATTCGTTGCCATGTCGTCTCAAGCCACCTTTCCTCCCGACGGGAAGTACGTACAATCGGTACGGGATTCATGCAGATCGCTGCGTGAACGCGCAAACATTACGGTAAGGATCACTTTCCCGCCAGATCGGTGGTAAAATTTTGGGCTGCTAGTGCTCTCGCTGCTGACAAAACCTCCGTTGTCGGCTTTTGAGACGGTGAAGGCGGCCGATGGCCCGGCTAGCAGCTAGTAGCCAGGGACATGCGCACTCGCACCCTCTTACCACAACGGCATGACACTCATCTCCTCGCAAAGATCAGCTCCGATGCCATACGGCGCCTCCTGTTCTCCCCGTCGTTCACCGGCACCTACGAACGCCTACGAGTCGCGCACGGGATGGCCCTGCCCCTCGTCTTCCCGTCCGTGCTCGCGGAGCTCAACCTGCTCGCGCTGCTCTCGCTCCTGAACTTTGCGTCGGGCTACCGCGTGCCGCTGCACGCGGCAACGGGCCGCGGCGCGTTCGACAGCATCCGCGCCTTCGTGTTCTCGCTCTACATATCGTCGTCCGTCGGCGGCGAGGGCGACCTGCTCTCCGCGCGCGGCATGCAGAGCGTCGCCGCGGGGAAGGTCGCGGAGCTCATGGGCGTCGCGGACAAGGTGCACGTCGACCAGCCGTCGACCGTCCCGGGTGTCACCATGAGCGAGCTTGGCGGCCCCGTGTGGGAGGTCGTGCAGCTCGTCACGAAGGTGCTGAAGGAGACCGGGGACGTGCTGGTCAATGGCGGCTACCAGGACCTCGGGGCCTTTGTCCTCGAGGCATTGAAGGAGGGCGACAAGGTCAGGCGGAAGAACGAGCCTGGCAGGGAGGACCCCGAGTGCGATGTCATTATCGAGCGGGTAGGCGATCGCGGCCGTTCCTGGTGTGCACTGCGCTTATTGGTATACAGTTGGTGAAGGCCATACCAGCGTTCCGAGACATGGTTGTAATCGATGGACAGCGTAAGTTTGCGCGAATTTGCATTTATTGAGCGGGTGGTAGCTGATGGTGCTCCTTCCAGCCGTCTACTGCTTCAAGAAGGCCATGCTGACGCTGCACGCTATCGCCCTGCGATACAAAGACTCACCGAACGCTTCCGTGCCGGTACCACGCACGGACAACCTGCCAGTCTTCTCAGATAACGTTATCCCGTCTATGCTTGTACACCTGGGCGTTATCGATCTCTCCACCTCTACGCCCGCCGTGGGTCTGCAGGACATCTTCCCTTTGGCGAAGCAGAGGGAGACCCTAGACCTCCTGCTCGGCACAGCCCCACCTCAATCCGAGAATACCGAAGGCGCCAGGAAGGGGTCCCCGAAAGAAGGCCCTGTTCTGACGACGGAGCAGGCATTCGTTCTGCGTGCGGCTGCCGTGGACGCATGCGAACTGATTGTGCAATACGCACGGAACCTGTCTGACGAGGAGCTCCGGATGGAAGACGGCCGGGAGCTCAGGTGGCTCAAGACAGTCACGGTACCCGAGCTCGATGCCTGGGCCTGGGCGGTTGCGAAGGATCGCGCGGACTATCGGAGCCTGGAGCGGTTCGTGCTGCGCAACACGACGTATTTCTGAAGACAAGCAGTGTGCTACCATGTACCTATCTCGTTTGACGACCCAGATGCAGCCACAGGTGAACAGAATCTGATGCGGACGGCGAGCATTGCCGGGCGTACTAGTGATTGGCGTGTGGCTCAGGCGTGGGTGCGCGCCGTGATTGCCAGAATGTCGGTGGGCCGCAAATGAGGCTTCTTGATGACAATAAGTTCTGTCCGAGGCGTCGAATGGAGCGTTGCTTGGGCTTGTGTACCCATTCCTTTCTGGTAACCGTCCTCTCCCGCGACTCCGCCGTGGCCGCCCCAACCACAGCGCTTTCCATTTCCGGTCAGAAGCGTCCCCTGTAGGCGCCAATTGATCCCGGGTGCATCCCCGAGACGCCGGACGCGCATCTTCAACCTGAGCCTTCCGCACCTCGCGTCTCCAAAACCCGCGGTGAGCAGACGGCGAGGCCGCACTCACCGCTTCAATGTGCTCACTTTAATATTCGCCGGCAGAGCAGACAGCCCGTCCTCAGAAATGCTGCGCATTGCCCACCGCCTCCGCGCTCCGACACGCCTCTCAGCGATGCGTGGCATGCGGTACACGACCGCGGCGCCTGACGGTTAGTTCCTAGCCTCAATTTAGCCTTTTTCTGAGGGCCCACCGCCGTCACAGACATCCGCAAGCGTCTCACCGATGAACTGAAGACGGCCATGAAGGTCTGTGCCTCATTTCCCTCCCCACCGTCCTTTGCAAATTTGCTGAGACGCCCTGCGCGTCCGTGCCAGGCCAAGGATGCCTTCACGTCCACAACCATCCGGGTACGTCCAGGACATGTGCGAGCAAATCGCACGCCGAGAGCCGCCACACATCCAGTTTTTTTTCCTCTTGCTGACGCCGCGTGGCCCCACGCCATAGTCCGTGCTCGCAGAGGTCTACTCGGCCGACAAGCTTCAGGCGCAGCCGCTGCCCGGCGGCGGCGTCGTCTCGATCCTCCGCAAGGCCATGACGCGACGTGTGAGCGCTCCCTTTCCGCCGCTCGCTGGCCCCTCCGAGACAAACTTTTTTTTTCCTCACCTCACATTTTGATACGCACGCCCCAGGCCGACGCCGCAGCCGAGTTCGACAAGGCCGCCCGGCCCGACCTCGCAGAGAAGGAGCGCAGGGAGGCCGACGTCCTCCAGGCCTTCGTGCCCCCGCTGCTCGCCCCAGCCGAGATCGACCGCAGGCTCCAGGAAGTCTTCGCCGAGCTCCAGCCGGCACCGGGTGACAAGAAGGCGATGGGCCAGGTCTTCAAGGCCTTTTACGCACGCGTCGACCGATCGGCCGTCGACACTGACCTCGTCAAGAAGCGGGCAGAGGCCCTTCTCGCAGCAGCGTGACCATGGACGCGCACACACGCCGGCATCGCAAACGAGCCAAAAAAACCGCATCCGGCATTTTTTTATAGACACTCCGCGGGATCCCATGTAGACACTACTATTTAATCTTACACACAAGCCCCGCTCAGCCAATGTGATCGAAAGAGAGACGTAAACGAGAAACAGCAGTGCCTCGATTGCACATTAAAGAACCGGCGCTACCGGCGCGTCTGCTGATGATGGGCCCGCTTCCTGCGCAGATCCCGCAGGAGGGGCGGCAGCAGCAGGCTCGCCTTGCGGCTCACGCTTCAATGTCTCAGAGCCAAGCGCAGCACCCCCTGCGTCGGCGTCGGCGTCGGCGTCCGTCGCGGGCTGCGCAGGAACGTGGCCTGCGTGCGCCGCGAGCCCGGTCTCCTCCCGCACGGGCAGCACGCTCCGGATGCGCGTGAGCTCGTCCACGCAGCGCTGCACCGCGCCCGCCACGTTCTCGAGCACGCGCAGCCGCTCGTCGATCGCCTCGCGCGTCAGCCGGTCGAGCCGCCCCAGCTGCTCGTCCGTCAGCGTCGGCGGGAGCTGCACCAGCGGCGCGCGCGACGCGGCGGGCTGGCGGTACCGCGCGTGCGCCGCCGTCGCCTGGCCCGGTGGCGGCCGGAAGCCCTGTGCCGCGGGCGGCGCGGACGTACGGTACGGGTACCGCTGACCGAGCTGCTGCTGCTGCTGCTGCTGTTGCTGTGGTAGTGGTTGCTGGAGGTAAGGAAGTGGTGGTAGCGGTGGTGGAGGCGCGGCCGTGAGATCGTACAGCGGGATCAGCGACGGAATTTGCGGACGAGCGTCAGCCGTCGCCTGTGGTGGAGCTGGTGCTGACGTTGCCGGAGGCGCTGATTCCGTGCCCGCCGAGGTCGTGACGTCCGCACTGCCCGAGCTGGCGGCCGAGCCGCTCGTGCTAACCGCGACGTCCGCCGGCGCCCGCACTTCCGACGGCGCGCGACCAGACTGGAACCTGCGCAACGCAGCAAGGGCCGCCGCGTCCCGAGGTGTCCCCGGACCGTCCTCTTCAGCGGAGGTAGATTGCGAAGGGCCCGCCGACCCTGACGATGACGCAGGTTCCTGATTTGGCTCGGCAATGGTCGGCGTTGGCCGCGCAGTGGCGCTGTCGCTGCCAGGATTAGCTGCCGTGCGAGAGGACTCTGGGGCGGGCTGCTCGTCTGGACGCGGTGGGAGATTCGGCTGGCCTGGTGCAGGTGCTTGCCACTGGGCGTCCCAGGGGTGCCACTGGTTCCCTGGCCCATAGAATCCTCGGTAAACTGGCGGAGGCTGCAGCTGCTGGGGTGGCAGCGGTTGCATCGGATAGGGAGGGTATGGGTACAGATACCCTGGCGGAAGCTGCTGCCCAGGCGCCGGCCACCCAGGGTTCACGGGTTGCGCACCTTGCGGTCCGGCTGCGATAAATTGAGGTGCAATCTGACCGTTGGCAAGCTGGCCAGGCGCAAGCGGTGGTTGCAATGCAAGTCCCAGCACGCGGCCGAGCCAGCCCAGGGCACCATTCGCGGCAGCCTGCCCTGGCTGCTGTGCCTGTGGAGCGGCGTTCGGCTGTTGGGCTGGTGGACGAGCGCCTCGCGCGCCAGCCTGGGCAGCGCCGCGGTTAGGCTGATCAGTTTCGAGTACAGTGCGGCGGCTATGGAGATTTCGTCAGCAGAAATTCTTCAGCGCCCACAGGAGACAGATAACGCAAACAAGGGAATGACTAACCATGTGGGACAGCTCTGCTGTCTTTCCAGCCAGGAGCGGAGACATTGGAAATGGAATATGTGTCCGCATGGAAGTTTCTTTGGGGTCACGTTGGGTCCATCTTGAGTTTGGTTCGCGTTATTCGCCTCGGTGGCCGCTTGACCGGTTGGCGCGTTCTGATTATTCGCAGGGGCGATCAATTCTTCACGGCATATGATGCAAGTACGATCGGACATGGCCGTTAGCTCTTCTTCGGTTGCGTTAGGATACCGCCGATCCATGTCGCGAGTCGCATTATGGTAGCGAATGAGAGCGCGCAACCGGGTAATAAACGACCGCGCTGTGAAGTAGACGTCACGAATGATGTTGAGTGGCAGTCCATAGAACGTCAAAACCACGACAAAGAACGTCAGATATGTTGCCAACTTCATGAAGTCTATGCGGCGGGGATAGGATCAGCGACACCAATGGAGCACCGTGGTAGAACATACCAGTCACAAGTTCGATGTAGAAGATGTACATGCTCTTATTCTCCCATGGAGGGGCGTTCGTTCCACCTCGCGTACTGGCGCGCCGAAGTTCAATACTGCTCAAGCCATATCTTGCCAGTGAATTGAGTGCGCTGGCCATTAGAATAGCATACTGCAAGCAGTACCATATCAGCTTTTATCTCACATTTGAGAACTCTGAGAGCGCTCACTTCACTGGCAAAAAGGACGGTACCGCCAATGCCATTCTGCAGCGTGCTATCCACAGCGAAGAGTAGCATGACAAAGTCGATCGTCCAGAGCAGGCAGAATAACGCGGCGAATCTGACGTGAAAGAGGACAGGAGGGCCAGGGTAAGGGACCTGGTCCATCTACAGGCGCAAACCGTCAGTTTCTAGAACACGCTGAATTCGGCGGCGGGAGCTAAACCATTGCATGCGAGTTCAATGTATCGAGCCAACAGCACGTATACGCTAGCAGAACCTTGAATGCAGACGGACTACCGTACTCACCGATTCCACACGGTCCGCCATGAGCCAATGGAAGCACTTGATGAACAGGAGGAATCCGAACATGACGACGAACGGAATGTCAAAGTCGTCCCGAAATATCGTAAACGCCAGCAATGATTCAGTCACGAACATCCATGTCTGGTCGTAGAGCCGCTGATGGAGGCGCCACGGTGTTAGCTGAGCCCCAAACGGTGCGACTAGCGAGACATGCCTCTACTTCGCGTGGTTGCAGGGGTCCGAAGAATATGCGTTGCAGAACACGTCCGGATAATAACGCCAATAGGAAGCCGAAGTTGGCGAGGACCTGCGGGATCGTTACACACGGTGCGCCCATTCATACGTGGAAGCACACTCACCAGGAGGCTCCGACCGCTCCGAGACAGATAGACCGACATCGAGTAGAAGCTGCTGTATGTCCTGCACGCATTCCCTATCGTTGCGACGGTCGCACAGATGCTGAACACGGCATAGAGGAATATCCTGTTCGCGGTGAAGGCCGAGGTGAGAGGCTGCATCCTCTGACGAACGAGATCGTTGAGCGGCATGGCTGCCGAAGTGAAACAAGCACAGAGCTAGCAGCTGGCCGTTTTCCTGTCTGCGTGGTGCGTGTCGTGTGTACAAAAGTAAGAAGCTGTGTGGAAAAGGTCGTTGAGGCCTGGCCGAGCAAGCAAGTCCGCGCTGAGCAGGCCGCGGGCGTCCGTCTGGAGCAGCACGACGTGGCTGATCGCAGCCTGGGGTTAGGGCTTACCGGGCGCCTGACCCCGGCAACTCCCTCCCGCGAGACCGCGCCTGCAGCGGCGCCTCTCGCGAGCCCTCGCGTATGGCTCTCTTTCCGGTGCACAGGGATTTAGCGTCCGCCTGAGTTTGTGGCCGAGCATGACCAGCGAATTTCATGTCGAGCTTCCTGACACCCGACGCTTTTTCTTTTCTATTTCAGAACTCGGGCACCTTAGCACGGTTTCACGCGTCTATCTGGGCGTCAGCAGCGCGCTTGCATGCCTCAGCGCTGGCGGATGTTTATTGAAGGTGAGGTTCCGCCCTGGCTGGCACGTCGCATCCAGGCTTCCAGCGACATACCTCCTAGTGCACCCCTCGAAACCGTGTCAGGCAGATTCGGATTTTCGGCTGATGGAAGCAGTAAATCCCGTCCTGACCTCTGCCGGAACGATGTGCATTCGCAGCGTCCTGTGGCGCCGGCTCCTCCAGTGAATATAAGGGGGTCATGTTTCGGCCCTTCCTGTCCTCATCTGCCTAACCACCCATGCCATCCTCTCGCAACTCGCCAGGCCTCCGCAAACGGCAGCTAACCCCGGAGCTCAGCGATGAGAAAGCCCTTCTCCATTCTCTAGGGTCGGCTGCCAGCGCGAAACACACCGCCGCCGGCCGCTACCTCCTCGTCCTCGTCTCGCTCTCCATTTCGGCGTTTGTGTTCTTACGGAGCTCCCACAGCGCTGTTGACACGCCCCAGGCATACGCTCTGTGTTCTCCCGACGGTGCCAGCATCTACACTGTCGACGATGCCTTACCCCGGGTGCAGTGCTTTGTCGTCGAGGACGAGACTTTCGTCGATATCGGCTCCCTAGGTCGGTTACCCACCTCCATGAGAGCTTTCTACGTGACTTACCATGTGCCCAGAGGACATTCAAAGGCGTTGGCGCGGATCGGATGGGGCCGCAAGCGGTGCCGCCGCGCCTGCATTACCCGTTCGGTTCATCAAGCCTGGTGCTGTTATAGTCCCGGGACTTACAGGCTAGTGTCCTAACTTTGCTTCCCCAAGATCTCCGCGCCTCTTCTCCTCCTTCCGAAACAGCTGACCTTCGCCCGCACAGATTCCCACGCGCACATTCTGGAATACGGCTTCACCAGGTTGCTTCCGATGGAAGGCACGCAGACTGCCAAAGGTGCGCGATCGATGTTGGCGTGCTTCCTGCGATCCTGCCTCACCTCGTCTCGCGATCTGGCAGAGACGGTCGGCCGCATTAGGACCTACATCTATTCTAACCCCGGACTCCGTCACAACCGAGCCAAGTTTGTGGAGGGCTGGGGTTGGGATCACACAAAATGGCTCAACTCAACTTTTCCAACTGCTGCAAGTGCTTCTCTCTGCGGCGTGATTGCAAAAACTAATTGAACTGTCGCAGGACGATTTGGAACGAGATCTTGTGGTCGCTGGACGCCCTATCGTGCTACAAGCCAAGGATGGCCACGCACTTTGGGTATCCAAGAGAATACTGCAAATGATGGAACCAATTCCTGACGAAGTCGAGGGCGGAGTTATTGTCAGGGATTCCCATGGCCGTCCCACAGGCATCTTCCTCGACAACGCTCAGGAGCTTGTGAATGCCCTTCGCCCGGAACCAACCTACGAACAGCTGGAGAAGCGGTTTAACCTCACTGTGCAAGACGCTGTCACACATGGACTCACAAGTATTCACGACGCGGGTTTCGATCCCGTTTCGCTGAAGTTCTTCCGTCGGTACGCTCTCCAGCCCTACATTCGTATGTTTGAAATATTGATCTCGCGTCTGCAGAGCTGCTGAAGAGGGAAAGCTTCCAGTGCGTTCGCGCTCGTTTCCTCCGCTACTTTTCGGAACTGCTATCTGACCTCGCCCCCAAAGATTCGCGTGTATGGTATGACGCACTTCAACGAGTCTGCCGACTATTGGGGTGACCGCCGCGAGAAATTAATCGGCGCAGGCAACGGCCGCCTTACCGCTCGCAGTGTTAAAATCTTTGCCGATGGTGCGTCAGCATCTCTGCGGCCGCAGCGTTTGCTAATGGTCGTCTGTAGGTGCGATGCGGTCGGGAGGTGCAGCGGTATGTTCTTGGGCCGGCTGCGGTCTTTGCTCTGCTGAACATTCTGCCCAGTTGTATGACCCGTACACCGATAATCCGACGACGCGCGGCGTGATGCGCATCGACCCAGAGTTGCTAAACACGGTCATTCCCCGCTTCCTCAAGGATGGCTGGCAAGTGGTAGGTAGAGCGGCAAGCTTGCCTCACATACGCTGATTGTGTCCGCCAGAATGTCCACGCTATCGGTGACCGGGCGAACGGGCTCGTGCTCGATGCTTTCGAGACTGGCCTGAAAGATGCGGACGTGAAAGCACTCCGACCCCGCCTCGAACACGCGCAGCTGCTTGCCGAGCGAGATATGGCTCGTTTCGGAGACCTCGGCGGTAAGTTGTGCAATCACACGCTGTTCAGGCTGTACTCATTCCGACCCTTAGTTATCGCAAGCGTCCAGCCCACTCATGCGTGAGTTCGGCCGTCTGTATTCCGTACCGCTCCACACTGACAGGCTTCCTGCAGCACTGACGACATGTGGTACGCAGAAGAGCGAATCGTAAGCCCGTTTTGCGCCTGGTTCGAGCTTTGGACGATTGCTCAGCGCACTGAATTGCAGGGCCCCGAACGTGTGAAAGGCCTGTATGCATTCCGAAGCATCCTCAACCACGGTGCACGCATAACCTTGGGCTCGGACTTCCCTGTTGAGGGTGTGAACCCGCTCTGCGGGTTCTACGCCGCAATCACCCGCCTCTCAGCAGAGGGCACATCGCCACATGGGCCCGACGGGTGGTATGTCCCTTTTCTTCCCTAGGCAGCCTCGCTTCCCGCTATATGGAGTTTAGGCTGATCTCTCCCGCGTTTGTCAACTTTGTAGGTTCCCGGAACAGCGCATGACGCGTGCAGAGGCTCTGAAAGGCAAGTGCAGATGCGATCAGCCGCACGTTGCGCATTTGCTCACGAACTCTGTTTGGGCCTGCAGGTATGACGCTCGACCCCGCATACGCATCCTTCACGGAAGGCATCCTCGGATCCATCTCTGTCGGGAAGCGGGCCGACTACGTTATTCTCTCGCAAGACATTATGACCGTGGCACCAGAGAAGATCCTTGATACTCAGGTGGTCGCGACGGTCATAGACGGCAAACCTGTCTACGGAAACATGTGACTCTCAGACAGTTGGCGTATCCGGTTCTTTTCGTGAAGTCGTATCACGATGTGATCCTGGCCGTCTTGTTGGGACAAGCATTGCTCTGATTCGCATGTACCCTGGTCCAGCCTAACGGCCATTTATCTGCTATGGCGCTTCCTCTGGAGCTGGAATTCGTAACTGACCAAATTTTGCATATGTTGTCGGAACTTGATACCCTGTATACATTATATTATTGATTGATGCGTTGGCCTATAGTCATCCATGCGATGCGTGATTCTGTCTGATGACTTCGTCTCCATTTTCTTCACTAGCGAGTCGAGTCGTGTTCTATACAGAACTGGTCAAATTCGGGCGCGCGATAGGACAAATAAATAAGCATGGCTCTGTTCTGCAGTACATTTCTGACATACCATGTCACCGGCGCATGTGCAATTTTTTGACCTTCTCCCGCGAAAATAGGACTCCCATTATGTTTGGAGCATTTTCCGGGGACTGTGTACAATGCGATCACGTGTGCAAATGAGTTGACGCGCGTGGGTCGCGACGCGTCGCGCGCCACGCTGCTTGCCCTGCACCATCATCTTCCACTCGTTCCTTACCTAGATGCCTGCGTTTCAAACCCCGCTTTCACACAAGGATAACAAGAGAAAGCTCGATGCAGACAGCGCGGGTGGGCCGGCATATAAGAGGCAGGCTGGAGTAGACGGCCGTGGAAGTGGCAGCGGAGCAGCAAAACCCGGAGGTAAACATTGGGCCGTACAGTGGTATGTGGACGTTGTACCACAATGTATGAGATATGACTTCTCAAACGTTGTGGAAGGCGCAATCCTCAGTATAAGAAACACAAAACATGGGACTATGACGGCGTCCTCGTCGTCAAAGGGAACTGGTGCGAGCTGTTGGACAACGAGGACGGACGACGGTAAGCCTCCTCAAAAAGCGCATATATGCTGATATCTTACGAGCCATTGTCAGTGTTGCCTGTGGGAAACCCTCTGGTGTGGAAGCCTCCAAGATAGAAGAAGACGTAGAGTTCCATCTCGGTGGCAAAGACGTCCGTGTGGACAACGCCATCAAGGCGTCAGAATACATGTCTGGCGCTTGCTTTTCTGGAAGCGTTGCGCTGACTGCTCCAGAGTCCGGCTCGAGCATGGCTGTGCATCGCAATTCTGGAACGGCTGCGAAGCAGTTCGTACCGCTCCGACCAAATAATGGCACTGGATTCAAGACGCCTTCCCTTACTCGGCTGCCTTCTGTCTCAGATAACAGCGCCGTGAGGACGTCTTCTCCATTGAACCAGAACCGCTGCGCGCCTTCTTTGGCGGCTTCCCAGACCAAAGCGGCAGGCGCGGGAGAAGTGAAGCCTTCGTACTGGTATGTCAACTGGCGCAAGCCTCAGCACAAGAAGCATAAGACGTGGGACGGCGATGCCTATCTTATGCACAAGGGAGATAAGCTTACCTTGGTTGCGGAGAAAGGACTAATGTAAGTCTGTGCGTCTTTCTGTGACATTTTTATACCGATGCATTTCCACCAGCGTCGGCACCAAGCAATGGGACGGTACCCCGATATATGTTGGCTATGAAGGCCGTATGGGTAACAAAGACTTTGAAGTCGACCATGAGATCACCCGAGCGGACATGCCAACTATTACTGGCGCAGAGGACTTTGACGGCGATATTGAGCTCGTGGGCAGCCAGGTCGAGGCAGCTCCATTTGTTGAGGCGAAGAAACCAAGAAATGTCGTCGATGTGGACACCTTGCCTGTGAAAGTGCCAAAAGCTCCACAGCCTGTGCCCGCACCCGCACCAAAGAAGTCTGTTGCGGCGGCTTCGTTCTATGCCCCCGTGCAGCAAGCGAGGCCCAAGGGTCCTTCGTACGTGTGATACCGGAGAGTGAGCATCTGACAACTCTAACTACCCGGTGCACAGGCATGATCCAGACGCACCGGGAGCGGTCGTCATGAAATCGCCAGATACTGCGCATATAGCCAAGTATAACAAAAAGTTTGTCATCCTCGGAACTTTTCCTCATTCACACTGATTGTGAAAATTCTGAAGGAACGCGCCAGTTGTCCCAGTGGTCATCGACCCCATTATCGCCCGCAAGCTGCGTCCACACCAGATTGAGGGCGTGAAATTCATGTACGAGTGCGTCATGGCTATGCAGGGACATGATGGAAGGGGCTGCATCCTTGCCGACGAGATGTATGTGCCTCGACCCTTTTAGTTATGTTGTGATTAACCGGTTTTTAGGGGTATGGGCAAAACACTGCAAACGATCACGCTTGTGTGGACACTTCTCAGTTCGTATTTACTGCATATATGGTGGTCCTGTCGTGTCTCACACGAGATTTGTGTCATTTAGAGCAGAACCCGTACGCTGGATTGGGTCCTATCGTCGGCAAAGTCATGATCGTCTGTCCGGTGACGCTCATCAAGGTAGGTTTTATCTCTAGTCTGGTGCCGTCTTTCCGCTAATGTATCCGCACAGAACTGGAAGAATGAGTTTCACAAGTGGTATGTTCTGTCATTTTTGCCTGGGCGAGAGGATTTACGTACCTGTAAGGCTGGGACGAGACCGACTAGGCATATTTACCGGAGACAAGGACAAGTCTACTATAAAGCAGTTTGTAAATTCGTGAGTCGTTCTGTCTGCTGGAGTTTTCGGGCTATTGCTGAGATTAATCACAGACGGATACATCATGTGCTAATCATAGGCTATGAGCGACTGCGGACAGTAATGTAAGTCTTCATACAAGCAAAGTTCTGTAGCGAGTGCTGACGAAATCTTGCAGCTCGGAGCTTCAGTACTGCATGTAAGTATTTTCGGGCTGCATACCAATCCTACTCATCGATATCGTCTGCAGTCCGCCTATTGGTCTTATCATTTGCGATGAAGGTATGTTGGCCACAATGGAGGCCCCCTGACGTTACTGACTGTAATCCCCAGGTCATCGTCTGAAATCTGCATCAAACAAGACGTCAACGATGTTCGAAGTCCTGACTACGCCTCGACGAATCATCCTGTCTGGAACACCAATCCAGAACGACCTGGGAGAATTCCACGCTATGGTTAGTGTCTTCAGTGTAGTTCCATGATGTGATCTAATCATTTCCTCAAAGGCGGACTTCTGTAACCCGGACTTACTAGGTCAGCAATGGCCAATGATAAACCCTCCTTGTGCTGATCCATCGTACAGGGAACTATAACAACTTTAAGAAGTTGTACGAAGTGCCTATACTCAAAAGCCGTGCTCCAGGGTGCTCCACCAAAGAGAGAGAACTGGGTGAGGCTCGACTCGAGCAACTGCTGGAGACCGCAAAGTCCTTCGTGCTGCGTAGGGATGCGAGCATTCTGAAGAACTACCTTCCACCCAAACGTACGCCGCTCCTCATGTTTCTCCCTTACCATCGCTTAATAGGTCTCCACGTAGACGAATACGTGGTCTTTATAACACCCACTCAGCTACAGCGCGACATCTTCCGTCAGATCCTCACGGCCGACAAGCTCGACAATCTCGTGCGGAACTCGACGGCCGAGTCACTTGCGCTCATCGGGATGCTCACCAAGGTCAGCAATAGCCCGATCCTGCTCAAAGCCGCCGCGGACAAGGCGCGCGAACAGGGGCGCGACGCGGAGGGCGAGCTCATCAAGAAGAATGTGTTCATGGAGGCAGCAAGACTCCTTCCAGAGAGGGCGCAGGTCGACGATGTGTCTTTGAGTGGTTAGCTCTCCCTATCTTTGACATAGCGCTTGCACTGATAAGCTCATGCAGGAAAGCTCATTGCACTGGCAAACCTGTTACGTGCATTGTATAAGGTCAGTTGATGACGCGCCCAAGCATCCAATCGATCACACGTAACGCTTTTGCAGGGAACCGACGAAAAATGTATCGTCGTTTCTCACTATACCTCGACGCTCAACATCATCGAGGCCTTCTGTAAGAAGAAACAGTACACATACCTGCGACTCGACGGGTACGCTACCTTCTCTTACACTCTAGCAATACATACTTACACGCGTTTCAGTTCAACTGCAGCGCAGAAGAGACAAGACTATGTTAACGAATTCAATAAATCGCTGCAAAGGCAAAGATGTACGTGCAACACGACGTTATCCCTGTACAAACTCGCTGACGTCCAGTCAGTTATATTCCTGTTGAGTTCCAAGGCTGGAGGTGTCGGTCTCAACCTCATCGGAGCCTCGAGGCTGTGCTTGATCGACTCTGACTGGAATCCAAGGTATGCTTGCACATCTTCCAGCTTCGATGTATATTATTGATGTCAGGGTCTAGTCATGATTTGCAGTCAATGGCTCGGATACACAGGTGGGTAATAACGTAGCCCGCAGGAAACACCACTGACAGCAGAGCAGAGATGGACAAAAGCGACCTGTGTTCATTTATCGGTTCTTGACCGCGGGGTCCATAGATGGTACGTCGCGGGCTGTCTTGAGATGGCATGGTGCTAATGTGCTCGCTATTGCAGAGAAGATCTACCAACGACAAGTCACGAAGCTTGGACTCAGTGACTGTAAGTATTATCTACGCTGACCGCTCCCTTCGTGCTGACGCACTGTATTTTCGTAGCATTTCTCGGAAAGGTTAGGGTCTTGCGCGCTTCATCCCAATGTGAAACTCAACAAGCTTTCGATAGGGCGGTTCTGAATCGAAGTCGGACTCTTTCACGCGCAAGGATGTAGGCACGGCGTACCTCGTATCTTGGTATCCTTCTGACTTTGGAGTTACTATAGCTGAGGGACATCTTCACCATTCATCCAAATACAGCATGCCATACCCACGACCTGCTAGAATGCCCATGTGAGGACGACTCTGGTTCGATGGCATCTACGAGGATATCATCGAAGGGTCCCACTGGTGGCTCAAATTCGGAGGCAGAAGACGAAGACGAAGACGATAGCTCTAATGGAGGCTTCATTCAGGCGTCTGCTGTTAAGCCCAAGCATATCGAGAAGCTCGACAAAGAAGTGCGTAGAGCCCCACTTTCGCGGATACCATCCACCTGACACTCACACTTCCCCAGTACTTGCGCCAGAAGAAAGCCCAACTCGCCGCCCTCGGACAGTGGACGCACATCAGCTGTCTGAGGAGGAATGCTGTAGAGCGCATCCAAGACTCGATCCTCCAGAAGCTGGTCTTCGTACCCGAGTCCGATGAGCGATCTAAAAACAGTGGCGGTTCCGCACCCTCGCGCGTAGCATCGCTTTTGGAGGCCACCGACCTTGAAGCCGTGCTGCAAGCAACGAGGCCGCCGCTTCCTGTCGAGTCTCTGCCCGGTGGCTCGGCATCATTTCTGTTCGAGCGAACGTCTAAGACGGCGCCGCTGGATGGGAAGATCTTACCTGAGGAAGACGAGTAGAGCGTGTATATTAGACTCGCTGTCCCGGCCCGGTCTCTACGCTCCGCGGTGGCCGCGTACGTCTTGCATCGTGGGATGTGATGTTGCGCGAGAAACTGGCGCGGGACGAACCTACCTTGTTATGTCCAGAGATCACGTTCTTCGTACGTCTGCGCGTGCTAATAAAGTATGCTTACATCATACCGTAGTCTTCGTTGTGTGACAACCGTGGCGGCCCTGCGAGACTGGGCGGTGACTCTACTGCGAGTCACTCATGCGATTCTCTCTTCCACAGACTATGAGCAAGACCCTCAACGTATGATGAATCTTTACGTCTACTTTAACTGATTTAAACAATTTGTTGGTGTTCACAGGTTCTCCTACAAGCCAAAGAATCTTGCCCTCGAAGACGTAATTTCGACTAAAGAAGCCAGGCGACCCACTCTGAAATATTCCAGGTCGTGAGCTCCATGGATCAGGAGACTACTTGCAGAATACCACAAGAGCTATGTGACATGATCGTTGACCATCTGTACGATGATCTGCAGTCTCTGCGTCAATGCTCTTTGGTTTGCAAAGCCTGGGAGCCCTCTAGCACGCTACACCTCTTCTCGCGTTTCTCCTGGCCCGCATGCGGCATATACTGGCTTCGCACGGACGAATTCAAGTCCTCCAACGTGTGTGGATGCCCTCGTCACGCGATGTCCTTTGCGGTGTGCCATCGCCTCTTCGCATCTTCTTCCCGGATCCGCAATGCCGTTGGTCACTTCAGGATGACTGGTCTTCGCTGCCCAACCGGATTCGTCTTAGATGAGCCCGAATCTGAACCAATACCCCTCACATTCGTTTTTGCTCTCGCGGACCTGCTGCCGTCCTTGCCTACCTTGGAGGTCTGGGACCTTGGCCATGGGCGCGGAGTTATCGGACCGCTCCCTCAGATCTCATTGGTCCCCTGCAACCTCACGAGGCTTGAAATTGTAGGGTCGATGACCGTATTCGACGAGAAGGCCATTTTTACCATCTTGTCCGCTTTCAATCGCATCCACACCGTCGTTCTGGACTGCAGCACCGAAGAAGATCTCGATGCGTCCCCAGTCTCATCTCAAATTTACCAACGTTTTCCTGCCACTGCTGTGGACCACATCGAGGTCATCTTTCCTGGGTTTATTCCCCAAGTGCTTGCCCGTCTCCCCGAGCAGATAGACATGGGTGCGCTTCGAGGAATAACAGCCCACCAGTATCTGGAAGAAGGACTAGAGATCCTCCTGCGTTCCGCTTCGGTACTCGAGTCTCTGGTATACATGCCTGGCAACGCACCACCGCCAATCCCCAGCCCCAACTCATTGCGCGTCATCGGCCTCACTTGCTCCATTATAGCTGCCGAACCCGAGTCACCAACGTTCCAAACTCCTTTTGGGTGGGAGGACATCCTGCGAGACCTCAGCACTATGGAAGCCCCTGACCTCCGCGAACTCACAGTAACCATTCTGCTTTTGGAGTTAGGTTGTTGGGGGAAAGACGCGACTGCTTCTGAAGACGCCTTTGCACATGCCCTAGCGTCATACCCTTCAAAAGCAGGATTGGGATATCTTGCGAGGCATCCTTAGGCGATGTGCGAAGTTGCGAAAGCTGAAGCTCGTCGTTGCTGTGGATGACGACTGGTCTTCGTTTCAGTATATGCTGCCGTACCTACGTTGCTCCGGCTGAGTTATGCGAGAGATTGCGGCGAAACGCCTGGGCAGTGAGGTAGAGAGCATTTTGGAGGTGGTGGCAGAACATCGGCGGAACGCGACAGATGGTGTCATCCGCTATTACCCGTCTACTCTGGCACGCTCTTGGAAATTCGAGACAGCGAATCCATACGCTCGGTACTGTGCTGTGGCTATGTTTTTGAGCACTGCTATTTCTACAGTGTCTGGATGCTGTCGATTGACTGTTGAACTTTACGGCTTCTCGCGCACGGCGCCTCCGCGCGCCTTCAATGATCCCCGCCTCATCCTGCTCGAGCACACCGCCGACGTAGTCAGCCTTCGAGACTTTGGTCCGGTCCGGTCGCTATACTCCGCGGTGGCCAATACCCCTCACACTCTTGTTTGCTCTCCCGGACCTGCTGCCATCCCTGCACACCTTGGAGGTTCGTAATCTTGGCCACGGGCGCGGAGTTATCGGGCCACTCCCTCAGATCTCATTGGTCCCCTGCAACCTCACTAAGCTTAAATTTGTGGGGACGGTTTGTTCGACGAGAGGGCCATTTTCACTCTCTTGTCCGCTTTCAGTCACATCCACACCGTTGCTCTCGACTGCTGCACCGAGAAAGATCACTATCCGCACCCGCTCAGCATCGGGGAAGATCTCAACCCGTCCCCGATCTCGTCTCAAATTTACCAACGTTTTCCTGCCACTGCTGTGGACCACATCGAGGTCGTCTCTCCTGAATTAATTACCCAGGTGCTTGCCCGTCTTCCTGAGCAGATAGACACGGGTGCGCTTCGAGGAGTAACAGCCCACCGGTTCCTGGAGAAAGGGTTAGAGACCCTCCTGCGTTCCGCTTCGGCTCTCGAGTCTCTGGCATACATGCCTGACAATGCATCACCGCTAATCCCCAATCCCGCCCCTTTGCATATCGCCTGCCTCACCTGCCATATTACCGTTACCAAACCCAAGTCACCAACGTTCATAACTCCGTGGGAGCGAATCCTGCGAGACCTCGACGCTATGGAAGCCCCCGACCTTCGAAAACTCACAGTAGTCATCCTTCTGCGTTTGTTAGCATACGAGTGGGATGAAGATGTGACTATTTCCGAAGATACCTTCGCACATGCCCTGGCATCATGCCTTCAAAATCAGGATTGGGGTATCTTCCGAGGCGTCCTCAGGCGATGTCTGAAGCTGCGAAAGTTGAAGTTTATTGTCACTGGAAGCATATGGCATGAACCGCAGTCCGCGGTGGATGCTGCCGTATTTACACTGCTTCGGCCGAGTTATACGAGAGGTCGTAGCGGGATGCCTGGGCAGCAAGGGGGAGAGTATTTTAGAGGTGGTGGCAGAACATCGGCGGCCGGGCCTGATAGACGATGTCGTCCGCTATTACCCGTGATCATTTCCAGTAGAAAGTCGTTCTAGCAGAGTGTGTGTGCAGAATGTAGTCGTACATACCCCATTTGAGATCATCGCTGGTCTATGCTGGAAGACTCTTGAGCATTCGAGATGTATGTCCAGCTGCGGCTACGTTCCCGAGCATCATTATCCTCAGTTCTCACAGCACCACAGTGGATATTGTGTGCGTCAAATGACTATTTAATTTATTTCGTTCATACTTGACGAGTCCCCCTCTGTAATTGTAGGTCTTGATGGTTAGCGTATGCTATACGATGCTCCTGCAGGAGCTCGGCCAAACTTGGCAACCCGCCGCTTGGGCGTTTTCCACAAGCGTCACGGTCATGTCCTTTACCTCCTATTCTCGCACTGGCCCTCTTGCTTTATCATGAACGCAGAGCCGCCACAATGTCCGGCGTATCTTGCAACAGGAGCAGAGCTCAGCATCGAGCTCGAAGATTCCGCTGGCACCCTGCGTATGGCGGTCGTTCATCCCGTGCTACCTTTCACGAGCTCGCAAGTTGTCGTCGCCCGGTTGTCTTCCAAAGACACTGCCACCGCGTGTCGTCTCGCGCCTGGCTTGAGCGTTGTCCTGAAGATATTCGATCCTCGCTTTTTAAAACGTCGAGGTCCCGATGACGACGATCAACCCTGGTCCGAGGCAGAGCTGGAGGAGTTTCAGCGCCACAAAGGAGAGCTAACACGCTGGTGCCAGACTCTGCATCCCGACGCCCTGGGCATGGACAACTGGGAAGAGTTTTACTTCCTGCGCATGTACTCCGATCATGCCGCGGAGGTCGAGGCGTACCGAATGCTACACCCGCTGCAGGGGTGCGGCGTGCCCGTGTTCTACGGCAGCGGCACGCTCGACCTCTCGCGTACGGCGCCCCCATGCGCCTTCAACCCGCGCCTCATCCTGCTCGAGCACATCGCCGACGCGGTCAGCCTTCGAGACATCGACCCGCTCCTGCTGAGCGCGCCGCTCGTCGAGTCGCTGCTCGACACAATGCAGCGCCTCGGCGCGCTCGGCGTCGCGCACGGCGACCTCAACTTCACGAACTACCTCTTTACGCCTGCGCGCCGCCCGACGCGCGCGGTGATCATCGACTTTGCGGACTCGGTGTCACGCAGGCCCGACTCCACGGACGAAGAGTGGACGCGGCTCGTGGAAGAGTACGGCGTGATGCGCGAGACGAGGATCAAGATCGCGATGCGGTTCACGATCGCTGGTTTGCGTGTCCCGGCAGCGTGTTCGCCTGAAGACCTGCCGGGTTTTGGCGACATGAATCGAGCTAGCTTAAGCTCGTTATGAGCTAAGCGTATGGCGACAGCTGACGCTTCCCTTCATGCCAAATTCGTATCAGGCCGACGCAGGGACTGTTGTCCATCTCACTTGGGTAGTGCGCGTGTCATTTGCACCCTCAGTATCTCACATTAAATCATAGCACCACACGATCGCCCTCCGAATCCAATTGGGTGCAGCACAGAGCTCCCCATAACTTTCGGCAGAAGCATTCACGCTGCATAACATCAGTCTAGATCTGCTCAGATCCGATTACTCGACCGTGCATCAAACGCTCCTAGATCGGTTTTGACTTCGCCACCTCTAATCAGCCTACCTCGGAATTCTCGGGTATGTGGCTCGGGATCGTGTGGGAGTGGTGATAACAGTAGTGTATAGGGCTACGTTGTGGGTCCCAGGAGTGTACACATGATTGGAGCAGCAAATTACGGCTCGGACCCTGGATGTTCCAGCTCAACTTGTTTTTGTGTTCGAAATACCATCCGAGAACAAGTCTGAAACAGAAAACTGCACCATGGACGCAGCCGCGACGATGAAGGTACCGAGCAGCGGCAAACACAGCGTGTCATCGTTGTGCTGTCACCAACAGCGTTCCTGGGGGTCGAAGTAGTCCGCGACGTCACCCCAAACGCATCCAGCCCGCCAATCGAGACAGTGAACCGAGCCCCAGGCTGGTAAGGGCGATTACCTGCCTTTGTCGTGTCGAGCGTAGGGGTTCTTCCGGAGCTGCCACAACTGCCGGTCGTGCAGCTGTTGAAAGTTCTCCTGCAGTTTCAGCTGTAAACGAGCTCGTCAGGACCGTCTCGGACAACAGGGGGCAAGGCACACGGGGCGTCGGGACTCACCCACTGCAGCCTAGCCAGGGCCTTACCAGTGTAGTCGTCGATCCGCCACTTGGGCCGGGTGGAGACGTCGTAGCTGTCAAAGTCGCCCGCCGCGAAGCGGTGCATCGCCGCCCAGGCGATCATGACCGCGTTGTCCGTGCACAGGTGTGGCGGCGGGTAGACGAGGTTGGGCGGGTCGTCCGGGAAAGTGTCGGCCAGGGACTGTCGCAGCCTGCGCACCAAAAAAAAAAAAAAAAAAAAGAACATGAGATGGCTCGGCCGGCAGGGGTGGCTGCGGGTATCAACGCACGTTTTGCGCAGGTAGGCGTTGCTCGCCACTCCGCCGCTCACGACGACGTCTCGGACGCCCACGCCGAGCTTCGCACAGTGCTCCAGCGCGAGCGCCGTCTTCTCCTCGAGCTGCCGCACCGCCGCAGCTTGAAAGGCGCGCGCGAGCTTGAGGCGCGTCGACAGCGGCACGCGCTGCACGCCGCCGCGCTCGCGCACGAAGATCTCGACGCGGCTCCGCGGCCCGCCGTACGAGAACGCGAGTTGGCGCGGCATCGGGACTGCAATCTCAGGCGTCTCCTCGTCGTCGTCGTCGTCGTCGCGCACGTCCGCGTCGACCGCGTCGGTGAAGCGCGCGGTGCCGCTCGCGCAGAACGCCTCAAGCGCCGCGCCGTACCCGCGCTCGGTCGGCGCGAGGCCGAGGTACTTGGCGACGTGGTCGAACGCGCAGCCGATGCTGATGTCGGGCGTCGTCGCGAGCGTCTTGAATTGGTCGTGCGAGTGCGTGAGGAGCAGCAGTGTGTGCCCGCCCGAGATGAGCAGGGAGAGGAACGGGAAGCGCGGAGGTATGGGTGGGAGTTCGACTTCGGCGGCGGAGGCAAAGGTAGTCTGTGTCTGGTACAGGGTCGGGATGAGCGGTGTCAGCGCGTGTGCTTGCTTCAAGGGGATCAGAAATGCATGTAGACGGTGGGTGTATGCAGCCGCACCATATGGTGTACGCCGATTATTGGCTTATTGAGAGTTGCTCCGAGGACTTTTGCGGCTGTCGAGCACACGCTTAGGCAACCACCTATGCCTAAAATGTGTGAGACGCTAAGTTTTGAGTCCAGCGTGTATACTGCCGTGATTGGTTAAACGCACCTGGCCCCCGTGTATACGCTATTCCGTCTACACTTGACACGTCCAGCCCTGCCTCGTCCAGTGCTCTTCGTATTGCTCCGGGCTGCATGACAGACGTCAGGAAGGGTGTGGAAGCGCAAAGCATAGAGGCATACCATATTCTGCTGGTGCTTCTGGATTGCTACATACGGGTGTATGCCGCCATGTTCAGCGAGTCTATTGGGTGACAGATCCCCTGAAGTATGAGTCCACCATGTTTTCAGTAACAACAATAGGTCGTTTCACCTACTCTTCGTTCTGTTTCACGACCACATTGGAGAGTATGTGTCCCTCCGAGGTGACCACCGCCGCGCAAGTGTCGTCTGCCGAAGATTCAAGGCCGAGGAGTGTAAAACATCGTTTTGAAATGTATTGCGATGGCCTGGCACCGGTTGTAGAGAGTCGGAGATTCCGGGAGAGGTGAGTGAGCATAAGAGATGGAGTTGCAGCTCAAGGCTTTCGGCTTGCACCAGTGAGTAAATGGGGATAGTTACTATAGCATATCGGCTTTGTTACACTACTTTCCCACGGTAAAGTAAGTGGAGTACAGCTACTCGTGCCGCTCATGAAAGATGACCGGTATTTATTGTTCACCGCGAGCGGTCTTCTCCTAGCGTGAGAACACGACACGTACATCCTGCAGGTCTCCCCGGAGCTGAAGCGCTGACGTTCAAGCAGTTTGTGGTAGCGTACCGGGCGAGCGGTATGCCGACGACGCTGCGCGACACGGGCCCGTGAACACTTGAAGGGCGTCCTTGCGCACGATGTGGGCTTGGGAGGGATAATCGGCCGGAATCGGTGGCAGGAACTGCAGGATCGGGGTGGAGACGTGCACGATTGGCTTGTTATCCCTCCTCAATCTACTCCCATCTGGTGCAATGAGGACTACGACCTGGACTGGATAATGAAGACGTTGACTGAAGAGACAGGAAATTTAATTAGTGTGTCGATGGGTCCTACCATCACAGTAACAGCGCATGTACGTTTTGTTCTCGTACGTTTCGCGCCGCAGGCTCGAAAAATAACAAATGTTAGTTGTAGCAGATACAACTTGGGCGCTTGGGCCCCTTTCAGTAACCCGTGAGTTTCAAAACTTGCGCGAGTTTCGGCATGCCGGCCCAGTCACCCCGCTGTCACTTGCACATGTAATTCCGCTTAGTCAAAGTGATGCCCTCCGTCTGCAAGCAAGCCTCTGCCGTCCGAGACAAGTTCTACTGTTCAGCGCAGGCCAGAAGGGTTGCCCTAGGTCTTACCCTATGGATATAGCAGGAACTTGCATGAAGTCCTGCCTTTGAAGCTCTCATCACTCATCTTGACCGCTGTTATTTCCAGGCTTGTCATTTCTTTGCAGCAGTGCTATTTCAGGGGACCATACCATAATTTCTGCACTCACCAGCCTTAGACGGACTCAGGGCCTGCTCCCCGCCCTGCGCGATGCAGCAGAACAGTGCTTTCGCGGCTGTCACGTGTAGTCACAGGCTTGTCACTTATTGGTCACACTAGCGCTTGGGTCTGAGTTTGCAAACTCATGGGTTACTGAAAGGGGTTGAGAAAAACCCGCATCCAGTAGTGTCGTGCATCTAGTCGTAGGAGCTACTGCCAACGTCTGCCGTGATTGGCTGAGTCCCCTCCAGAAAAGGCGGTGTCAGGTACCAAAAGTAGAAGCGATGCACCGATGAAGCGCCCGAGCTCCGACGCCCAATGCTGCGGACTCAAATCTCAGACTTTGTCTCGGCATGAATGCAATATCTACCTTACGGTTGCCGAGCAGGCTCAGGTCAAATCCCCAAAACTCAAGTCCGGATCACAAAGCTGATGGCCAACCGCATAATGAGTGCCCGAGCACCTTTCCACACACAGACATTATTTTGTGTTATGTATGGCATTTTTGGGTCTTTTAGATGTTACGAAAGCATGTCAAGTGTTGTATCTGTATACTCTGAGGTCAATAAGGGTAGTAGCAGGCCGAGGACCATTATCTGACCCAGGCTTATCAAAGCGGTAGTCAAGCGCCCATAGCTTCGATTATCTTATCTAGAACCTAACCCTAAGTCAGCAGCACAATATAGCGAGTACAGCATGACTTGTTCTCACTAGGTGATATTGATCATAACTAGGTTAGCAGCTGATAATATACATACATTTAGTAAAATAGCTACACAGGAGGGCAAGGTCAAGCACACTTGCAATGACTCTGACAGCAAGGGGGGCCCAAGCCCCGACGTGCTGCTTCTACATGGAAAGTGGGCGCCTAACGCCGCCATCGCTGTTCACCCCACCGCCTGGCCTGCCAACGATGATTGACATGCTTTATTTGACTCCTAACCTCGTATACATGCAATATTAATCGATTATTTATGCTGAAAATGCTCAAATGTTCAGAGTAAGAGGCACCAGTGCACTCGGAAATTGGTGGTGTACGGCGGTTATCCGAGCGCTGATGGTATCAGATTTGGGTTTCTGACTTGGGTCTTGGAGATTTGACCTGAGCTTGCTCGGCAACCGTACTACCTGGAAAACCTGGGCATCGGTTGCAGCATTTATTTCAAGTGACACGAAGGTGAACAGCATGATATCGCAAGACTCAGCCAGTCATGGCGGTCATTCCCACGGCCAGGTGCACAATTGGATGCGTGACTGGAAATGAAGTTTAGTCACACCCTGCGCAGTTTGCCTGCTGTGACAGGAACGTGAAGAGCGGTGTACCGCCACTTTCAAGGGCGGCAGTTAGGAGCTGCTTTGAATGGGACAATGGTATTGGACGGAATTCAGTACGATCCTCTCTGAAATGTCATTCGGGACCCGAAACAGCTTCAGGCTGTCCTCAAACGTCTGAAGCAAGACTTTGAAAACCAGATTTGTGGCATTTCAAATCGAAATGGCCGTGATTGTGATGAGGTCTGAACCGTTGCGTGAAGCTCTGTGCGCGATGATGCACCCCAGTGTCATCATGGCGCGCAGGTGTTTGCTGGACAAGCCTCAGATGTATATAAGCTCGCTCGACTGCCATGGTCAAACCACAGATTCCTCGCCTCTCTCGACTCGACAGCCTAATAACTCTCTCCTTTCAACTCTACATTGCTCACAGGTACTGCCATGTACTTCACCCTCTTCCTTGTCTGGGCTCTCGCTGCCACGATTGCTGTCTCGCGGCCGTCTCCCAAGGACCGTCACGAGGTCCGCACGTTCTGTCGTTCTCAAAACACATCCACGACACAACCAGAGTTTTCAACCTCAGCTGGCGCCTCTTTGAACGCCTCTGAAGTGAGTCCCCTCTTATGTCTTGGTGTGTTGCATGTGCCGATGAACTTGACTTCCGCATAGGGCACGTTCACGAGCATTGTGGCGTCCACTGTGATTCCGTATCTTAGCGTGCCTGAGAATCAGGACCTGAGTCTCAACTACTCCGCGTCCTTCTTTGTCGGCGTTGGTGTCATCTCCTGCGAGAATGCCCTTGCGGCTGGTATCGGCTTCAGCCTCCAGAATGGCACACAGACCAATACTGGTCAGTCTGTGCTCCTTGCCCTCCTCCTCACATGCTGACAAACCACCCATATTCTCGCAGCCAGTCTCCAGGTTTTCCCTGCCACTGAGTCCCACAAGATCCGGGGTATCAGCTTCTCTCCGGGCGACAACGTCACGGTAGCTGTCACCGCGCTGAACGCGACATCAGGCGAGGTGGTCATGATCAATCAGAGCATGAACCAGATCGTCTCCAAGACCGTCTATACCAGCTATATATGCAGGGAGGATGTAGAGGTGATTGTACAACAAAAAACCGTAGGGGACTCCCTCGTCCCCTTGGCCAACTTTAGCACGATTGACTTCACTGGTGTATATGCCGGGACCAACACAGACCCCGTCAACTTCTCTAGCGCGACTCTTTTGAACATAAGAGAGAACCACACTGATTTGACTTACGTCTCGGCCTCGTCCTTGGATGTTGCTATCACTTTCCTCTAATGCAGCAGAAAGGATGTAGATTTTGTGGGTTGAGGGAAGTGGAAAGGAAATGGTGTATGATTTGTACCCCATGGGCTAGAAGGACTAGTATTTATTGAACATTGCTTGTACAGTGTACTACATTCACTTGGCACACTATGGCCAGTTGGCACAGTACTTGAGCTCTGGCCTTGTGTTCCAGGCTTCTCCATAATTTATTTGGGTACAACAATAGCTAATATACATATGATTATGTAGAAGTCAAATAGTAGACTTGCCAGCCAGGTCCAGTCGCTGCGCTCCGTGGGGGACCATGTGCGTCTTATTGCATCCCATTTGGGCAAGAGAGGCGACGAAACTGGCATGGGACAAGCCTAGTCAAATAGTAGGCATCCGAGGACACAATATTGCTCGAACAGGTTTCCACTGCCGACACGCAACTTTCCCATTGTTAAAATGTCATTTTTACATTATGAGTAGCATATGGAGTATTTCCGGCATGTAAAATGTGCGATTACCTGTAGAAATCAGAAAAAGGACTTGTTTCTGTGCCAGGAGCCGTCCAGTGTCACTGAGCGAGCAAAAGTCCGTTTCCCAGCACTTACATATCATATCAGTCAGGTAATGACATACTGTGTCAAATGACACAAATGACCTTGTCGCGCTCCGCTGCGCTTGTCCACTTCACAGCTACAGCATTCCTCCCATACCCTTTATTTTTTCAAGTCATAGAATACTTTAGGTGCAGCAGATTATTCCATAACAAAAAAATACTGTGATTCAGGCCACAGAGAGTACTAGACAAGAAGTTCAATTTACTATGCCAACTGACACCAGTATACTGTATGACTTGTTTGCATATCCCATTAGGAAACACTGCCTGACTACGTAGCAAGGGCGCTTACTACCCTGAGCCACCACATCTGCCCTTGTTGGATAGCGCATGTGTGGGGGCTCAGGAGTGCCTGGTAGCACCGAGCAGCAGCACACACATTCTAGGGGTCACTATGATGTGCCAGAAATTTTATATCAATTATTCAAGCTATGGTGTGCAGATCTGTATGCAGGATACATACCTGTGTCATTACCAGACCAAAATTAGATACGTGCACCAATGAGCAGCACTCCAAGGCAAACCTGCATAGGCGTCCAAGAGGCGTCTGTGTAAGTACAAGGACGTCTGCCCTAAAGTGTTGGATGATGGCGCAAACAGACGAAGGTAAGCACTCCAACATCTCGTTGTCCCAGCTTGCGTCCCAGCCTCCACATCAGTCCATCGTAACGCAGCTCAACTATCCCTTTAGTACGCTGCTGAGGCTACAGCCATCACAGACGCCTCGTCCTCCATGGGACTCTGGCAGAATGGACAAAAGCTGGCCACGATAGCCGAAGCTCCCAACATCCCCGGACTCCGGGCATACTCCCACCGACATGCCGCATTGCCATCGGCGGAGCAAGCATGAAAAACAACAGTGCGCCCTAGGGCCGTGCCCCGTCCTGCTGAGCGAAGAGCTTGTAGACTACGCAGTAAGCATTACGAACTGCAAACAGCTGCGGAGGGTTGGATCATCCTCTAGCCACCATATCACTAACTTCTGGACTTATCAGGCTAGCGTGTGCACATGCTAGATCCGGATACAGGCGGATGCGGATGGCAGGACTACAGGCCGTGGACAAGGTAAGTATTTTCTCTGCACGACTTGGCTATCACTGAGCTAACCTTGCACTAGCTCATAGAAGAAGTCTGGCTATGCTGGTCTTTCCACCATGGCCTCATGATTATCAAGTCCAATACTGCTTCCCAGGCCAAGTAGGGTGACCACCGTTGAAGAGCCTGGCACTTAGGTGAGTACTACCTCTTCTGCTGTTATCATGAATAGCTCTGACCCATATGTTGCAGATTTATTTTTGTGCCTACCATTTGCACATGCCGCCAAAGTTATCATGACTATATGACTGCGAGAAGGATGTGTAGCATATTAACATGTACCTAACTTAATACATATTTATATATATATATATTTCCCTCATTAATGTCTGGTGTGACCATATGCACCCTCGAAAGTGGTAACATCTACTTGCATCTACAAACAAGCTCCTGCCACGCTGCGGTGAACTACTGAGCAAAGGCGGGCAGCTACTGGTGCCACGGAGGCACAGCGAGAGCCGCAGGGGGCTGCCGAATTGGGTACCATTCTACCAGTCTACCAGAAACCCGCAGCACCCGAAGCGCTGTGTAGCGCTGGCATTGTTTCCTGATGCCTATGTGTAGCCAAAAGGGCCGTTAATTCTTCAACACTGCTTGTATCGCTTGTATCACTCCGACAAACTGCAGTATAACTGTGCTTGACTGCCTTACATGAACTAGTCCTGCAGGAGCTCCATAATCGGTACCAACAACTCGACACATGGTCTCCGCCACGATTTTTTACGTTCAACGGGCACAGGGTCAAGATCAGCGTCCCACACTGCAACTCTGGTCCCCATCAACGAAGCTAATTTCAGCACGACAGCGTATGGGCTCGCGCACAAAAGCGTTCAAACTTCAAGCTTCAAGTCTCACGCACGGCCGCTTTAGAGTGGCGGGAGCGTGCGAGACGCGCATGGATTCTGAACCCTCCCGATGACGAAGAGCGCTGTGCCGAAACCGCGTCTGCTCGCGGCGCTCTGGAGACATCGGCGCGGAAGCCGCCTTGACGGAGAGACCCGGAATTCAGCATGATTCGTCGCTTCAAGACCCGAAACCGCGCCGGTATCAGTGCCAAATCGTCATCACAGCGAATCTGGAGAGCATGTATCCAATAGTCGTTCACGGACAAATGCGAGTTCTACTCTTGTGTTTCAATGGGCGCCCAGAACGCTTGTATGACCTCTGACACTATAGCTGATGCCCCTCTGATACCAGTAGAGGCGTCTAGCCTCGCGGCGCTCGACGCACTCCTCGTCCATCATTCATCCCACATCCCCTGTCGCATTATCCATCCGAATTGTATGCGTCGCCTCGTGCGGAACTAATGTCCGATACGTGGCTGAAGCGGAGGATTCCTCATGGGGGTGCGACTTTACAGCATTATGAATCGAATGTTGCGCAGCCCGGGGAGAACTTGAGCCAATGTTCGAATCCTTCAGAGCTCCGTAAAAACCCCCGAACCTGGGAATGGCCCAAGTGAGCAGGCTCCCAGCTTTGGTTAGATGTGTTCATGGACATAGGCGCAATGGTGCTAAAGCCTTCGAAGATCTATGAGTGTTCCCGAACGCTCAAGCGACAATCCATTGTAAAAGATCGACGTCATTCATTTAGGGCTGTCTATGTATGCTCGGGAGAACGGCGAAGGGAGGCAATTTGGATCTTGTTTGTACATGCCTATCAAAGCGACCCTTCAAGGACGCGAGTTCCGAAGTACATACGTTCTGGTTCTCCAAGCTCCCCGAGAGTCGAAGCCGAGGCTTTCTTCGCAGACCCTGAATGTCGTGGCCATTGGTCCATCAGCGGAGGTCAGGGCCCACCCACTAGAGCTGCCAAGAGACCCTGTGCCGGCCGAAGGGCACTCGACGTAACGTAAGTGCTGGCGGCCGACGGCACCTGCCCAAAGTTGTTAGGTCCAGGAACGCTCCATCACCGCAGGAAGGGTACTTTATATTTGGGCGCGGGACTGATTTCTGCGCTTGGATCCGCACCAAACTGCACTGATGCGCCCAAAAAATCAAATAAACAGGCAATACTAGTGTATGTGAGGCCACTGCAAGCATCGAGCTTTCAGTGCCAGGACGATATGGACAGAGGCTAGAGTTTAAGGCGTGGAAGGCCAAAGAAGCCGACGGCTTTGAGAGGTAGCTTTGTGGCGCGGGAGGTTCCGGTGAAAATGATTGAGATCACGGCTGCAATCTTTGTGCGATTTGTTCCCGTCCGCGCAGGACTCGATCTTGTCCCCATTTGATATACCCCCCCCAGCCCAGGACCGTTCGTGACGACAGCACACCCACGGCACTGTATTTACCACTGCTGGCTGCGAGGAATGGTTGGGCATCGTCGGCGACAATGAGCTTCCGCATCGCGGGATCTTGTCTGTGCACAGCAACGAGCGACGACTGTTCACCGTGGGAAGGAAGGTTCGGTATCTCGATAGAGTGGCGGCACGGAGCCAGTCCGCGTCTTTCGCAGGTGTTGCCGTGGCAATGTCCGAGAGCCCCTCCTCGTTTCACACTAGCGGCCTCTTGCATCGCTCCCAGGGATCTCACCACTTTGCTCCCCCGACGCCCACCACGGTCCCTGGCGACGGCCGCCGTCCGAGCATGCTATGCACAGGCGAGTCCGCGGTCCCAGCGAAAATGAAACGGGATGCCGCAGGGGCGTAGCGCTGTCGCGTGGCAGAACCCGGACGTGTGGCTTCGTGACTGCATCCGCTGCCCAAGATGGACACTGCATCGCAGAACAAGGAACGCAAGCGCCGGGTTGGCACCTGAGCAACTTCGCACAGAAATTGTGATTGGTGTCTGACAGGAAAGCAAATGAAACACCGCATAGGAAATGCCTCTGCCTCATCCACCGGCCTCACCCCACACAAACTTTCCGTTATAACCTGCCGCCCGTATTCCAACACACGTCCGCCCCCTCTTGCCTCCTTGCTCCCATCTCCCCTTCTTGCTTTCGCCGTCTGCCCCATTGTGTGCTCGACGACGGCCGCTTACCATCCTCTCGCTTTTAATCCTACTTATTGCTTTGTAAACGATGGAGGGACAGGCCGTACCTTTCCCGAGCGTTTCCCGCTTCAATGATGAGGTACACATCGCGGTCATATGCTCCGATGATCCCGCTGACTGCGCCTCGTAGATCTCTCCAGAAAGGCGAATCGGCGACCGCGCCCCTCACGGACGCGTAAAGTCGTCGCCCTCTCTGCCGGACTGGTGAGTATTAGTAAATGCGGACTGTGAGGGCGTACAATGTGTGGTCGATTGCTGTGGTCGAGTGTCACGGTCCTGTGGGACTTTGGCGTGTCACAAGGCGCGCATTATGGGACTGTACAGCGCACAAGTGCATGCGATAAGGCAAATGCTTATCTCGGTCATCCTTCAGGTCGCTCCAACTTGGCAATTCGGGTGCCCGCCCACGTCTTAATCCTCTGGACCTCGCAGTGGCTCGTCCTTCCACCCCGCCACCGTTCTCCAAGTATCTTCAGCCGTTTCCATCCCCCCATTCTGCCCAAAACTCACCGCGCAAGGATAGCTTCGCTGGCTTGACGAGGACCGCCAGCGGCTCTCCTCACAGGCTTAGCACCCTGTTGACGCCACCTCTCACGCCTTCCTCTTCGTTCAATTCCGCATCCACGGTTGCGACCGAGTCCGACTTCGGTGGTGATGCCGACGTCGTGCCCGGTACACCCCCTGATGGCGGCAGCCCTCTCACCTGGGGCAAGCTTAGGCTGAAGAGACCCAGCATCACCGACGTCGACGCATCCGACGACGTCGCCGTCGGACTCACATGTTCAAACGATGACGTTGCAGAGCTCAACGCACGCATGAGGATGATAGATCTTACTCCGCGCTTCGAGAAGAAGAAGCTTGTGTTCGGCAACATCGGCGAACAGGATATTCGGAGCCTTGCAGAAGGGGGAAAAGCTTTGGAAGAAGAGAGCAAGGCGTCCAGGTTCTTACTCGTGCGTTCCATGCCGCCGTATTCCTTCACGCTTGCTCATGTGCTCTCAGGTTCATCATGTCTCTGCGAGAACCACGGAGTCAGATATACGCAATGCTCTCTCCCGTCTTGGTGTATCCAGAATCAAAGGCGTCATCCGCGTGCAGCCTCAAGGGCTGATCCTGATCGTCTTCTACGACCTGCGCGACGCCATCCGTTCGGCTACAAGTCTTGATGGGAAGACCGTCGGTGAGCTAAACAAGAACGGGGTGAGGCTATCCTCGTCCCTGTTCGCTATGGGCGAGCGAAAGGTTGAGGACGTGCCGCTTCGCGTCGAATACACTGACAAGGCTACCCTCGAAAAGGTGAGTAGCTATTGCCCCGCATATATGCGTCGTATTATTCATCCGCGTACCTTTCAGATGCTTCAAAATCGCCCCCCTACCATCTGGGCCGGTACCGAAAGTGCATTGCTTGTGGAAGCTTTTTCGACGAACCGTGGCGTCGGAGCCGATGAGGTTCACAAGATCATGACGTCGCTTGGTGCCCTCGCGGAGTTTGGACCAGCCAACCCGAAGACTATTCGCGCTCTGAAGGCCAGCGGTGTCTGTGGTTTGAACACCGCTCAAGACTCTCAGGTATTCTTCGCCGACTACTACGACTCCGAGACTGCGGCGACGGCTCGTCAACAGTTGGACAACCGCACCATCTTTCACATGCGCCTCCGGATCTACTGGGACTCCGACCTAGAAGACGTATTCGAGGAAGAGCCAGAGAAGGAACAAGCTGGGCAGGACCAGATGCCATACCCGCTCTTGAGCTACGCCTCCTTGAACGGCGGTCCTGGGATCTTTGACCTCGCGAGTCCACCGACGTCTTCGTCTCTTCCTCTCCCAGAGAGTCCGACCCCCAAGAGAGGCGGAGGCGACACAGAGCGTGAGTAACCGCCAGCTTTCTCGCGAACAGACAGAGCTGACACTTACAACCCCTCAAGTCGTTGGCGCTCAAGTGCGGCGCCGCAGCAGGGCCGAAATCAACGATTTTCCCAACGAGGCACCTCACCATGTTGAACGAGACAGGGTTAGCCTGTCCACCGCTAGTCCGAGTCACTACGGAGGATTATTCTTCGATAGTCTTGACAGGGTTAGTCTATCGTCCTCGCGCTATCGACGTTACTAACTATGCATTCCACTAGGCTCCTCCGTCTTCGTACAACACCGATCGGCCGCACAATGTGAACGCGAATCCCGACGGGCGCGCTCCAGACCTCTCTAATTTCCATTACGCGTATAGTTTGTTTGACAGCGTGGGTTCGACATCATCTAACATCCCGTCCTACCCTTCGTCTAATGAAGGGTACTTCGCTGCGCAACCACTCGTATCCCAGCCGACTGGGTATCATATCCCTCCTCCCAGCCCTTACCAGCCCTTTGAACCTTATTGCGCGTCTACGATCGCAGGGTATGGCACTGTTCGCGACTCCTCTGGCTGGATCTACCCGTCGACATCGCCCGCTCCCGAGGACCTGTTCCCTGCCAGCGGTCGCGGCGAGCGCAACCTTTTTTCGGGCAGAATCGATGGAAGGAAGTATTTCCGGCCCAATCATGGCAATCGCAGTGGTCATTCGTCGTCGTCGACGTTTGGATGCTCGTCGTCAGGCTCTTCGCTTGAGGATAGCTTTGCTTCTTCTATGTCAGCCGAATTCGCTTTTGGAGAGAATGTAATGATGGATAAGGGGCAGGTCAGCGAGAAGAACCAGCTGAACATCGTGAACATCGAGAACGGCCTGGATACACGTACGACGGTCATGATCAAGAACATCCCAAACAAGATGAGCGACCAGGACCTCATGGCCTTTATCGATCGGGTCTGCCCCAGGCGCATCGACTTCTTGTATCTGAGGATGGACTTCCAGAACGGTGCGCGGCTCTGATGTTTATCGGCGTAGATGGATGCTAAAATCATGAAATACGCAGGATGCAACGTCGGCTACGCGTTCGTGAATTTCATCACCGTCCAGGACCTGCTACACTTTGCGACAACCCAGCTTGGCGTCAAGTGGTAAGCACTCATTTGTATAGGACGAAGCCTGCAAGTGCTGAACTCTTTACTAGGAACATGTACTCCAGCGAGAAAGTGCTTCAGATGAGTTACGCCAATTATCAGTGAGTTTGATGCCTGTTTCCGAAGTCGCTCTTGATCGCTGATAGTTTGCTGTAGGGGTAAAGAAGCCCTAGTCGAGAAGTTCAAGAACTCATGCATCATGGACGAACGCGAGGCCTGGCGTCCCAAGATCTTCTTCTCCAATGGCCCAAACCAGGGCCTTCCCGAGCCGTTCCCGGCGCCAACGCACCTCCGCCGCAAGGAACGAAGCGCAAGCAATCGCGGGGCCCTGTTCGTTCCCGGGGTACATCACTACAGTGGGCGAGGCCGTGGCCACGCGCATTGCCAGCCACCCCCGGGCCATGGGCACTTCAGGCAACAGGGCTTCGCGCCGAGGTTTTAAGACCTACAGCATGGCTGCTTCTTGGCATCTCGCACCTGCCGCTCGATCATCCGCTCTACTGATCATTCATTCGTCTCGACTCATGTCGCCTGCATAATCTGCTCTTCCTCGCTCTCTCGTCTCGTGTATCGCTCTGTCACATAAGCCGCGCTCGCTCACTCGCTTCCTGCTGCTCACTCCGTGTTCATCTTTGTCTCACCACATTTCGCCCTTGGACTCGCACCTGCATGACTGTGCTCACCCCTCTCGTTGTGTAGTATCCGCACTGACCTCGTCTGTTTTTCGTCTCTGCTTTTACACCATGCCCGAGCTGTGCTCGTCCCTATTTCCGCCTGCTTATATGCTCGGTCTTCGTCTAGGTGACTCTCTTTGCTTTATGGCTTATGAGCAACCCTTCTCTCTTTTGCTCTGTGCAATTTTCCGGTCTGTTGTGTCTAAATGTGTTCAAAGCTGTTGTCGAGATATTTATTCGTTCGTGGTATTGTACGCAGTAGTGGTAGTACAGTACTTGCTGATACTAAAGTTATGGACAAGTCGATGTAGCGCACATGTCGTTGTGTTGTTGAAATAGTACTGCATGTCAATTATTTTATTGCGATTCTTTCATGGTTTGTACATATCACTTGTGCAATCTGTTGCACATGTGCCCAGTCTCGTTACCTCTCTTCTGGTCGAGACTACGCAGGTCATGAAGCGCAATGCAAAGTCTGGGAATTAGTGCAGCGCATTGAAGACTCGGAGCAGCGTATATTTCACCGTAGAAAACGGAAACTAAGGCCCCGCAATTCACGGTGGAAACTCAAGAAAGATTCGCATGTTAAACCGCTCCATTTATTTTAAGTTACATGATTTTGACACCCACTGCTAAAGTAATGAGTGCCGATTTTACGGACTACAATACACCGACTAAAGTAAGTAAGGGTCATCGAGTGAATGCATCCACTTTGGTCACCGCCACTATGACCTGGGGCGGGCTTTCCGCTACAACTTCCCGCATGATACGGATGCACCGCGGGACGTCGTCGGAGAGTCTGCCGTCGTAGCGAGAGAACGAGTGTAGCCCCATCTCGAGCCGAAACGTCTGCAGAGCGGTGAAGCGCGGGAGGCACGCGGCGAGCCGCGCCCAGTCCTGGTCCGCGAGCGAGCGGCGGAGGTGCTCGAAGGGGACGTCTGCCGGCGTGACGTGCCCTTGCCTCACCCAGTAGGGGTCCTCGTAGACCCGCAGGACGATACCGACGTCGCGCACCTTGGGGGCCGGCACGGCGTGAAGGTCGCGGATGATGTCCAGCCACTCGGACGGGCCGTCGTGCTCGATGAGGAGCTTGCCGACAGGGGTGACTATACGGAGGTTGGTGCAAGTGCCGATGGAAGGGCTCGAGCCGGTGGCGTGGTACTTGAGCTCCTCGAGCGCAAGCGGGACGTGAAGCAGGAGCGTTACGGGCCCGTCGCACAGCGGGCCGTGCAGGGTCAAGACACGCAGCGACGTGAAGTCAACGTAACACTGGAAGAGGAGGAAGTTGAAGACTGTATCGCTGCTGCTGCTCCAATCAGCCTCAAACGCATCTACGTGCGCAACCTTGGTGTCGGCAGGGAGCTGCCTGTGTGCGGGCGGAGTGTGGCGCTCGATCAGGGACTTGTCTATGATAAGCTTTCGCATCGGACTGAGTGCTAAGATAATCTTGAACTCGTCCGAAGGTCAGCTGAGCCGACGTTCAGGGAGGGAAGGCGTGGCAAATCGGACTTCGAGATCGCTGCGCGTGCGGCAGAGCGTGGGGGGCGAGACGTCTTTTTCGAGTTCAAATACACAGTCCACGAATTCGACAACGCGAAGGTGGGGTAAGCTGTTTATTATTCGAATAGAAGTCGAAACTCGGAAAAGGATGGGGGATGCTGATTAGTAAGGTCGTTTGGAAGGGAGCTTCAGGTGTGATATGGCGGAGGCGACACGCCGGGAAGAAGTCAGCATCGCAAGGCAGTGATCCTGAGACTCGGACCCATCAATTAATCAAAGAGTTTCACTGTCTCCTGTCTGTAAACGCTTTCTCGGATTCCATAGGTCTGGACAAGGAGGAAAAACGAGCGTCGAGAATAGGTAAAGGTCGGTGGAAGGGAACCAAGCCCTGCAAACCAACGAGCACGCCTTCAATGCCGCTGGTTCATCGTGTAGATGATCGATCACCAAGTCGCACAGTTCTTGGGGAAACCTAGGCGAGCCCCGTAAGACTTTTTGTTCTGTCATGGCGATATCACCACGCGGGATGCCGGTGATCCTCCTAGCAGTATGGATACGGCTTTCATTTAGAGGTCTCAATTACTTATGAAAGATTGCGATACCTACGAAGGTAGGAATTCTAACTGAGCATGTAAGGACAAGGAGACCTTGATCTTGGCTGTGAACCGCAGAGGCTCTTCAGGCGTCTAAGGGTCTCGATAAGATAAGATAAGATAAGGCAGCAAGCGAAAGGCATGACCGTTTTGGCCCCGAAGATAGCTCTAATATAATAATAATTGGTGCATATCTCAAAACTCTGTGCTGTAAAGAGGCCTATGAGAGCAAAGAGATGCTATTGGACAGTGTTGCCATTGTCCAAGAATTGCCAGGAGATGAATGTGGAATTTTAGCCAGAGCTAGGAGCTCAGGCTGAACCTTGAACGCAAGTCCGCGAGCATCTCTTGTCTTGTTTGGGACTGCACAGAAGAAGAAATTGAGCCGTGCATTCGTGACGGACAATTTGGAAGGACTCCCAGTGCCACATACTATGACACTGGTCCCAATGCGAAGGACCTGCCGACCCGCCTCTGTGGTTATTGGCACAATGACCATCTGTAAGAGCCGCACAGCGCTCTTATTAGTCACTCTATAACCACCCCCACTCAGGCTCATGTCATAGATGTGTATACACAGCCGTAGCTTGCTGTCATGAATATTACATACTCTGGATGGTTCTCCCAGATTCCATAGTATTCTTTCACTTTCTATACACCTCCGTATATTTGTAGCATAATCTAGGTATTGAGTCTGACATGTATATAAGGAGCCTGTACTGCTCAATAACAAGCCAGACTTGAGCTGGTCTTTCCTCACCTATTCTCCTCTTGTCTGTCTCCTCAGCTTTGTCGTAGCCCAGTCCAGTTAGATTGTAGGTTGCTGACACTTGCCTGGTACGAATCTTCATTCATATTGAACTTCCCGGGCATGTCTATTCGGTAGAAATAGAGCTTAAGACATTTCATTGTGGTACTAGTAGCTAATACAGTACATGAATGGAGCTTGCACGAGCTGGGCTCTGATGAGCAACGCAAGAGACTGCGAGATGAACACTGATTTTTGGGGTAAGCAATTATTAATTAGACGAGGCCCGGGATGTGGGTTAGGGTTACCAAAGAAGTTAACCCAGACCATCGGCCGTTGCGAGTCACGATCTCTTTGTCGCCTTGATACTATGATGGCACCCTCGTTTATAAGTGTTCCCTGCTTTATCAATTTGCTTTTGCTACTTCAATCTGCCTCCGGAGGTGCTGGGAATATTTTTTAAGATAGCTCTGTATTCATGCTATAATATGATACCCATATCATGACAGACATAAGGTGAAAGTATGGTATTTTTGTAGATGCTCAGAAGCGGTCTAAAACTGGCTGAAACATGCTACTGATGGCTAGATCCAACCAGATCTCGCTCACCAAATATTCTTGCGACCACATTTATGAACTTGTGCACTTGCACTGAGCCTGGTAGGCTGATATATTTTGTTTTAAAAGTGCTAGGTACATGCACAGAGAAGGAACAGTTGTGGAGCGTTACAATGAACAGGCAAGGTGTGGTGAAATTGTCACTCCGCCTGATCTCAGACACGGCAGGCAACGAGGGCATCTGGTGTGACACTAGTGTGACGAAATTAATAAACGAGGGAGCAGGTCCCATTTTGCGCACCGGAATTGATCCGCAGCTCTTGCAAGACCTCAATAAAATACAAAAAAATGCGAATACATAGTCAAGGTGTGCGCACATCGATTTATGCAAAACCGCTCACGAAGAGGGGTTGTGGTAAGCTACAAGAAGCAGATTTGCTCAATTTTTATAAATCAGGGTGCCATCATAGTATGTAGAAGAAAGTGACATTCTTGAAGGCTTTCACATATTATCACCATATTGGGCATGGTCATACATGTGACTCTGGTCACCGTACGATACGATATGCAGTTGACACTAAGGCTGTCACAGAATTAGATGTAGTGCCGATATCGCGGTGTGGCCAAGATAACATTGCATGTGCGGAAGACTGAACCTGCCTCTGGTGTTTCTTCACAGCTTAGGCACAGTAGCCCAAAACCACGCTTACTTTGGCCATTGCTAGAACAGCCGCGGGAAGGCTGGCAGCTGCAACCTCCTGCGTAACACAGATGCACCCCGGAATATCGCTGGAGAGCCTTCCGCGGGCGATAGGGTACGGCTGGAGCTCCATCTCGAGCCGGAGCGTCTGCAGAGCTGGGAAGCGTGCGAGACATTTGACGAGCCGCATCCAGTCTTGGCCGGCGAGCGAGCTGCGAAAGCGCTGAAAGAGAATGTCCGCCGGAGTGACTTCTAATAAGTCGTATTGTTTGTTCTCGAGAACCTGCAGGATGATGCCGACATCACGCAGCTCGGGGGTCGGCATTGCATATAGGTCATGGACGATGTTCGACCAGTACCACGCAGACGAGAGATCACTCTCGAGGAAGAGCGAGCCGATGAGAGTTACCGCACGGAGATTCGTGAAAGCGGTGAAGATGGGAGTCCCAAATCCTGCGACGGGGTGGTACGTAAGCTCCTCAAGAGTGGGCGGTATGGAAAAGCGGGGCCTCAGCGTGGCCCCGCTGTCCAGTGGGCCGTGCAGGGTCACGACGCGCGATGATGCAAAGTCGACGTACTGCCGGAAACAGTCGAAGTAGCGCATTATTTCCCGGTGGACTCCCCCGTTTACCTCATACGCATCTACACGTGCGCGCTCGGTGCCATCAAGGAGCTTCAGTGCGAGATCGGTGCGGGTGTAGTCGGGCATGCTTGTGCCTGCGACAAACCTTTGCACCGGGCCGAGTGACTGTCTGAACCGGGACGAGTCGTACTCCATGTACGTAGATCGAGTTAAGCAGGTCGAGAATCGGACCTCGAGATTGTTTTGTGTGTGGCAGAGAGCAGGGTGCGGGACATCTTCTTCGAATTTACAGTCTAAAAAATCGATGACACGGAGCCGCGGTAGGCTGCTCAATATCTGCACTAGGGTCGAAAAGCGAAGATAGGGGAAGGGCGGTTGATGCGATCGCAAGGTAGAGAGCTTCAGGGCAGACACAGAGGAGGCGATACGCGACGAAGAGGTCAGCATCGCGAGACAGTGTTCGAAGTCGCACTCGTCGGTTTGGCAAAGGAATCTGCGGTTCACAATCTCTATCACAGGATACTTCCCTGGATTCCAGAAATGGCGGCATGGAGGACAGGCGAGCGTCGAGAACTGGTGGAGGCTGGTGGAAGGAAGCCATGCTTTGCAAACTAGAGCGCATGTCTTCAGCGCTGCTGAATCATCGTGAAGATGGTCGATGATTGAGTCGCATAGTTCCTGAGGAAGCTTGGGCAAACGTTGCAAGACTTGCCCCTCGATTATGGCGACATCGGTGCACGACATAGGCATGTTCCTACATGTTTGCTCTCAGCTCGGGATAAACGTGCAACAAACTTTCTAGCACTTACGGGAATAGTGTAGTAGCTGGTAAAATAAACCTTTGGCTCGTACACAAAAGGACAGATATCGAAATGTGTTAGGGTTGCCTTCTGTTCGCAGCTCCAGGACACTGAGCAAGCGGGATGCAGCGGTAACAAACCATTTGTAATGGTCAATCAGCGAACTTTGAAACTCGACCGCACCTCTGCAAAGGAGATTTCATACTCCGAAAATGCCCATTACGAGACTAGCCTTCCACGTGATGTAGCGTGCATGGGGCGCGACAGGGAGGTGCTCAAGTTGACTTCCGTCAGCCGTGGTGGGTCGAATTATGAAGCGATCTCTGTCCTGCTCATCATAACTGTAGAAGGAAATGGCGACTATTTGAATAAAGCTCTCACGTTTTATCGTGTGTCAAGGCTGGCCTTGCGCGTCTCGAATCCTACTCACGGATCCAGCAGTTCGCGTCCGCCTTCGCGAAAGACCCCATGGACTAGACCCACCCGGCAGGTTTGCATATATCAGGCATAAGCCTGCTCCGAGATGCTATTTGATGGCGCGTGGAACTTAAATTAAGGCGGTCTGGACTCAGGACGTTAAAACACAGGTGGTGATTTCTACGAACCCAGCGGTCCAGACTACTCGGGGCATGTGACGCTCTGTGGCCCTGTCTTTGCCGCAGCCTCCGCCAAAATGTACGTAGTTATGCTGCAGATGATAATACACTCGGCCTAGACTGGCCCACTTGCAAAGCCCACTATGATGCCAGCATATCTGGTTCCATACGTCCTCGGGAGTCTTATATTCTGCAACAACGGTCTGGATCTCATGCCAAGGGATCCATAGTCTCCTCCTTTTCTACACGGTATGTTTCCATTAGTCGTCTACCTGCGTTCGATGGCCCACTCATCCATCAGCAGACATAGGATGGGCAGCCAAACCAGGATCGTCATCTCGTTCATCACGCTGTGTCGGCCGCTTGTGGATGTTTGCGCGAGGCTCTACCGTAACTGCTCGTTGCTCTACTCATTGCGTGAGCAGCTACGCTGGGAGCTCGAGGAGCTGTCCGCACTGGCTGCCGCTCTGCAAGGGTCTGCTCCCGGCCATGTCGCTATTCCGCCGTTGCCCGATGAGCATAGTTTGGATGGTGTATTCCATCGTCGATGGAGACGCGTTGCACGCGGGCTCCTCGAGCAGTGGCAGGTGATGAACTATGTCTCCGCTGTCTTCATCGGGTAAGCATTTTACTGCCTACTGTTGCTCGATTCGCTCATAGCACCAGGACAATCGCGACGATGCTCCAGGACCCCATGGTCACCAGCAGTACAATCAGCCGCACGAGTGCTGCTGTGGCTTTACTCTACGCGCTTTCGAGCCTTTGTTGCGGGTCCATGCTATACTTGCACATCGTCAAGATCAAGAGGCCACAGCACGCGCTCGACTGGGTCATCGTATGTTCACTCCCGCTCACCTGCAGGCTTCTGCATTTCAATAATCACGACAAACCCAGAACTTCCAGACTCTAACCTCTAGCAGATGGATAAACCCTTTGACCATCCTCGCTACTCCAGCAACTTTCCTCCTCTGGTGCGCCCGTCTCCCTGTGCCTTTCGCCATAGCCAACCCTTTCTAACCTGAAAACTACCTTCCAGGGCCGCGACGTTCTTCGTCCTCGCACTCTTCATCTCCTACGTCTGGCAACCGCCCAACATGGTCCCCCAGCTCTTCCCGCGCATAGCGACCGCCTGCGCTCTCGCGATGTGCGCGGGACAGATGCTGCTCGTGGCCTGGACCCTCCGCAAGCTCGAGCCGGCACCGCAGCCGCGCAGTAGAGCCCAGACCTCTCGCACGGACACGCTCGAAGTATAAAACATCCTCGGACCGGCTGTAGAAATTGCCTTTGTCTCTCGCACTGGCAGGTCGCGCGTCAGGCCGTGCCCGTTCACCGGCCACGTCTTCCCCCAGCAAGGGTCGCATAGTTTGTCGAGGTCTGGACCCGCTGATGTCCGCGCCTTTCCCGGGAAACATTCATTCATCAATACCTCGCTGTTTGATATCCCGTTAGCTCGAGCAAAGTGCCGTTGTCATCTAGATATCGAAGGCCTTCTCCCTCACAGACAGTTATCGTTGGGCTCTAGACCGTGGCGGAGATTGGTGGTTGTCACAGCCTACAGCGCCGAGTCCTTGGTGCCTGCGATCCTCGCCAGAACAGATCACCGACCTAGACCTCAGGGTCCCAGACAGCCCATCCTCGAGGCCTGAGACGCAGGCCATCACGCGACGCATAGGGTAAGCGTGCCCAAAGAAAGCCAGGCCGGTTATATTTGTACAAATGCGCGCTACAACGAAAGCGAAAAAGTGGCGAGGAGGGCTAGGCCCTTGGAACAAGAGGGGAAAGTGTAGACAGCTACAAACACCGAAAGCTGACAGCAATAAAGTACGAATAGATATGAGCTAAAAGAACGGCGTACGCCGGCAGGCCTCAGAGCGGAGGGTTCATGCCGACCATGCGCTCCACGACGGCCTGCAGGGACGGTGTCAGCGGCCAATAACTTAGTCAGCGGCGGGGCAGTGCGCACCTGGGCCTGGTCCCAGTTGAGGTCCTCGTCCTTGTCGTCGTCCTCCCGGCCCTTGTCCTCGCCGCCGAGGCCGAGCCCCCACCCGCCCATGCTCGCAACGCGTGCGCTCTCGAGGTCTGGACTCCTGCACACGAGCCAATCAGCTGCCTGCTCTGTTTGGCGCACAGAGGAAACACGTACTTGAGACTCTCGAGGAGCTCGCGTCCTGGGTTCGTGAACGCGGCGCCCAGGCGCGGCGTGTCGTCTCCATGTGCATCCTCGTCGAGCGGGGCGTCGGCCGCAGGTGCATGCTCTGGCTTGCGCGCAATGCGCCCGCGCCGGTCGCGCGGGACGCCTGCCGAGAGGAACGACGGCGCGCCGGTCGCGCCAAAGTAGTGCTTGTTGTCAGGTGAGATCTGGACGAGTGGTGTGCGCATCGCGCGCAGTAGCAGCTGCACAGCCTCTTCGCCGGGCGGCGGAGGCGGCGGAGAGACGGCCAGAGAGTACAGGACAGGCAGGGTCCGCTGGGAAAGGAGCACGAGGAGCCTAGAGAACGATACGTCAGCCTGATGCAGTGTATGAAAGTATAAGGCGTACATCTGCTGCAGACGGGGCGGGTAGCCAGTTGTCTGTGGATAGCGTTCCTTCAGGGTATTGAGACGGTCGTGCAGGACGGGAAAGACGGGGTATATGATTTGGTCCCGGAAGTACCGCAGAGCGATCGTGCGAACATCGATCTGTTGTGTCTTGAACGAAGGAGTAACGGTACCGGCCCCATTCTGGCCGACAGGCGAGGTTGGCTTGTGTGGCTTGGGGATCTTGTAGAGAGACAATAGTAGCGGGTCTGTTTGTAGCGGTAGAAGGGCCTTCATAACTACTGAGATAGCTCACCACATACAGAGCGCCACACGACTCACCCCTTCGACATACGGCAAGACCTCATCCCAGAAGAACTTCCATATGTCGACGACTCGATCAACGAGATCTTCATCTTCTACTCCAATCAGTTTGGAATTCAAGGTAACAGTGCCGTTGGATATAAGCTCTGAGGCGTCATGTTCCATAGTGCCCAAGGCCTTTGACGGCGACGCCGAGACAGTGGACTGGATGTGGCGTTTTACGAGAGCATTGAGATCTTCACTTGCTTGTGAAGACAAATGAGCCACGAATTAACTGCGAAGGAACAAATACTGACATGGGTACGCGTAATCCTTCCCCATTGAAGAGGGGGAGGATGTAAAGCGCAAGTGCCGCCCAGGGATTATCTCCTACATTGGACGAGCCTACGAGGGCAGAGCTGGCTGATGGCGCGAGGCTCACATTGGATGGTGCGGACAACGACGAGTTCAGGACTGGGAGGTGTGCGAGGTTTCCAAGACGATGCATTTCGCGGGAGACGAGCTAGAACAGAGGACAGAATAAGGCTACATACGCATACAGGAGAGGAGACAAGGAGCGAATATTGCAAGAAGGAAGGGCAAGACATTTATGGGCATGCGATGAAGCTAATCAGACGACGGTGAGGATATGCTCGGTAGTGTCTGTGCCGTCCGCCTCAATGGTCACGGAGACTGCTCGCAAAGGTTGAATATGATGTCATCACGCACCTTGGATGGAGACGCGTGAGCTTTTGCATAATGGCTGGAAGATGAAGCCATTGGTGCGGGGGAGGCAGTAGAGTCACGGGAATGTGATAGGAGAAGGTTCGCCGATTCTGCTCGCGAATGGCTGCGCGATGTTGCCTGGCTCAAGGGGCCCCAGGATGAGCCGGAAGTGGAGGACGAGAGCAGCTTTTCTCCCAAGAAGCCGAGTCTCTTGGTCGGATGGCTGTGGTCGGCACTGTTGGCGTCGTGAGGGCCAGAGTTGGGAGACGGGTTGGCGCTTTGGAAAACGCCTAAGCCAGGCGGGCGCGGCGTGTCGTCGCCCTGGCTCAGCGAGCGCCGAGTGTGCTCGGGAGTGCGCATCAGGCTGTTTTCCTGGGAGGTCCGTCGGCCGCGTGCAGATCGACTCGCCATGTCCGTCGGCTATTTCATCGTCGTGGTCGGTGATCAAGCTGGTTCCGCAGCGTCATCCAGAGCGCCCGGTCGCTGCGTTCCGCTGACCCTAACCCTACGGCCGTCACAGCAAGCCACTCAAGAGCGTGAGATATAGCAGAAATTGTATATATCCACTGATATTCTCGCTCGTGTACGAGGATTTACGGCACTACAATGTTGAGTACCGCTATCCTAGTCATCGGCGGCGCGTCTGCTGTTGGTGCAGGCCACATCTCTGGTATTCAACGCCCATCCCCCGATACCCACCCCAACGGCGGGAAACTGGTAGGTTTGGGTTCCGATTCTATGAAACGGACAAATACCGTACGCAGTGTAAGTCGCCATCTTCAGAGGCCGTCTGGCTGTTCTGCTCATGCTGCTCCTCTAGATGACGAACCTCACTCCTTTCATGCATTCACCGACTATTGGGAGCAGCTCCCTTCCGAAATACACCTCTACACTCAGGCCTTGATAACGGGCTACAAGGTAAGGCGGTGATCTCAAGGCTGTTGGGACCAGGCTTGGAGACTAGGGAGCTACCTAGTCTCCCAGGCCTGGTCCCGACAGCTACGCCCTCATCTGTTCGGCGTCCTCGCGCTAAAGAGCGAGAAGGACTGCCGTGTGCTTTACGACACGGTGCAATCCCCACTTTCAGCCTGGCTTGCTTGCGGACCACGTCATGAAGGGTTCGTTACGGAACATCACTTCTCTGGCCCTGTTCCACCGCGCCTTCCCGTCATTCCGAACACTGTTCCGCGTACTAGGAATATATCCTATCTAGAGGCTGTCATAATCGATACCACAAGCAACGTCTGCACTGCCATCCTCCATCGCCATCGCATTTACCTCCTCTGCACCGAGCGTGAGAGTGTCCTACAGGTAAGATGTGTTGCTCTATCCAAGCAGCCTGCCCGTCTCGCTGTCCTCGGCAAGCCCGCTCGATCACCGACATACCCCGGTGCCTGAGTTTCTTGCTTCCCTCTAATCCACCGGAAGGTCAGTAGCTCCTGAGCTGCCGGTGGTTTAGGAGGACTCTTGCTCTTCGTTTTCATCTATCAAGCACTGCTCAGACTGCACAAAAACTTACCACATTTGATTTGCAAGGCTCATCTTCAAACTTCATGTTGGCAAGTGTAGACGGGAACTGGACCCGGACTGGACCCTCCCCCATGTTTACTGCGGATAGACTCGCTGGCCTTGTTATGTTCATAATTACGTTGTTTTCTTTCTGAGAAATGGTTATGCTGCTTTTTCGAACGGAAAACGGTCAACAGCTATGTGTATACCTTGAACAAATGAAGCTATACTGCATTGGCAAAGCATATGGAGCGTCGAGCGACGAAGTCCGAATTCACACGGTATATGGCGCTTAGAGTGCCTACCTAGAAGCAGCAGAAACGAGCCTACTACCTCTCCGATTACCAAGACTATCTCTTTTAAACGTCGCCGCTACTATTTAACAGCTGTCTTTGAGAACTGCTCAGCGATAGCTCCTTCTTTAATCCTACTATGCTGCTGCTGCGAGCCATCCTCGGACATGACCGTGCCTCCGGCCACTCAACGACGCGTCGAACCCGCCTCTTTCCTTGGATCCCTCGGGCCCTGCGCTGCTGCCCTCTCCCGATCGCGAACCCATGACGCGTCCTGAGACATTCCGCCACGCTCGCCCAAACCGTTCCTAGACCGTGACACGGATCGGCTCCGGAGGTCATTCGGAACTCCTAACAGCCCCGTTGCGCCTCCCCGCCCCGCATGGGCCGCCACTCGACGTCGCTTGTTCACACCCCCGCCTCCTTCGACCTGCACGAGCCCCGGTGCCACCCGGACGTCCTAGATTCCAACACCACCGGCACGGACGAGAGCGGAAGAGCAGGATGTCGGCGGCGCCCAGTGTCACTACCCTCGAAGACGATGTCGCGCTCATGAACGAGAAGCGGGCTGTGCTGAGACCGCAGCAGACATCGACGAGGGACTACTTGCTGAAGTACTTGTGTGCAGCGTTGAGCAGTGCGTGTCCCGTTTGTTCCGAAGCTGCTGCCCATACGCTGACGATGATGGCGTACTTTCAGCTATGTGCGCGTCAGGAGTGACGAATCCTTTCGATGTGTACGTCTGTAACGTAGCTTGTTTGAGGATCTGTTGACGAAGAGGGTATGGTACAGGATCAAAGTGCGTCAACAGCTGCGAACGCAAAGTATGGCGAGCTGTCTCGAGTCGCTCTCATCGGAACTGACTCGCTCGTTTATAGCCCCCGGCCAAAGCGCGAACGCTTTCTGGGCCATCGGGTCCCAGATGGTGAAGAGTGAAGGTATCAAGGCTGTGACGCATGGCTTCACCGCGTCCATGATGCGCGAATTCACCTACTCGGGCATGCGTCTGGGCACGTACGAGTTCTTCAAAGACACGTGAGCGCAGCTTGTACTTTTCCTACGCCAAAGCTTTTAAAAGACATCACAGACTGCATTCAGTCTCGAACGGCGCACTAACGCGAGAAGGCGTCGCGCTCAAGGTCCTCGGCGCGACATGTTCCTCCTCCATAGGCTCATTCATCGCCAACCCCACGGACGTCATCAAAGGCGCGTCCCCCTCTGCCCCCAAACAGCTGACCGTCGTCTGACCAGGGGCCTGGCAGTCCGCATGCAAGCGCACTACCCGCAAGGCCGGCCGTACCGGAACACCGCGCACGCCTTCGTCTCCGTCTTCCGCGAGGGCGCGCACTCGCCCGCCGCGAAAGGTGTTCCGCTGCTCGGCGGCCTCCGCACGCTGTGGCGCGGCGCCGAGGCGACGACGTTCCGCGGCGTCGTGCTCTCGATCTCGCAGATCGCGTCGTACGACCAGGTGAAGCAGACGCTCAAGCAGCGCGGCGTCATGCGCGAGGGCATCGGGCTGCACATCACTGCGAGTCTGTTCGCTGGGTGCGTAGGCAGCCTGAAACCGTACACCGTGGTGGAAGCGAGGCTGAAAAAGGTTGGGATAGGTTGTGCTGCTCTGTGATGTCGAGTCCAGTCGACGTCGTCAAGGTCCGCCTCATGACGGACAAGAGCAGGCAGCTCAATGGCGTCTTCCACGGCGCGAAGACGATCCTGATGAACGAGGGCCCGATGGCGTTCTACAAAGGCTTCAGCATGTGCTGGGCGCGGGTGCGTTTTTGTGTTTCTCGTCGTCGCTCGCCGGTCTAATTTTCTCATGCAGCTAGGAACGCATACGATCGTCAGCTTCCTCATCTTTGAGGAGCTGCGCAAACTTGTTGGCATAGATCCAGTGTAGCGCTGCTTTCTCTCAGAGATACCTCTCGGATGGAGTATACCAAGATATGTCGGGAACAGTGCCATGCTATCGTATCGTACTGGATACTCATGACTTTTAGTCGTACACCGTATTACATTGCACATCGTGCTTTTGTTGCATCATGCAGCTTGTCTGACCCCGCAAACGCACATCAGCGCTTCCGCCGCGTCCCCCGAACACTCGGGTGCGCACCTTCATGTTATCCTCTCGAGCGGCAACCCCTCAGCCTCAGGCCTCCCCGTATGGGTCCTCCTGCACGGCGCGCGCCGCGGCCTCTCGACTGCTGTGCGCGAACGGCGCCTCGTTCACCCCAGCGAGCCCGTCGAGATGCCGAAGCACGTCGTCCTTGACCTGCTGCGGCGCGTCCGGGTCGAGGACCGTCCGCGTGGCGCCCCGCACGCCCAGCGCGCCCTGCTGCTCGGATTTGAGCACGCATTTTGGATGGGTGGGGGAAGGAGGGGCCCGAGGGTGCGCCTGCTGCTGCTGCTGCTCGCGCTTCGGGGCTTGGTGGGAGTTCTGCAGGCATGGCTCGGACGACGTGGTGTTCGTGGTTCGGTGCATGGTTTGTCTCGGGCGCGAAGAGGGGAGGCAGGTCTTATATGTGGGGACGCGCGAGCGAGTGAGGTTGACGTCAGGTTGATAAAGGGTGTCTTCGACGGAGTTGGACGCTGGGCCAAGTGGTGTACCGGCTATGGGACTCCATGATGCGATCAGAATCAGGAAGTCTTGGATTAGCAAGTGCTGATAGACGATAGGTCGTACAGGCCGTGTCTAGCTTAAAAGCCATCTATGAGCGAGACCAACTTTTAGAGGGGAGCAGTACTTGTGGCTTGTGGCCTCTCTTAGAGGGTGGCGCAAGCCGCCTAGCGGTATTAGAGACAAGACAAGAGGATTATGACTTTGACTCTTGGATACGGACGTCGGGAAATGCCCAAAATGTACTGATAATTGTGCCGCCCTGTGATAGGAGAGTAGAGGAAGCGACACGAATTTTAGGAGACTTGCCAAACTTGACGTGGCGTACCGATCAAAATTTTGCAACCAGGCGTCTACTGAGCATGCGGCTGTCTCCCTTCTCACCCTCCTCAGACCCGCGCTACGTCAGCGCGATCATTGCGGACAGTTCACGGAGGTTCGGCACAAATAATCCCTGGGAAGTACTGGTAAAATCCTCGCAGCTAAAGCACGGCCCCACGACATGCTTGCCTGTCGCAGGGGGGCGTCGTGAGCGTTTCCGGCAGACATACGTACTGCCCGGCAAGCTTTTGGACCTAGTCATCGAGTGCCGGAGCCGAATCGAGGTACCGACGATCTTTGTCAAGCTTGCTGATGTGGATGCTTGCGCTCTCATAGGCTCGTGCGTGGTCCCACGGTCCATCCGTGACGCTTCCTCACGGGAATAGCTTACAAACACATACTCTCTCTCTCTTCTTGCTGTGCTGAAAATGTCATGCTACGCCCACAGTCCTAGATTAATGCATATGGGCGTGCATCTCGCATATCAAGAGGCTTGCCCGCCGTAGGAGCGTCCTGCAGCCGGTGTGCGACGTAAGCCTCTGGAGACGGCATGTCCTGCCGCTTGATTAATGCAAGACCAATAAATCTTGCCACTGGCGACGTATATAAGGGCCAGGACTTGCAAAAGAAAGACCAGTTTCTCTGAACAGTCCTCTGTCTCCTACCAAACCATACAAATCCACTCCTCCTCACGCAATACAGCGACACATGCCTGCTCAGCTTCCCACTCGCAAAATCGGCGACGCCCATGTCACCGCGATAGGTTTCGGTGCAATGGGCCTATCTGCGTTCTATGGTAAGCCTCTTCCCGACGAAGAACGTCTAAAGGTAGGTCTATTCGTCATTGCGCGTGACAGCACCTCTGTCGTTGTTTCGCTGACGAGACGCCCCCAAGCTCCTCGACGCCGTCTACGAACAGGGCTGCACAAACTGGGACACGGCCAACATGTACGGCGACAGCGAGGAGCTCCTCGGCAAGTGGTTCGCGCGCACCGGCAAGCGCAGCGACATCTTCCTCGCGACCAAGTTTGGCGCCGGTCCCAGCCCTGGCGGCTCGCCCGAGTACATGCGTGAGCAATTTGCGAAATCTTTGCGCCTCCTCGGCACGGACTACGTCGATCTCTACTACCTGCACCGCATGGATCCGACGATCCCCATCGAGGTCACAGTCGGCGCCATGTCCGAGCTCGTCAAGTGAGTTACCTGGACGCCTTGGCGGGGGCACAATACCAGTCGCTCATGTAGTTTTGCAGGGCGGGCAAGGTGCGCCACCTTGGTCTCTCAGAATGCTCCGAAGCGACGCTACGCCGCGCATACGCCGTACATCCAATCTCGGCGCTGCAGGTCGAGTACTCGCCGTTCACGCTCGACATCGAGAACGACAAGATCGGACTGTTCAAGGCGTGCCAGGAGCTCGGCATCACGATCGTCGCGTACTCGCCGCTCGGCCGCGGGCTCATCACTGGCCAATACGTACGTGCAGCGTCCGCTGAAGCTCTTACGAATTTATTTTTTCCGTATGAAGTTCTGACGAACTTGACCCTTAGAAATCGCCAGATGACTTCGAGCAGGGCGACTTCCGGCGCATCATACCGCGGTACTCGCGCGAGAACTTCCCGAATGTCCTCAAAGTCGTCGAAGACCTCAAGACGGTCGGTACAAAGTACGGCGCGACGCCCGGTCAGGTCGCGCTCGCGTGGCTGCTCGCGCAGGCAGACAACGTGATCCCCATTCCTGGCACTACAAAGGAGAAGGCATGTTACCTTTCCTGTACTGCGAGTGCATGACGCTGATAGGGACGATAGTACTTGAAGGAGAATCTGGGCGCGCTAAGTATCAAGCTCTCGTCAGAGGACTTGCAGGAGGTGCGCCGGGTTGCGGAGGAGGCGGATGGCTCCATGGGCCTGCGTTACCCTGAACAGTTGATGAAAGTCACCTTCGCAGATACGCCTGAGCTGCAATGAAGTAGTATGGCGCCGACCATGCGAGCGGTCTGGGTGTGTATCCCAGACCATGTATACACCAACAATATATGCAGCTCAGTCAGCTAGTGGTCTTCTGTAGTGTATTGCAAGGTTCTGGTTTGCGATTTGGCAATTTTTATGCGGAACAGTCAAATATGTCTCCTAAGCCTCCCACCTCAGTCTCATGGGCCTGTCTGCTTTCCGCCGCAAGTCATCGCTTGACGGAGGCCGCATGAAGATGGCCCCATGGTGATGTCATTCAACAGCCCGTCAATAAGATCCCACTGCTTGGCTTTCATTTGTCCACATTGCTGTGCCTCTACAACACTTCGCAGTAAGGTCAAGTAATGATTCAGGACAAAAATATGGACATATACGAGGGGCAGGTGGCAAACCGCGAGCTCGCAGTAGCGTGTATATATATATATATCCATTTTCATTCAGTTTTTTATTTGGCAATGTACAACCTTCAGGACGTGCGGCATTAGCATATTCAATAACCTAGAACATTATACACTATGTAACACATTATCCACTTCGTCACACTCATCCATGTATCCGACATCCAGAACGGCTTCAGAGACGGCCGGTATGCTGTCCATGCAATGACTACCTGTCCTAAGTGCACGTGTCCAGTGGTACCACCAACGGCGGGTGTTGTAGTATTTGAGGTGCGAGGCGCACTGACCTGCCGGATGCATCAGCCGCGCCGCACCGAGACACCGACATGACGCGCTCATCGCGTCATGCCATATTTGGATATGGCTTTCCCGTTTTAGATATGACGCGCGCAGAGCACTCTCGGCTCTGGCGCCGGTTCACTCCCCGCCGTGTTTCCCCTCGTCTCAGCTTCCTCAGCGTAGATAGTATTGGTCTGAATATACTAGGAAGTAGATAACCTATAAAAGAACACGATGTATTATCCTAGTAATTTACCGTTGATTACTCGTGATTCCCCCGCCTGCGCAATCCAATTCACAACAGCGGGCCTCACCTAATTAGCTCCCTGCCACCCTAGTCACGGTTTGGTCACTGAACCATGATCACACACTGCGGAGGACAAGTGAACTATGAGCTGACCAGGTTTCAAACGTCACGGGTCGCAGGGTGCGGACTGTTGGTCATGGCGGCACAGTATCTGCGACAGATCGCACAGGTGCAGGAGGCAGGTTGAGTCCTTGATGTCTGCCAGCACCGCTGGCTTGGGCGTGGCGGGTATACGCGAAAGAAGCGAGAGCAGCATGGGGGCAGCGTGCGGCACATCACCGCACACGACGCTTTGAAACTTACGAGACAGAGCTGCTTGCGTAGATGCAGTCCAGTAGCTGTCGAGCAAGATTCTGATCTGGCGAGTCAAGATGTGTGGGTACCTGGAATAGTCATCCTGTCAGGCTTAGATTGTTTTTTTGGTGATCTCACAAAAACACACCGCGAGGAAAAGCGAGAAAAGAGCTCGTCTAAGATGTTACCGGCGTCCAATCGAGAGAACAGACAGACCTCCGCTTGCTGTTTCAACTCCGCAAGACCGATCTGTGGTGACGGTCGACGTCTACGTCTGCTACAAAGGATCTGAGATTGCTCTCATACCTCATCGGCAAATTGGTAAATAGATTTGCAAGAACAATAAGGCCTATTTCGACGCTGTATGTGGTGTTCGGCCTTGGCTTCCCCACGGACTTTCGTACCGCAAGAGCGTAGCGGCAAGAAATATATGTTCCCCGCGTAGATGTAAAAGATGAGAGCTTCCAGCCTGCAAAAACAGCCTGGGTGAGCAGACATCGCAATACTAAACTAATACGTACGTGTCTGCAGCCACAGAGTTCGCCCGCACGATTCGTGTACCGTCGTTGATCGCAACTGCCCCACTGGCCGAATCGGTTTCAAGTGGGCCAAGCTATGTCCCTCGTCATGAACGTATAGAGATATGTAACGAGAGATCTTACTGGCTTCTTGTCTGTCTTATCCTCCTTGGCGGATTCAACCTCGCTAGGGGTGGCCAATAAACTGCCGAAAGCGTCGGCACCGTCGTCTTCGTCTTCTAGGTCGCTGTCCGACTCGCATTCGTAGTGGTCTGCAGATCCGAAGTGCTCTGCCGAGAATGCATCTGAAGGGGTGATGGGGTGCGCTGGGCCCGACAGAAATGTATTCCGGTCGGCATCTATGGGCTCTGCATACAGACAATCCCAGTTACGTACGGCCACGAAAGTAAATCGATGCTTTCAGGATAACGCTGTTTGCCCGCACAGCCCGTGGTTTCGTAGCTTTGCCGAACTGCATGCGTCGTGTGTATGCGTAGAACGTGGTATCGATGAACTGGAAGCCAGAGAGCGAGTCCGCGAGCGCATCTTCTAAGCTGCCTCCGCTGGGCACTTTGGCAAGCGCGTGCAAAGATGGCTCGGAGGACATTACTGTTCGCTAGAGCACTAGAACCAAACTTACAAGGTGCGATACGATATTGTCAAGTGAAATGGTCAGACGAAACTAGGATCAATCCCCTGCCTGCCTCAGGTTAGGGTTTGAACTTGAGGCTTACAGTCGAAATAGGGTCCGGGCGCCAAATAAATGCGCGTCTAATACGCGTCTATGAGGCTCCTATCCAACGTATCTCTTACAAATCACCGATTCCCTTTGGGCAACGCCGTGGCTCTTGTCGAAGCCCTTGAAGAACCTTACCTACTAGCAGCCCGCTGGAAAAAAAAGCCAGCACGTCAACACTGCTCATAAAAAGTACTACAGGTAATATTCCGCGCCCATTTTGCTTGTTTTCTCCCTGCAGATCCCGGGTTGGCTGCCAGTAGGCAAAGTCTTTGGGATTTGTTTCTTTTGCTTCCATTCGCCCCGGAGAGCCGTTGAGGCGCCGAAGCACGTCGTCCTTGAAGCTTGAAGCTTGACGCTTGACCTGCTGCTCGGATTTGAGCACGCATTTTGGGCAGGTAGAGGAAGGAGGGGCCCGGAGGTGCGTCTGCTGCTGCCCGCGCTTCGGAGCTTGGTGAGACTTTTGCAGGCATGGCTCGGACGACGTGGTGTTCGAGGTCGAGTGCATGGTTTGGCTCGGGCACGAAGAGGAGACGCAGGTTTACATCTGGGGATGTGTGAGTGGGTGAGGTTGACGTCAGGTTGATGAAGGGTGTCTTAGACGGAGTTGGACGCCAGCCAAGTGGTGTACCGGCTATGGGACTCCACGACTCGAATGCGATCAGAATCGGGAGGTCTTGGTGGGTCGGACAGCCGTGTCTATTTTGGAGGCCATCCATGAGTGAGGCCAGCCGGTATGGAGGAGCAGCACTCGTGGCTCGTCTTAGAGCGGGTGGCGCAAGTTATCCATTGGTATTAGCGATAAGGGAAGACAATCCGAGTCATGGCTTCGTATTGGTAAAGCGAGACTGTAAGCAACTCTCAAAATCCACTCAAAATCAATATTGCGACTGCCCGTGTAGCAGTGTAGCACAGAAGATATAACACGAATTCCAGGAGACTTCAACCCAAATCGGACGTGGCGTATTTGCAACCAGGCGTCTGCTTAATAGCCGGCTGTCTCCTTTTTCACCCTTTTCTAGACTCATGCCGCCCCCGTCCCATCTCTGAACGTCAGCGTGATTAATTCAGACAGTTTACGGCGATTCGGCACACAAAGATTTCCTAGGAAGCACTGGTAAAATCTCTGCAGCTGAAGCACGGCCGCACGACATGCTCGCCTGTCGCTGGGTAGCATCGTCACGAGCGTTTCCGGAAGACATACGTACTGCCCGGCAAGCTTTTGGACGGCTGGACCTAGTCATCGAGTGTCGGTGCCGAGTCGAGGTACTGATTATCTTGGTTTAGCTCTCTGACTCTGCAGATGCTCGCGCTCTCATAGGTCCGTACGCGGTCCCATGGCCCATTCGTGACGCTTCTTCGCGGAGATGAGGCCGGGGATAGTTGATAGCTGACAAAATATGCAAGATCTTTGCCAAGAATGCTGCTCCCAGGGTCCTAAATTGATGTACATGAGCGTGCATGTTTTTCGCACGTCAGGGGGCTTACTCGCAGTAGGAGCGTTCTGCAGCCGTCATGCAACGTAAGCCACTGAGAACGGCATGTCCTGCCGCTTGGTCAATGCGAAGTCAAAAATTCTGCCACAGGCGATGGGCAACGCAGAAGGTGGGCGTTCATCGACGTATATAAAGGCCAGTCTCGTGGAAGAAAGATCAGTTCCACTGGACAGTCTTCAGCCTCCTTCTAGGTCATATAGTACATCTACTCGTGCTCACGCAAAACAGCGACAAATGCCTGCTCAGCTTCCCACTCGCAAAATCGGCGACGCCCAGGTCACCTCCATAGGGTTCGGTGCAATGGGCCTATCTGCGTTCTATGGCAAGCTTTTGCCCGACGAAGAACGTCTAAAGGTAGGTCTATTCGTCATTGCGCGTGACAGCACCTCTGTCATTGTTTCGCTGACGAGACGCCCCCAAGCTCCTCGACGCCGTCTACGAACAGGGCTGTACAAACTGGGACACGGCCAATATGTACGGCGACAGCGAGGAGCTTCTCGGCAAGTGGTTCGCGCGCACCGGCAAGCGCAGCGATATCTTCCTCGCGACTAAGTTTGGCTACGGCCTTGCGACCGGCATTCCAAACGGCTCGCCCGAGTACATGCGTGAGCAGTTCGCAAAATCTTTGCGCCTCCTCGGCACGGACTACGTCGATCTCTACTACCTGCACCGCATGGACACGACGATCCCCATCGAGATCACAGTCGGCGCCATGTCCGAGCTCGTCAGGTGAGTTTCCTGGGCGGACAATACTGGTTTCTCATGTGGTTTTGCAGGGCGGGCAAGGTACGCTACCTGGGTCTCTCGGAATGCTCCGAAGCGACGCTGCGCCGCGCACACGCCGTACATCCAATCTCGGCGCTGCAGGTCGAGTACTCGCCGTTCACGCTCGACATCGAGGACGACAAGATCGGGCTATTCAAGGCGTGCCAGGAGCTTGGCATCACGATCGTCGCGTACTCGCCACTCGGCCGCGGGCTCATCACTGGCCAATATGTACGTGCAGCGCCCGCTGAAACCCTTGTGAACGTCTTTTCGCTGTGTGTGGTTCTGACGAACCTGTCTCTTAGAAGTCGCCAGATGACTTTGAGCAGGGCGACTTCCGGCGCATCGTACCGCGGTACTCGCGCGAGAACTTCCCGAATGTCCTCAAAGTCGTCGAAGACCTCAAGACGGTCGGTACAAAGTACAGCGCGACGCCCGGTCAGGTCGCGCTCGCGTGGCTGCTCGCGCAGGCAGACAACGTGATTCCCATTCCCGGCACCACCAAGGAGAAGGCATGTTACCTTTCATGTACTGCGAGTGCATGACGCTGATAGGGACGATAGTACTTGAAGGAGAATCTGGGCGCGCTAAGTATCAAGCTCTCGCCGGAGGACTTGGAGGAGGTGCGCCGGGTTGCGGAAGCGGCGGATGGCTCCATGGGCCTTCGTTACCCCGAACAGGCGATGAAAGTCATCTTCGTAGACACGCCTGAGCTGCAGTGAAATAGTATGGCGCCGACCATCCGAGCGGTCTGAGCATGTATGTACATGCCGATGATATACTCAGCTCAGTCGGACAGTGATTTTCTGTGGTATGCTGCAACTTGATGCTTCTAATTCTTGCAATTTTAGGGTGTTGAATTCTATCCAGCTCCCTAGGATTTTCTCTCAGATACTACCACACAGGCGACCAATGCTGGTCAGCGGTCCAATTATGCCCACGAGAGCCCCGGTTCCGATCATGAACTATTCTCTGCACTTGAGTCGTCAAAAACAGATGCCGATAGACCTGCTGTCAATCCCTGAAACACTGAACCTCTTGCAGATGCTGCGAGACAAATGTAGACAATGCTGAGGATGCTATGAAAGAAGCTGGAGGACACATTACGCAGACAAAGAAGAGGATATGAGTGTAGTAGAGAGGCCGCTAGAAGCATTGTGTACAGAGCGCTGAAGATGACAAACACAGTATGACAAATAGTTACCAAAAGGTAAAGCGGGCCGTCTACGTCTACATGCCACGCTCCCCAGGCCTCTGGCATCTGAATTGTTACCGTGTAATTTCAATCTTCCTCTTGTAGAAGTAAATTAAGGGACAGGAAGCTTGTAAGACATTAACAAGCCGGCATCGTAGCTGAATCGCCATTATGACGGTGACCACTTCTGTCCAGAAATTCAGCATTTCACTTTAAATTCAGGAGAGGAAAAAAAAAATTCAGCATTCGAGACCTTGTAATAGTACCAAATCCTCGCTTTCGGATAGTCATCCGAGTGATAGAGATGTTGAAAGGCGCAGAGGATGACCTTCAACCTGGGGCCGCACGGGGTATCTGCGCGCAAAGATATCATTTCATGCAATGTGGTTGTTTAGTGGTATTTGCATAGCTTGTACATAGCCTACATGTCTTCAAATGTGCCCCAAGAGAACAGTAAATGAGTGTACAGACCGAAAATACTGCGAAACGATAACATAAAGAAAGCAACACGACCAGCATCGGAGGTGTAGCAGACTCCCGGTAAGCTCAGAGCACCACGATACTCTGCGTGACAATCTCGCAGATCGGTACCCTTTCACAGACGACGCAGGCCTGGCGCATCGCGCGCTCCTGGAGCAGGCCCCAGTCGTTCCACCACTCTGCAGCGTGATCTTCCGCGTCGTACGCATACATGTCCTTCTCTTTCTGCAAAAAAACCGGACATCAGCTCCCAGCCAAACGCCAACCCGTGCTCGGGCGACGGACGCACCTCCCAATGCGCCGCGACGACGTCGTCCGGCTCCGAGCCGACGAGGGCCTCGACACCCGCGGCGTGCTTCTCCTTCATCATCCGGTAGCGCAGCTCGTGTGCCGCGCCGGGCGGCATCGCGATCGCCGCGTAGCTCTCGAGGTCCGTCTCGAGCAGCTTCCGCACGGGCTCGCGCCGGATCGCCTCGAGCGCGTGCAGGAACGGCTCGACCTGCCCTGCGTGGTGCAGGTGCCGGAAGAGCCCGCCGAGCGCCGCCGCGTCGCACACGGACGCCGCGAGTCCGTTCACCGAGCCGCGCTGTTGCTTTCGGGTGAGGACCGGCCAAGTGGTGGGAGGGAAAGTGGAAGGGGGCGTACCGGGAAGGGATGTGCGGCGTCGCCGATGAGGATCAGCCGCCCGCCGGGGTGCACCCACGTCTCGAGCTCTGGCGGCTCCGTGAGTGGCACGCACCGCCCGCCCGCTGAGAGCTCGACGAGCTTCTTGAGCCTGCGCAGCCACCACCGCGTTAGCGTCGCCAAGCCCGTGATGTCGATGGAGCGTGGGACTCACCGCGGTTCGCACCCGCCCATTGCCTCGAGGATCTGGGCTGGCGTGACCCGCTTGCCCCAGTACGCCTCTGTGCCTGCTGCTGGGACGTACACCTGCAGCGCGTACTCCGGCCGGACGCCCTACGGGTCCTGTCAGCTCGGGCGTTCGCACACGCTGTCAGCGGATGGGGGATTGTACTCACGGCGATGTGACCAACTGCGCCGCGCGCGCTGCCGAGCCACGAGTGCGACGTCTGCTTGGGGTCTGGGCTCAGCGTGTGCGACAGCAAAAAATTTAATGGACAGGCACGCACCGTCCTCTCCAGTAGCGGCCGGAGCTCTGGCACGCCTTCCATCGCTGTTCGCGGGACCGGTATGCTGGTGGGAGAGCTGATCAGCCGCGCTCGCGCCGCCGCCGTCGCAGGGGCCCACCAAGATCCGCACCTGAAGAGGGACATGCCCAGCGCCGTCTCTTTGACGTCCGCGCCCGCGATGTGCCGTCGCAGCACGCTCTCGGGCCCGTCCGTGCCGACGACGACATCAGCTTCAATTGCCTCTCCCGAGGCCAATCGCACAGAAGGCCGGCCGTCTGCGCCAAACATGACGGACGTGATCCGCGCCTGTGGTCTGATCGTTGCGCCGTAGGATAGCGCGGAGTCGAACAGCAGTTGGCGCACGTCTGCGTACTAGCCACATTCGCAAGGTGTGAGCATGTCGGGCCAAGGAAATGCAAATGGGCGTGCTCACGTGCATGTACAAGATGTTGCCTCCGGCATCGCGGAAAAGCTCCTCCAGCCAGCTGTGCAGGCCCAACACCTCCTCGGACTCGACTGCGAAAGCGGACAGATTGTGAGGCGGTAGTGCGGGCGCGTCATGAGCGGGAACACGTACACTTTGTCATGAGCATCGCGCGTGAGCATACCGAGAGTTCACGCACGTGCTCCTCAGGCAACCAGCGCAGCAGGAGCTTGGACATGCTTGGCGGAATGATGCAGCCGTTCTCACCCCAGGTCTGGAGCACGAGCGAATTGGTCAGCCTCGGAGGACAAGGGGACGAGTGTCACTCACATTTGCAATCTGGTCTTCGACATCGAGCACGGTGACTCTGTGTCCTGCTCTCCTCAGAGCTATCGCAGAGGCCAGGCCAGCAGCAGTTGTGCCAATGACGAGGAAGTGGATCCTCAGTCGAGCTTGTGTGGGGCGTTCTTGCATAGCTCCTTGTGTCTGGCGCGGGCGTTAGTATGAAGTCCTTGACGGACGAAGTGTGAGCGAGGTGCGACGCACACGCCTAGATATATAACGGGAGTTGTAGTGGTAGAAGACACGGAATCTGGCGTACCCCGAAATTTGGTAGCGTCGTGAGGGTAAGAGGGATAGTGCCGGGTGCGAGATGAACGGGGCTGCTCAATCTGCCTGCGTCTTTTGGGCAGCCCGTCCTTGAGCCGCCCGCGGGATGAATCCAGCTCCTGATCAACCCTGCCCGAGCTCGGAACCCTATCGAAAGATTATCGTTGTCGTGCCTAGCAGCTCTTGAGACAGCTTTGAGACTGTTTTCTCACCTGCCCCTGGCTGCAAGGCCTTGGATAAAGACACGAGGTTGAAGAACCGCGCACGTCGCGGTGTCCGAGATCTCCGGGGCTGGAAGTCTCAGCCTGTAAGCATTTTTGGGCCGTTAGAAGGCCCTGTAGCTCGACAGAAGTCGACTTGCGGAAGCAGATTGCGGGGAACAATAGATCGCTCAAGTTTACTTCCGTAATGAACGCCTCCGGCTCAGGTGCCTGCCCTGCCTCGTCGAGACGCCCGACGCACAGCACGGCAATTGTAAGGGGCTGCTACACAAAGGTAGTTGAATATTCCTACTCTGTGCTCGCTCACGACGAGGCGATGCCAAGAGAGCTCAAACACCATGCGCCGCACCCACCGTCGCGGCCGCCTTGTTTTTTCGCATTGCCACCGCCGCGCGTCACCACAAACACCCCAGAGCGGACTAAGCGGGACAGGCTTTGACATACAACACGGTGCTTGCAGAAATCGAGAACAAGGGAAACGTCGCACGTATCGGGGTCGGGCGGTAGAAAGCCGCCGCGGCGTCTACAGTGGCGCATCAGGCGCATCAGTGACTCACATCGGCCCCCGACCCCACCTCGCGCCACCCTTGATATGGCAACGCACGGCGGTGGGTGGAGACAAGTGGCGCGACTCGCGGCCTTGGCGCGTGGCAGATTTCCTTCCCTGTCGTCGACGCGTCGACGTCATCAGCACGGGCGTCGTCGCGTCGTGGAATATATAAAGGGTACCTCCTGAGACGACAATCCCAACTTCGTCTCCTATCACACATCTCGACTTCACGCACCAAACGACATAATCAACATGGTCTCTACCACTGGTGCGTACCCCGCCAGCTATCGCGGCTGAGCGTAAAGATTGAGCGACATGTCGTAGACAACAAGAACCCCGAGCGCGTCGCGGCCGGTCTCAAGGCTACCATGCACAACCCCAACGTCAGCGAGGAAGCCAAGCACCACGCTGCCGAACGCCTCGAGCAGATGGGCTCGGGCACCGGAACTCATCGCGGCGAGTCTGGCTCGCACAGCTCCACACAGGACAAGAACCGCGTCCTTGGCGGCTACAAGGCAACGCTGGCGGTGAGTACGTTCGTTGCTTCAGCCTGTACGGTGACTGACGCGTTCATCAGAACGAACATACTTCCCCTGAGGCGAAGAAGCACGCCAGGGAGATCCTCGAAGCCCATGGATATACCATAGAGCGCGGCGAGGGCGTCTCGGAGGACGAGCACCATACCCGTGTGCTGGCTGGTTACAAGGCCGCTCTGCACAGTGAGTGTAGCTTTACCTTACATCCTCAGGGACGTGACTCACATGCTGGTAGACCCTCGCGTGTCTGATGAGGCAAAAGCCCATGCCAGAGAGTACCTTAGGGAGCACGATGCGCTCTAAGCCAACCAATCAAGCCTAATCATGTACCTTTAAATTGTATCGTAGAACGGTACAAGATAATTGTAAAGTTTAACTGTCCCGCCGAATGGGCATATCTAGTTCATGAGAAAAGAGTATGCAACTATGCTGCCTGGAAATCTGGAAATCGTTTCGTAGTAACTGGCTGACAATGCTCGAGTATACGAACGAGCTCGGACCTGGCCTCATTGGTGCGCTGCCCTCTTTGCAGCATACTCATACTGAACCTTTTGCAGACTGCCCCTCGAAAATGCCAAACAAGGTTGGGCATCTGTTCATGGCCCAGCTCTTCCACGACCTAAGTTCTAGGAGCTGGACAATAGAAGACCGTCAACCATCAAACTTCTTCACGCCTCTACCTCCGTGATATATAAAAGAAGAGGAGGGGTAAGTTAACCCCGAAGAAGCCTTCGACATCAAGTCGCAGTTCAGTGATATTTTCCACCTGATGCCGTGTCGTTCGAGATTCCAGCGGTTGCTACAGTCATTACGGTGCCGTCTGAAAGGGGTCCTCTAGTCCCGTGTGCCTCTCTCAGAGCAATTTCGGCGTCACATCGGATTCAAAGCGACGTGCATGCCTTTCGACAAGCTTTAGAGTTGCTTGCATGCGCAGATGCGCGCCGCTGCACGAGTCGCTTGGTGGTTCGACCCCACTAGATTTTTGAAATATGCCGAGAGCATTCATGTGCTTCAGAAAGTTGGAAGTGATAAAGCTCTTCTCGCACCAAGTACGTCTTGTACAAATCATGCCAGTAATTTCTGTTCTCTCGCGATTTATGGAGATTTTTTTTGGAAATAGTCGAAGAAACTTGAGCTGAACGCTTCCATCCGGTATGATTGCGAAAGTAATATATGCTCCGCTGTTTGGTCATAACGTCGTAATCAGGAATACCTGAATATTACGAAGAATTTGTTTGCACCTCCATTGCATGACTGTGAGCATGCTAAGCCTTCGACGTCAAATCAAAGGGGCCTTACCCAGGAGGAAGCACCTGCAGATCACTGTCAAACCCACGGAGCAAAACAGGAAAGAGAGAGTCCAGCTCCGAAGATACTTTCGACACGAGGTTGTAGTGCAGTGACCCAAAGATCACCCGTTGGTCGTGCCTGCTGATGGGTCGTTATGCCGTCACCTCGAAGCGGGACCCACATTGCTACGAGCCACTTGACCGTCTGGCTTTGTGATCTTGTGAAATTTGCTGGGAACATCGCGACTCATTTGCTCTGGGTATGTCGGAAACCATGAAAGTGTTCTCACGACGAATGCCTTCATACAACTTGTGTTTCTGTGTGGCATAGACCCCTTGCAAATTCTGCAAGGTCACCGACCGATTTGTCTAAAATATCCAGACATAGCATGTCTGCAGTCTAGGCTCTGGATCACGCCTGAGACAAAGTGAGCGATCCCGAAAATTCCGATTGGCGACGGCTTTGTGGCGCTTGTAGAGATGGGTGAGGATGATAAGCGCCTGACCCAGGCTTGGACTGCACCCGCCATGTCCAACCTGACCACTTTTGGACGCCCAACCGCCGCGAGCAGCGCTGCGATGTCGAGTAAGAGCTGGAAGATGAGCCGCTTAAGGTTCTCCTCTCATTACCGCCATGTCGCCTGATGATGCAAGCACATGGACATCCGGGCGGCCGAGCGGTGGTAAGCATGGCCCTTGTTCTTTCGAATGAGCTGTCGCTGATACGCTTGTTTGCACAGGCGCGTCCTCGTCGACCGACGTAGACGACGGATACTCGAGCAAGGGTGGATGCTGTGCAATATATCATCGCACGTCAGGCACTTTGTCCTGACTGGGCACACGCTACAGCACCCGGCATGCTTTTTCGTTATCGCTGATGTAGAACGGGAGACCGACGTGTCCCGACGCTGGTCTGCTTAAACGTCGGATGTGGCTTGAGACCACGGTGAGTCACGCAATCTCGTTCAAATTGGTCGACTCATCAGATCTTCGTGCCAGCAAAACTGACTTGTATCCGATGTTTCGATCACGGTTCACGAGCCTAAAGGTAGTGTTCGTATTGTTTTTCTCGTCAGGTGAACATGTTCATTTGTATGCACGCCTCGCGCACACACTGATAACGAGCTTGGAAAGCTCAGACCAGCATGGCATCCTCCGGCAGAGATACGCGTTTTCGACCGCGCCCGTGAGACTTTTAACAGACAATGCCGAATTTGGCAATGTCTCGTTGTTTTCATATGCGGAGGTTGGGGTCCGGACCTCCGTACGGGCCTCTTCTTGCGCGCCAACTTTGCGGTCGGGCGACCCAGGTTCCCCAGAACATCCGAAGTCGAGATCCGTGTCCCGCATACTTGCAAATATCTACAGTGAGCCTCGTTGTCGCCTCATATCGACCGTTCTGATGGCGAACGCCTTTCGACTAGAGTCCATGTGCCATAGTCGTACGTTCCTCCTGGCTGGCAAATTCTCCGGGGTTCTGCAGTGCTCCACATTCGTCCGAATTTGAGTATCAGGCGATCCCCCGTGGGGACTGAATGGCTCAGTCTCCCTCCGCTTCACTCCTCGTATACCGGTGTTCCAAGAGGCGGCTCGCTCTCACGTATTGCATCGTCACCATTGCAAAACACAGCCTCTCAGCTCGTCTACACATGCGAAGCATTGCCACATGACAGAAAACTGACATTTGTCTTGTTCACCGCTTTCCTTCGTGGGATCCGGCTCAGCAACGCCTCGGATGTTCAAGCTTTCGTCCGTATGGTGCCGAAGTTTGTCGACGTCACCAACCCCCTCCTGTTGTTTAGACTTGCTATTCTGGAAGCCTGCATTCCGCCACATGCCGCCATTTGTCGTCGCGAAGGGTCATGGCTGCAATAGCGCACGTCCATGTGATTGCACATCAGCCCTCGTGCGGACGATGAGCGACGACAGTGGCAGCTGGGGGCACCTGGAACCAAACGGGGTATGTACTCGGATCTGCCGAATGTTCAAGAAGACTGGAGTCTGCCCAGTGCGGGCACTGTGGTGGTGGTGCCGCCCACATATCGCGACACGTGAGTCCGCATGCCATAACCTTGGGCGATGCCAATCATCCTTTTTTAGACCGGAGCGCACTGGAAGACGGGGCGCAGAAGCCTGAGCATCATGAGCCTGTAGTTTGTCCGGTGCTCGGCTATACCACAAGGGCTGCGTGGACCCCCTCGGGCTCGTCTGAACTCATATGTCACGAGGGACAGCGCAAGCGAGGTGAGCCAACGTGCAAGGTTTTCGAGCCCCACCGTCCAGATCAGGCATCCAGCTTCGTCTGACCGACGAGACACGCCGCCCCTGCAGGTCCCATGCTCATCCGCGTCGACTCGAAAATTTCGCCTCGCGCGACGTATATAACCAGCGCACTCCACTGCTGGTCTTCTCCAGGGCATCGGCTTCTCTCTCTCCTCGCTCCAAGCTCCACACGCTCGACATTGAGTACCACTCGCAGTGTTACTTGCCATGTTCCACCGCATCTTGTGCAACGCTATGGTCGTTGCGGGCGCCCTTCTGGGGTTGCTCGCCACGACGGCCTCTGGTCTTGGCTCGACGTGCTCGACGCCTTTGACGCACGGTAGCGCAGCCCCAGGCGCTCCCTTCTGGATGGAGAACATCCAACACCAGGGTGAGCATTGTCGAATGCCACTCTAGCGTAAATGCCAATTTGATCGTGTTCTCTAGGTATTGCTGCGTTCAACTCCAACCCCTCCAGCTACCCGGTTTTCCGCAATGTCATGGTATGCATTCACACTGCAGCACGTTTTCACACATTTGTTAAGGCTTTCTTTTCTTTGTAGAACTACGGCGCCAAGGGAGACGGCTCGACCGATGATACTGCTGCCATCCAGTTCGTACCGCATCTGCCGTACACACGGGAGATTCCTTGTTCATCTACTTCCCAGATCCGCCATTAACGCCGGTGGCCGGTGCGGGCAAGGCTGCCAATCCACGACGTTAGTCGGTTCCGCCGAGCGCTTCCCATGGAAAGGCTAACTTTATAATTATCGTAGCACCCAGCCGGCTCTCGTCTACTTCCCACCTGGGTAAGTTTTCATCGTCGATCATGGGACGGCTTCACCTCATGGCTGTGTGATAGTACCTACAAGATCTCTTCGCCTCTGATCACGCTCTATCAAACTCAGCTCATTGGCGATGCCACGACCCTTCCAACCCTTCTCGCTGCTCCCAACTTCTCTGGCATTGGTCTCATCGGTACGTCTGCCACGGTTCTGAAACGTATTCTTCGACACTCATCGAGCCTCACAGATGTTGACCCTTACCTCGCTGGCGGTGCGCAGTACTATACGAACCAGAACAACTTGTGAGCATCCCGGGTTCTCACCCGACCTTCCCGAGTTGACATTCATTCAGCTTCCGTTCCGTCCGCAACTTCGTGATCGACCTTCGTCAGGTGTCCGGGTCGGCTACCGGTATCCACTGGCAGGTCTCTCAGGCGACGTCGCTCATCAACATCGTCTTCGAAATGTCGACCGCCGCGGGCAACCAGCACCAAGGTATCTTCATGGAGAATGGAAGTGGTGGTTTCCTTGGCGGTACGTGTGAACGGTCCTCCTGACTGACAGCCTGCTCACATGGCTGTCTCGTCAGACCTCGTGTTCAACGGCGGTAACATTGGCGCCACCTTCGGCAACCAGCAGTTCACGGTCCGCAACGTGACCTTCAACAACGCAAACACTGGTATGTCCTTTCCGCTGGCTGGACATTGAGGCCGCTGCTCACTAAGTCCGCCAGCCATCAACGCCATCTGGAACTGGGGCTGGACGTTCCAGCGCATCACGATCAACAACTGCCAGGTCGGCTTCTCCCTCACTCAGGGCAGTACCTCCAACACCGGCGCTCAGGGTGTCGGCGCTGAGGCTATCATCGACGCCGTCGTCAGCAACACTCCCACCTTCATTGAGTCCAGCGGCCCCAGCGGCGGACACCTCCAAGGTTCGATTGTCCTCAACAACATCCAGCTCACCAACGTCCCCGTCGCTGTCGGTGTTGCGGGCGGTGCTACAGTTGTAAGTACTGCAATCGTTAAGATCCATGGCGCTTGTATTCAAGTCTTTGATGCGCAGCTCGCCGGCGGTACCACCACTATCAACTCTTGGGCCCAGGGTAATGTCTACCACGGCACGAGTGGCTCTCCGACCTTCACCCAGGGCAACATTGGGGCCATCAACAAGCCCGGCGTCTTGCTCGACGGCACCGGCCGCATCGTCAGCAAGTCCCACCCTCAGTACTCCGGCTACGCTCCAGGCGACTTTGTCAGCGTGCGCTCGCAGGGCGCGAAGGGCGACGGCCACACCGACGACACGCAGGCGATCAAGAACGTCCTCGCGCAGTACGCAGGCTGCAAGATCATCTTCTTCGACGCCGGCACGTACATCGTCTCCAGCACCATCACCATCCCCGCTGGCACCCAGATCGTCGGCGAGGTCTGGTCGCAGGTCGTCGGCACGGGCTCCGCGTTCCAGGACAACAACAACCCGCAGCCCGTCATCCAGGTCGGCACCGCGGGCTCGACGGGCATTGTTGAGATCACGGACATGATCTTCACCACTCGTGGCCCGGCGGCTGGTGCGATCATCGTCGAGTGGAACGTCCACGACCCCTCTGGTCAGCAGGCCGCTGCTGGTGCCTGGGACACCCACCTCATGTGAGTCTAGCCTTCCGTTGGCTATCGTTTCCGTGTGCTGATTGGTGTCCATCCCGTGTAGCATCGGCGGTACTGCTCAATCCGGCCTCCAGGTCGCACAGTGCCCGACTTCCGGTGCTGGCGGCAACAACTGCTTCGCCGACTTCCTCGGCCTGCACCTGACCTCCGGCTCGAGTGCCTACATCGAGGTGCGTCTCGGGCTCGCATCTCCGGCGGCGTGGGTGGATCTCTGACGAATTTTGGCTTCACACAGGGAATGTGGGTCTGGCTCGCGGATCACGATCTCGATACCGGAGGGAGCCAGCAGCTCTCACTCTGGAGCAACGGCGGCATTTTGTCCGAGTCCCAGGGCCCGGTGTGGCTGATCGGCACAGGTGCGTGCACGCCCCTCGGCAGGGGCGACCGAGTGGATCGGCTCACGCGGCTTTTTGATTGTTCCAGCGGCTGAGCACCACATCAACTACCAGTACTTCCTCAACAACGCCGCGAACCACTACATCGGGCTCGCCCAGACCGAGACGGTGAGTTTTCGCCGCTAGGCACGCGCACCGTGGGTGATTGCTGACGCGATCTCCTCCCCTCCGCAGCCCTACTTCCAGCCGAACCCTGGCCCCCCGGGACCGTTCGTCACCAACACCAACTTCGATCCATCGCAGCTCGGCAACGGCAACGCCTGGGCGTTCACCGTCCAGAACTCGCAGAACATCCTCGTCTTCGGTGCGACGCTCTCTTCTCCCGTGTGTTCCCCACGAACCGGACGCTGACGCCGTTGTGTAAACAGGCGCGGGCTTCTACTCGTTCTTCAACAGCTACGCGACGAGCTGCCAGAACTCGCAGAACTGTCAGAACCAGATCGTCAACGTCGACTCGGGCTCGTCCGTCGCGTTCTACAGCCTGACGACGGTCGACACGACCTTCTCGCTCAGTCAGAACGCGCAGGGCGTCATCAACCGGTCGAACAACCCGAACGGCTTCGCGGACACGATCACCGCCTGGACGCGCAACTAGGTCCGCTCGCGACTGCGAATACAGGATTGCTGATTCTCGTGGGTTGTCAACATATCTCTCTAAAACGGCTTGTATTCGTGTGTGTTTGTAGTAGTACCACTACTGTATATTAGCTTGCGGTGTTTGTATTAGTACATGTACCATTCTATCGCGCACTTCCCCGTGCCATGAACGTTGAGTTATCTCGGAGTGCTAGTCCAAGTTGCGATCCACCTCGAAGAGCATCGAAGGGCTAGCCTGAGTGCAAACTACAGGCGCCCTGACGATGCCTTCAAAAGCTCCGGAGAGATAGGAATCTCATATTGAGACCAATATTAATTGATGCCTATGCGTGGGCCAGGGGCCTGGCAAGGGCTAATTCGTGTAAACAGTCGCACCGTGTTTCAAGGTGTTTCAGTGCCAGTGCCCGTTCAAGTCGGGCTTTGCGGCGGGGTTAGGACTGCGCCGCTACGAGAAAGTTGCTGACATGGTAGGCTCATCAGAAACCACCAAATGACAGCTAAAGCAGGTTAGATTTCCATCAACATCGCATCTGTGGTAAACTGGTCGGGCTGGTTGCGGACAGGCATGTGCATACTGCCACGGCCCGAGTGCGTCGCGGCAAATCGCACCGGAAAAGGTAAAGTATGTTTGTCAAGCGACAGACATCATATCGAATAGAACGACCGAGAACACGAGATATCGGCAGTATCCTCAGCCTACCCCAGCCTACCTTGTGGAATCGGGACCTTCCCAGGCCCCAGATGTTAAAAGCACACTAGTGTGATTTTTTCAACCCTGCGATACCATGGCCTCCCTCAACATCCAAGATGTTGGGCGCACCGCGCGCATCCCGGCGCCGCTGTCAAAGCTGCAGACAGTCAAGGTCTCGGCACCCGCTGAACATGTGCTGCTGATCGCCATGAGCCGGCCAAAGGCGTTGAACATGTTCGACGAGCAGATGGAGGACGAGATGAGACAGGTGCTCGAGTGGGCGGACGAGGACAAGGACGTCTGGTAAGCAGCTGTTTCGTGTTCCCCCCTCGCCGAAATGTCGAGATATGCCTGCAGGGCCATGGTTTTGACGGGGGAAGGTGGCGTATTCTGTGCCGGAGGCGATATTAAGCTGTACGTGCTGGGTTGTATCGTAGGCAGTCGCTCATCCGCGCGCGCTTTTTGCCTTCAGAGCACTCAAGCAGGTGCAGGAGCGCCCTTCTGATCCAATTCCCCCGTCCCTTTTCTATGGGATGACACCCGAAGGATTCGGTTACCTCTCGCGTCGCCCTCGGGCCACCAAACCCATCATTGCCGCCGTGAATGGCATGGTGATTGGCGGGGGCCTCGAGATCGTGCTCAACTGTGACATTGTAGTCGCCAGCGACAAGGCTAGGTTTGGGCTTCCGGAGACAAAGAATGGCCTGGTCGCCATCCACGGAGGTCAGTACCGTCGAAATGACTGTTTTGCCCAAGTCTTCGCCTTCGCCTCGGGGACTTATCGTGATATTTGTCAGCTTTACCGAGGCTCGCGAGGGTTGCAGGCCATCAGGCGAGCGTCAACCTGCACCATTTTGCGGCAATTGTTACTCATTAAATTGGTATAATGCAGCTCGCTTCTGAGGCCTATCTCATGGGACGGACTCTCACTGCCAAGGAGGCCCACGCTCGGTTCGGCTTGTGAGTTTGTATTTTGCTCAACTATGTCGCATGCGTCTCATCGTACTTCTTAGCGTGAACCGCGTGGTCCCGCACGACTTCGTGCTCTCAGCCGCGCTAGGACTCGCTTCGCAGATTGTCTCTCTGGCAAAATCTGCTAGCGCAAACGCGCCAGGATCCTCCGGTCTCGAACAGATACAGAACACGAAACGCTTGCTGGTCCAGAGCCGAAACCAGCGACCAGTCTCCATGGCCAAGCTATGACGCTTAACGCTTATTCACGCCTCAGTCACGCTTTGATATCATAACGTTATGATGTACTTATACATGTCTGTTGTAATATTTAGCCTGGATATTATTCTGAGGATGCCACTGCATGCATAGACGAGTGGGTGAACGACAAAACTGAAGTAAAGGGAGCATGAGTAAGAAGCCGCTAATGAAGCCGCTTAGTGACATAAGCGAGGACAAGACACGGGATCAAAGTGTGGGAAAATGGGCCAAAGCGCGTCGTTGCATCCCCGTCCCATTCCACGGTCCACAGTCACTTCGTTTCCAAACCCTAATTTCTCTTAATTTGCCGACGCGGTGCTGCCGAAGTCCTGAGCGGAGAGCACACGCAAGACGAGACAGTCATGAGCACCACCAAGTACGCTAGCCTGCCAGACATAGTTGAGTAGTACGCTTGATCTATGCGTAGATGTGCATGAATCGTCCCCCGTGCTGACCTCGTGTCTCATCCTGCTTTGTCGTGTAGGACACTGCGCCAGATGTCTACGAAACGGAAGATGTGTTCCCCACTCACGAAACCGTGAGTTGCACGCTTCTGGACACGACATGGCTATGCTCATCAAAATCGCGACGCCTTCCGACATGACAGAAGCAAGAGTCGTCAGACGAAGAATCTGGACTTCCCTCTAGGCAGTCGAGGGGCAAAGACTTGCATGCTAGGCCGGAGGAACTCGATGCGAGCAGTTTGATGGACCCGAGCGAGGCGGGCAAGAAGTTCAGGAAGGCAGAGAAACGTGAGCAATGGCTAACCATACGCAAGTCCGATGACTCTAACAGCATCGCTTTTCGCAATCGACAGGTCGTCACCGGCCGCGGATACAATATACGTACCCGCCATCTCCGACGACGTCTTCAGGACGAAGCTCGCCCGAGATTCACCACACGCTTCCGTCCCACCATCACCATCATCATCACCAACGCCCACACGCCTCGAATCTCGCACAGCGGCTCACGAACCTCAAGGCAGAGCTTGCAGCGCTCGAGGCCGAGCTCGGCGAGGCACAGACGCAAGAGAGCCCGGCCCTCGCGGACGACGACGATGACGACGAGCCGGTCGACATCGCAGCGGAAGTAGAGGACACGCCCAAGCCTGTTCTCGAGGAGAACGACGGGCCGCAGAAGGCCGTGCTCATCAGCGAGGTCATCGATGTCAAGGCGCGGTTGGAGAAGATCGGGAAGCTGAAGGACGGGAAGACAGGCAGGGAAAAGCTCGTTAGTGCGGTGCTCCAGGGCGTTGGGGAGCGAAGCACGTCGGCTGAGGCTGTACCTGGAAAGGACCAGGAGATCCCTGGGGGTGAAGAGAAGAAGGGAGAAAGTCTTCCGATGAAGATGGAAGTGAGGGATATCGCTGAGATGGATCGTCGTCTTGGAGAGCTGGAACGCGCGGTGGGGGCGTCTAGCACCACCGTAGACGAGGTTTGTCTTCACCCTTACCCATATACCCAACAACTCACGAGCGTCGTATAGACTACACCCCTTCCTCCGCCTTTACTTCCCCTCCTAACCCGCCTCAACACCCAGCTCACCCTCCTCGCTCAACCGCGGCACATCGACAACATCTCGCGTCGGCTCAAGCTGCTCCTCTCCGACCTCGACAGACTGTCCGTGATCAACAACCAGCACAACAACCCGAACGCAGGCGCGCCCCAGCGGCGGGGCACCAGCGGCCACTTCGGGCACAACCAGCATGGCTTCGCGGGCATGCCTAGCACGCCGGTATCGTCTAGCCATCCCGCGCCCCCGCCGAGCCCGCACCCGCACACGGACGCGCTCGTGCCCATCCTGAACCGGCTGTCGCCCCTGCTGCCACACATCCCGCACATCCTGACGCGCCTCCGCACGCTGTCGACGCTGCACACGAATGCGGCCGCGTTCCAGGGCACGCTCGAGGCGCTCGAGGAGGAGCAGAAGCGCGTGCGCCGCGCGCTCGAGGAGCTCGAGGGCGCCGTGCAGAGCGTCGAGGGCAGCCTGAAGGAGAACGAGACCGTCGTGAAGGGCAATGTTGTTGAGGTTGAGCGGAGAGTGGACGAGGTGACGCGCAAAGTCGAGGCGATGAGCGTCACGGGTCAGTGACGAATGTTCGGATTCCCTTCGTACTGCAGGCTGCATTCGTGATATACCCCTTTCATTTCTGTGTCCTGGCCTTTTTTCCACCTCAAATGAACTTCGTGTGCTGACACTGGCCAACAATAGGGGTTTTCGCGAACTGGGGAGACGTGCAAAATATGGAAGAGTAAAAGCTTCAAAGGTCCCAGGCTCGCGGCGGAACCGCAGAAAGGGAAAAGGACCAAAAAAGCGTCACCTGAGCGATTCGAACACTCGCGTGCAAAGCACAACCGCTAACAGCTAAGAATAGCAGGCGATCCCGTTAACCACTCCGGCAAAGTGACTTGCTGTGCCGGCTACTGTGCTACTATATGATCCAAGCAATTATTAGTAGATATCCAAAGAGATTTTGCGAGTTGGCTCGGGTTTCGGTGGCGATACCCTCAACTACCGAGGTCTAGACTCTAGAAGACATCGGCCACGGCTCATGCATGTGGTCTCATGCCCGGTCAATGTCTTTTCAGCAACATCGCGCCAGTCATGCGACCTCGTTGCGCGCCACGCGCACCACCGTGTAGTAGCGCCGTGAAAGCTTTATCCGGCATGCTCTTCCTCGCAGCTTCATGGGATTGTAAAAGCGATGGGTTTCCTATTGATCTCTTTCGCCCCTTCCAAGGCCCACGCCCACTCTATTCTGATATCTCCGCCTTCACACGGGGTAACCTTAACCCTAGGGACCTGCGTCACTCTCATAGGGGCGACATTCGGGACGACTACCACACTCTAGTACCACATCTTCCGACCACAAGGTGAGTGGTTTCGGATGCTAGGCTGAGCTATAAATTCACTTTCTTCCTTAGGTGTCAACTGAGCCGCACACTGTTGGTGCACAACTTTGCAAGGGACGCTGTGTCTTGATCTTAGTCTTTCTCACGAATACGCCGAAGTCTCCATAGAATCGGCACCAATGTCCTCGCAAATAGAAAGCAGCGGCAGGGAGACTATCTTGCAAGTGACTGCGCCCGTCTTCCCTCCAGAACTCTTTGACTCCGTGATCGACCATCTGCACGACGACAAAGCGGCCTTGCACAAGTGTTCGCTCGTCTGCAAGGACTGGGTGCCTTCCAGTACTTTCCACCTGTTCTCCACCTTTTCTTGGCCCCCATGCCATCACATGTGGCACGCGAAGATCCCGCGCACATCGCAGGGAAACTTCTGCCGCTGCAGCCAGGCTCAAGCCAGTTTCAGCCACTGCTTCACGCTGCTCTCGAGCATTCCCCGCATTGCGGCCGCAATCCAATGCCTGAGACTGAACAGCTCTCGCTCTGTCCACCACATCGATGGTACCACTCGCTTCACTGACGAGGCGCTTCCTCGCTCAACTCTTCTGGCGATACTCGATTGTCTATGCCATCTTCGCACTGTCGAATTTACCAACTGCTTGCTCGAGAGGGAGGGCAACTGTATCAACGCCAGCCCTGGAGCACGGGAGGTTCACGAAGTTAAGATAATTCCACGACATGACCACGGCTACGTCCCCCTCTATCGTGCGCTTGAGGCTCTCTCGGTTTTCAGCCGCCTGCGAAAGCTGTCCATCGATGGCCAAGGGTGTAGACCCCTTCTCGCGGGCAGCTCATCCCTACCTCGCCGTACTTGCATCGGTGCTCTCAAAATCATCTGCGAGGACACGGACAGTACAGAGAGCATTATGGGCACGCTACTTCAAAGAACCGACTTGGCCTCCCTGCAGGACTTGACGCTCTGCAGTCTCCTCGGAGACCGGTCTCAGACGTCGTTCCTCGCCGCAGTTCCATCCACTCTCGAGTCGCTCGAATACCACGTTGTCGGCGCGACCCCAGAAATACATCGGTTCGCCTGCCTGCGTTCCTTGACCCTCATCGGCTCGCTCTATATCGAACAAGGCGGCCGCTCCGAGTGGCCGGACATCATGCGAGATTTCGGCGTCGTCGCAGGACCCCAGATGCGCGACATCGGCATCACCTTGCAGGTCCATGAGGACCCGTTCTGGACGTTCTGGACGTCGGGTTCGAGCCTTGGAGACATGCCCTTCGACTACCTGGCGAACTCGCTGAAGAAGCAAGATTGGAGCTTGCTCTGCGCGCATCTGCGCGAGTGTCAGTTGCTCCAGGGACTCAAGATCAAAGTGGAGCTGAAGCCGATGCTGGATGGCAAAGGGAAGCTATCCCAAGATGTCCCACGATGTACTTCGATCGTACGGGAGGTGGTAGATCAATATCTACCTGCGGCCGTGGCGAGTTTCGCGAAAGTGGGAGTGATGTGTGCAGATACGAAGCACTGAATCATAATGTAAGAGCATTCGTATGAACAGAGCCGTATTTCGTGCTGACGATGCTTGTATCGTACAGGCCAGCATACAAGTCAGCGCCCCAATCGTGCCGCGATCCCCGGAACGTCGGAGCGGTACCTCAAGCAGCTGCATATTCGTGTAGATTATAGGATGACAGCACGCTCAGATTTGGTGTACGTATACATTTGGCTCGGGATCGTTTTGCTACAAGAGAAGAACGTGCCTCGCCTGAAGGCTAGCTTATAAGTAGCATTTTCTTCCTGTAGCTATCGACTATAACGTTTTCTCGATTAATGCATGTATAACAGCGGATTTTCTTTATAATACAAGCTACCAGATTTACGATGTTCCAAGCATCAAGCACCAAACACAAAGAGTTAGATTAATTCCACTTCGAACCCAAGCGGTTGTAACTGAAGACGAGGACTGCGGCGATTAGATGTCAAATGCTGTCATGATACTTCGGGCAGACTCACGTTTACGGCCGCTCAGTGCTGGGGGTTGAGGGGCGACTGTCACTAGCTATGCTGTGATGCAACATGGTGGGACGTGTGGGCCGCGGGGCTCGCACAGCTGGAGGGCTTATCGATCTGGTAGGGACGCGATCCTGGACCGACGTAGTCTTTCCGTTCACTCGGCCCTCTGATAGCGATCCCGCACTCGTTTGGCCTACGCCATAAGTGCCGCGGTACGGACCAGAGGGGGAAGGGCGTCGCTCACCGCTGTTCGGGCGACCGAGCATTCTCGGGCGGGGTGTGCCTGCCCGCCGCGCGAAGGGATCCCGTCTGCCGCCGCCTATCTTGCCGAGCGGAGACCCTGGCGAACCGAAGTCTAAGTCAGAAGGGGCAGAAGCGGGGTCGGTGTACGGCTGAAGCTCGAAGAGCAAGTCGCCCTTCGCGCTAAAGACGGGGTTGCACAACGTGTATGCCGACAGTCCAGGGTAGCACGACTGCCATACGGAAGCGAAGCGAGAGAATTCGGCGTAAGCGGGCTGCATGTCGACGGTAGGAGGGAAAACGTCTCTGAGAAGCTGTTCGGGGTCAACGATGGGATGCATCCCTGTGTCTCCGGTGGAATCGAGGGTCTTGAACACAATAGCCTGATTCAAGACTTTGACGAGCAGACCACCAGCTTCTGAATGTACTACCAGCGATGCTGTCCACTCTACAGATGCCTTTGAGCTGCCAACTCACTCAGTCCTTTTTCAAGACATGAAGTAAAATAGAGAAACATGCCTCCAGTCTACTGAGAGCCCGCGGTCGTCAAGGTGCACGTCCAGCTGCAGAGTAACCCTTCCACGCATTTCGATCGTCATCGTACCCTGCTTGTAGACGGTGGGTATCTCCAAACTGTTTTCCGTGTCGCCTATGTTTCCCTACATGAGCAAGCGACAAGCGCCGAACAAATGAAGAAAAATTGGCAACCGAACTCGAGGTATGTCTCTTGGCTTATATTCGTGTGCAACTTGCTAATGTTACGTAGAGGCGAGCAGTTGAATTTCACGAATTGGCGCGTCACTTTCGAAGTAGATCTAAATATATGCGATCATGGCACTCTCCCAGGAGTGAGTCCAGAGTGGCAGTCAGCCTTTGAGCAGAGCCGTGTGGGTCAGGATGCTGGTTTTCAATCGAATGTGGATCTTAAGCATATCTCTCTCAACTTGCTTCGTACGTGCTTTTCAGGGGCTTTAATTCAGACCTTAATCGTTGGCTGCGCAGGGGTCAATTTCCTCCACGAGCTGTCCTACTTTGAAGGCCTTCACAACGCGCAGAACAAACGCTTCATCGACAAGATCCAGGCCGCGGTCTACTACCTACGCCAATATTACTTGCCGCAGCTCGTCTCTGCCGGACACCATATCCTTTACACTATACCAATCTGGAAGACGGAATCAGCCGAATTCCCGCACCGCCTTACACACTTCATGTACCAAGTCTACTCGAATAAAAACGCGGGCATGTCTTACACGTGGAGCGACAACTCTCGCGTATTCCAGCCCATAATCGTCATCGTCGGCATATGCGCGGATCGACACTCGATCCCTTCTGGTTTCCAGTACTCGACGGAATGGGTAGCTCACGCGGGCAAATTTTCGTCGTGCGGCACCGTCGGCATCTCAGCGGAGCTTTTCCTCAAGGGCAAACTCCTTCCCATCGTTTCTCAGATCAACGCTACGACGACCGTTATCCCAATCTTCTCCGGAATGAAGCAGAACCAGTGGAACCTCAGGCTCACCACTTGGGCGGAGCATCCAGACCGGCAAGACAGCCCTCCACCTCATCCGTTGCGTGTCGACGGACGCCCAGACGAAGCACTGAATTTCTTTTGGAAACATCGCGACAAGTTGAATTATGAACACAGGAGCCGCAGTGATCACATCGTGGACGGAACGTATAGCGTCGCATGTAGGGCAGAGCCCTGACAAAACCATCTTTCAGATGAAAAGACACCAGCGCTCGGCCGTCGCTACGTAAACGAACGGTCGGAGGCTTGAAGTTGACGCTGAAGCAAGTTTCGTATCCCCAGCGCTGCAGCAGTGGCTGGGTAGCGGAAAGCGAGTGGAAATTGTGGTTGATGGCAGTCTCCGACAGCGCGGTAATCTGGTCGAAGCCGCACATGTCGCTGGCCTGTGTGATGTTGCGCCAGATGGCAGTCTTCGTGATCTTCCCGGTGGCATCCTCGATAACATCGGTGGCGGACCATGAAGCCTCGTTAGGGGATACAAAGTCTTCCACGTTCTCAGTCTCGTCCCCCGGTTTCGGCCAGCGTAGGTCATGGTAGTAGATAACATGGAAGCCTCCGCCCTCCAAGACCGACAGATACTCTCCCGAGAGGAATTCGGCTGCGCGAAACCTGCAGCGTACGGCAATCTGGTCTTCCTCTTCAACACCTTCAAAACTTGAGAATTGGGGTAGGAGTCGAGGCTCTGATAATAACACGCGTGAGCAGACAAGATATTATCTCAACGCTACTTTACTTACTAGCCATGTTGAGCTTACATCGAGTCACATTGCCACCTTCTTCGTCAGGCTTCTCGTGGTGGAGGTCAAAGACAACAGCGACCCTCCAGTTCTGGTAAGTCCGAAGCGCCTCTCTGGAAAAAAAAAAAAAACGAGGTGAGCCTCTGTCGCGTCAACAGCTCCTGGGGCTTACCCGTCGAAGTTGTCGGACTTGTAGAAATATGCCTCGTCGATAACATAGTGCACGATTACCTCGTCGTTGCATAAGGCCACGACTTCCGGAGCTCCGAACGTGAGATGGAAATGAATGTCGGCCCTCTGTGAGATCCATGTACTCCGGTACTCGGCGAGGGATATGCCAGGGCGGTCGAGGACTTGCCCCTCCGGACCGCTGGCGAGCATGGCGGCTTTGAGCCACAAAGTTGACAGATATCTGTTGATGTCGGCGATCACGACCCCGTGGACTTCTTGCAGGTGTAGAGGACTATCCACGACCTCGGAATAGTCGATTTGTAGCTCCTCCTCTAGATCGCTGAAATTGGGAAGAGAAAACAGCACATGATGGCCAGCGGACTGTAGGAAAGCGAGGTACGTTTGGAGATACGACTCAAGAGCTTGGGACGACGGCTGGTCGGTTTCCCGACTGATTGTCATCAGCTTCGCTCCTGAATTGAAGTAAGTTCCCGTGCACAATCGCGGATTTCGTTATCGACCAGCTCACTTCTATATTCGAGGACTAGCAGGGTGAAAGCGTGGCTCCCATTCCCGATCAGCGAGGCACTGCCCTTTATTCCAGTTGTCCTGAACGGAATACGAAACTCAAAAGATGTGCCACTAGGGATGTCTCGATTCCGCGCCCTATTAGACACAGAGTTAACAACCCCTCATACTTATATAATGCATCACCCATCACCTGTCTGCTGTGGAGCTCTCTGAGGCACGGCTGTAGTCGAGGTTGAAATGCCCTTCTTCGACCTCAATACGGAAGAGGGCTTCGTGATTGCAGATGAAACGCAGCTTTGGGGAGCTAAAGACGGCATGGAACATCATGTCATCCAGTGATGCCGAGCTTCCTTGACGATGTTTCCCATAGTAGAATTCGGACAAAGCAAACGAGTACCCTGGACAAACACCGGGAGTTATTCATGAGTTTGTGCACAGTTAAGCCGAGAAGACTGCTCACGGTGTTGCCTAGCGTCAGGTTTCAACCTCGCGTCAGGGTCGAGGTGCTGGTCAGCGCATTCTTCGGATATATCCCATAAGCCTTTGAGCTGACTATTGAAGTAGGAAACGGCATGGCCTGCGTTGTTTTCACCGTAGCACATCGCGCGCGCGATAAGATGAGAATATCTGTCGACTGAGTCGTACAAAGTGCGAGATGTCAGCCCTCAGATCTTTCAATTATGCCAAAGAATTACATACCTTCTACGGAGAAAAATGGATGCCAAGGCCAGGCAGTTAATTTCAAACCTGTGCGTCTCGGTTTAACATTCTAGGATAGCGGAAGTGTTGCAAGGCTAGAATGATGATCCGTACAACGAGATAATGACCGCACCTAGAACGCGTGCGCCGGAGTTCACCGTTGTCCGTGAATAGAACAAGATTCGTGCAGGGGGCTTCGAGGGTTTGGAAGAAGCGGTAGCGGTAGCGTGCGTGAAGGGCTAGACCAACGTTCAGATGACGTTACCAAGTTGGGCTCCCTTGAGCACCAATAACTGCCAGCCTGCAACGGAATCGTTGAAAATCGACATATGAACAGCCCTCGCAATTTCCACGCGGCGCCCCAATTATCAGGATTTTGTAAAATTGATCTCATGGCAGCGCACATTAAATCAGGGCGACACTAAAGGTGCTGAGTCACCAGCATAGACTGCCTGCCGTGCGCCGCACGATGATAGAGTTCATTTTCCAGACAGTTGTAAGTACCCATGAGGCAAACCACGCTGCACGAGGTGGCGTAGAAGTGATGAACATTGTTTCTACATCAAATCTTGTCAAGGGTCCAAGGGATCTGTGAGAAGATCGTGTGAGACGCGGCCTGAAGAGGAACGTGGCGTACAGACAGGGGACGTGAAGTGAAGACTTACGAATCACCGGACGTCGACACTGACCGATTCATTCAACCTTAAACATCGGGGCGCGGGAGAAACGGACCTGAGCACGCATCGAACGTCACTCGTTCTTGGCACACAGCCCTTTCACCACAGCCAAATTCGCCGTGAGACAACGCTCACTATGGAGGATCAACGATCGATCAACGGCAACGGCGCGAGTGGAGACATGGAGGGAGAAAAAGGGCGTGCCTTGTGTAAGTATCGAACGGATTCCGTGGGGGGCGGGATGCTCGGTTCTTGTGTTCAATAAGGGCTCATCAGCTTAATTACGCTCGACAATGGCACCAGAAAGGTAGTATTCTATAGGGGCCTTAATACCATGCCAAGCCAGCAGTTTTGTCACGTCATCGACCGTCTCCCAAGGCACTCTCCGCCTTCAAGTAGTAAGCCTCCAATACGCCGGAAGAGCGAACGTGTATGAGAGCCAAACCTGTAAGGATAGAAGTCAAAACGGACTCAAAGTAAGAGTAGCAGGTCAGGCCGACGTACGTTGTACAGGTAGAACGACACCTGGTCTGCACGAATGTTGCGGTATAGAAGGAACCGACCGCCCACCGTCGCCCCCAAGAATAGTAGTACGGCAGACGCGAGTGCGTCTAGTTTCCAAATCAACGTCAGGGCGACGGACCAGGCCATGAGGCCCGTGATGACCGTCTTGCGTGCGTGCTGTGGGGAAACGATGGGCAGTGTCCGGCGCCCGATAAGGCGGTCACCATCAACGTCCTTGAAGTCCTGGACGTGGTACGTGCTCGCCATGATGCCCGTGCTAAGACAGATCGCGAGAACGGCAACTGGTTCCAGCCGCGAGCAGCTTGCACCTGCAATGCCGTCAGAGACAGATCAAATAGAAGCTCGATCACGAGCGCACCTGCCACCAGTGTTGCCCCGGCCTCGAATGTGGCATATCCAACGGCGTTGAGGAGGTTGCGGACCGACCAGTGGGCAGCGTGCGCTTGACATTCATTATAGATGATTGTGAGCACGGCCATAGCGGCACTCACGTACAGCACTTGGGGGCTGTAGGACCAGGAGATGAGGAGACAGATAGGCAGGAGGGTCCATCGGAGGATGACAGCGTGCTGGACGCTGATTCGTCCTGCGGCAACCGGCCGGTCGGATTTGTTAAGCCGATCCTCTTCAGGGGAAAGGCACTGATTCGAGACGTCGAACTGCAGGATATGTAGCCAGACCCAGAAGACGATGTGAGGAAGACGATGCAGAGAGCAAAGAGGAGCGGCTACGAGGGCGAACACAGTCTAGAGTTCAACAGAAGCTTAGCAAACATAGACACTCGCAGGATATGAGATAATCCGCACCACTGGTAGGATAGTGGTCTTGATATCAGATTTTGTGAACAAATGAATTGTATGGGCATGATGGGCGAGAGATGCCAACGCAGTGCGAGCTCGTTCCATGCTCTGAGGGGTGTTGCGAAGCTGGGGGGAAGTGTCTGAGGAGAGGAGGCAGACCCGTCTGCCTTCATATAGATCGTTCAAGCCCGCCAGGAGGTACACTTTCCATCGACAGGTTCACAATTTTGGCAAAGTGGAGAAGTGGCGGGGATCCTGCAACGCCGAACGTCAATGTTCTCAAGCTGGAGCCATGCTCGGCAGTAGCAAATATGGACTGTGCGCACCAGAGGCACCATGCTTCGTATCCTGCAGACACCAGTCGATATCGACATGGGTACGAAAATGGGATCTGCGCTGTCGGTCAATTGCCGCAGATCATGCCGAGATGAACCTTGTTTAAGTGGCCGCTGCGTTCGTATTCAAGGCCGGCTGAGTGCTCCTGAGAGTACCGATGACAGGGCCGAACAACGAACATCTTGCATCTCATACGACACCGCATTCCTACGAAGGCGAAGTTCTGGTGGTCCAATAATAACCCTTGAGAGCCTGCTAGAGGAATGGACCTTCACTGATGCAAGGGACGGCGCGAAGATTCCCCCGGGTGTTCATTAACGTTCCCTGACAAAGTCTCCCGTTAAAGCGTCTTCCCATACCCACAGGTTTCGAGTGCTATCACGCTATGTGGTCGTATCTACGCACCGCCAAGAGACATATGAGCTGTGCCGGCTGGGAACAGGAATCGAGGCACACGTAAACTTTGCCTCGTAAGGCCGGACGTACTTACCGCTCACTTTCTGCAACTTGTGGAAGCCTTCCCTTCATCAGGGCATCGCCACAATTTCCGTGTACACAGTAACCCACACTGGTCTCCATCGGAGGACACCAGAGTAGATTTTTCATCCTAAGGGAGGATAAGGAGTGTCGGTGCGGTCTAGTGTACAGAAAATCCTGGTCTCATTGTTCGAGTTTGGCCAGTCTGCGACAGTACGTAGTGTCGATTTCGTGGTGAACGAGGACAAGTTGCGAACGGCCCCTCGCGGGAAGAGAGCGCCCATCAGAACCTAAGTTAGCGCGTCTGCCGCTGCGTGCGTTTGCTCTTGACCTCGACGCTCATCTCGGCCTCGAGCCATAGCCATGGCAAGTGTAGACATTGGCGACCTCTTCCAGCCTCTGATCTTGACCATAGCTCATCTTTTCAGTGTTCAAAACCCTCACAGACCAGCAGGTCACTGTCGAGCTCAAAAATGACCTGTCGATCACGGGTGTGCTGAAGTCGGTTGATCAGTGCGCACTCTGTATTCTGTTCATGTGGTCTCAGATTGACGCGTAGAATCGTGTTAGGTTCCTCAACATTCGTCTGGACAACATCAAGGTCCTCGACGAATCCCGGCACCCGCACATGGTACGCTCTCGCTCGTCGTGCGACTACTAGTAGCTGAACGCGTCCGCACTCCAGATGGCCGTGAAGAACTGCTTCATCCGCGGCTCTGTCGTTCGATACGTCCAGCTTCCACCAGAATCTGTAGATACGCAGCTGCTGGAGGACGCCACGAGGCGCGGTATGTCCCTGCATCCTGCGTTCATATCAAGATTCTAATGCGCCAATCCAGAATCGGCTGCCCAGACCAAGCGGTGATGGGAAACCGCTAGGGACGATCCGAGACCCTGTGCGCCCACCAGCTGTGGCACTGCTTCCACGAACACGAGCCCCGCCCGCCCCGCCGCCACAGTTCATGTTCGTGTGCGCTCCGTGTCGTACTTTGGTAGATGGAAGCGATAGTATCGTATCTTCGGTTGGGCAAAAGACGTGTATTACGGTACGCATACCATGCTTGTCTCGGGATACAATATAGGACGATGCAACTCGGTACCGAACGCTTAGTCCGTCCAAGTCGGGATCTCGTTCGTGCTCTGCATGGTTCGACAACCGCTGTTCAGGACGAGCGGATATGAATTGGTAATTTGAAATGAGGAAACGATTGAGAGAGTGGACAACTTCTATCAAGCGCGAAAGGCGAGTCGACCATCCATTCTCGTTTGCATGCCCCGAGGTGGCTGGTAGTGGACGATAGGTGGCCCATAACTTCTTGTGTAAGTCACTATATGAATGATTTCTCTAAGATTTAACCCCCTGAATATCGTCACCTTTTCGCCGTTCTAATTCGAATTTTTCCCTCTATCCTTCAATAGAAGTAGCTTGTGATCTATCCGCATCGCTCGCACATTGTTTGCGCACCCTCTCAGGCGCCTCACTTGTCCCAGGTGCTTTCGTTGATACATCGTAGCCGAGTGAACCGAGCTGTCTTTCTAGATATGACGAACAAGCTCTCGAACAGTCACAATTACACCCGGTGAAGTGGTACTGGTGGGGTTTAGTGGCAGCTGAGGAAGTGGGGTAACATACCAGGAAGGAAAACAAAGCTTTCAATGTCGAGCTCCTGTCTGTCATCTCTCGCAGACAAAGCTAACATGGGCTGCAGGGTCCTCGAGTCTTTCACGGCGGGCGGGAAGTACTTGACAAACAGCAGAACCCGGGACGCACAGTTGACAGCAGCGCCGCTGAACTTGTGCGTAAGAATCATCCAAGCGAGCTGTGTTGAATACCCACAGTGTTCTCTCTCTGTAGTGAATCAGACTATGATGGTCCTCCCCGGCATTAAGCACATCGAATATGCGGCCTAGCACAATATGACTTGTGAAATCGAAACTATCGGTCTCAATGATCAGAGGACCAGGGAGGAATATTTTAAAGACCCTGTCCCATTCCGGCATTGAAGCTGTTGTGAAGGCCTTTCACACTGCTCAGAAGTGGAGGAGAAAGGGGTGGCGGCGGCGTCGGCAGAAGATGGTGGTGAGGGCAATGCAGAAACTTGCTTTGTTGTATATAGAGATGTTACTTGTGCTACAGGCATGCCTGTGGATGCAAATCGCTGTGAACTGTTGAAGGCATAGACTAATCCGTGTCGAGACAGGTCGGAGGCCAAGATTTTGTCCGGATTTACAAGGCCGGGAGGGGCGAAAATCATGATCAGAACTATTGTCCTGGAAGCCGCACGGCCTCCAGACCTTGCGAACCTCCATGAGACCGGATTATATGTCCGAGGCTCCTGAGATAGATACTCGCTCTCACTAGTACTCTTCACAGTGATCTGCTCAACCACCGACGCTTTGGCCCTTAGAGCGTCCGAGAGAAGCACGGAAGTGTACAAACTAGCCGCTTCTCACGGGGTGAGGTCGTTCGCTAGCCTACTAGTTGTTGTTGTGAGGTTTAGGCTCCTATCAGCCTTGCTGAGAACGTCCTACGGTGCTTTGCATACGAAACCGCAGTCTATGACAGGATGTTTGTTCTGTATAAATGTTGCCTTTGAAGGTAATGCTTGCCGTCACGAATTTGTACGGAACAAACATCCTAACAAAAATTACGGACGCGCCTTTCGCGCTTTCGCACTTGTTCTCATTGATCTTCGCTAAAATCTGCTCTTCCAGGAGCCATTTGACGGTTGTGGCATCGGTCTCTTGAAACGGTCTTTCAGGGCATTTGTATGGCCACGTACAACTTGTCCGACTTATGAAATTCTTCTTCCAGTGAGGCTGACATTGAAAAAAGCTGTACGTTTCCACGCCCAACGTTCCAGCTATCAGGATGCTCTTGGACGCATGTCGTTGGCGATAGCGTACACTGGAATCAAATCTCTGTCACTGCCTCCAGCTTCTTCGCATGCTAACCGTGATTGATGCGGCAGTTAGCGACACCTGGTACGCTCCATGATTTCTGATCTTCTGTATATACTCACGTAGGTTGCACGAGAAGGCGGAAATTGCAACATCGCGTGATGACTGGCAAGGCAGCAAGTTTCTGCTCAGCCGCTACTCTTCTGCATGATTTGTCGCCCATGGCAAATGCGTGGACGAGCAGTCTGACTGGTTTAGTGTTCTCTATTCTTCGTGTCATCGTACAAAGTCGCCCCATGTCCGCTCTTCGCCCAGCTCCTCTGGGTAATAACAGATCTTCCCTCACGTCCGTAGTTTGGCTTGCTAGAGGCTCAGATTTCTGGGTGTCTGATGCTATGTCCTCGGTCTTCACGTACGCTCTGCATCGTTCAGACCTTCTGTAGACCAGCGTATCTACACGGTCAACCGTATTGCCGTGCGCTCAACTCCAGGCAATGGGTAGTGTGTTCGCCAGCGACGGACAGACCGGTGCGCTCGACGAGATCTCTCCTTGTTACTTTCTCACCAACACGTGTCCCAGATCATGCGCGCGGGATCTTGCTCTACCAGGTGCAAATCCATTTCATTGCCTCCTACCCTCTATTCTGCTACAGCACTTTTCTAGGTATTTATGGCGCTATGCTGTTGTTCGGCTGCGGCGTTAGAGCAGGCGAAATGGGTCCGACTGCCTGACGGTGACTGCCACAAGGCAGATTTCACTCCCCTTATTTCCGGCGACATGTCCTTGTTCCTGAAAGGCCTGGAGGCTTTTTCAGCGTAAGCTAAGACAGCAGCGGAGAGTTTTGAAGGGGAAAGTTAAGCAATGACGTGGGTATGCCTCGAAACCCTTGCGATGGCGCAGCCGTAGCAAATAAAACCGTAGGTCTTGCCTGCTGACGTCCTGCCACCCCGCGTTTCCTCAATAGATCTACGCCTAGTGATAAGCAGATCTAATTGGTCCGGGAGCCGTCCTGCGTGGTATCTGCGTTTCTATCCCCGTCGCCGATCTCCGTAGTACTAACCTCAAACTTTCTAGGCTGATTCGGCCTTTTTTTGTCCAAGTTGAAAATTTCACGTTCCTTCTGTTTCGTCAATTGCGCGAGCGGCTCCTGGTGTTCTACCAACGTTCGCCACTATTATCGCTCTGCCGAAGCGTGCCCACTTCAGGACTAGCAAGCCTTAGTCAACTGTCGGCCCTTGAATTAGCTCTTGAGGAGTTACGCGGAATTTTCTGCCTTTGCACGTACCTCAATCAGGCTCTACCACAGGCCCCCGATAGTTCCGTCTGACATGGAGTGCTGATATAAAAGATCTGCTTGCCCCTGATAGTCTCGGGGAAGTTTCTGACGTGCGCATGTTTGTCCCGTTTTAGTGCTCTTTATCTGCCAAGAAGCTAACGGCGCCTTTCGTTATTAAGCTTCGCACACGAAGGCGTGCCAACCGGTCTAGTTGGGCACGACTAGGGTTCCCTGGTTCCGTCACCGCAGCGTAGAATTCTGATGTCTCGAGAGGTTATAAGCAGACTATAAACACCATGGTAGGTTTCGTTCTGTATTACTGACAATCATGTCTTGCAGTGACAACGACGCCTCTCGTATCATCTCATTTCTCAATGCACGAGTCCAGGCTTTGTGGACGAAGGCTATCGACTATACCACCGAGCGATGGGCGCGCTACAGCCAGCACCAGGACTTCCGTGAGTGTTGGGCGCTGAACTTCGATGTCTCTCCCGAATAACGCTTCATACCGTCGTCGCAGGACACGCTATTGCCCCCGCCAAATATTCGTTAGAGAATCATAATGGCCACTTATTTGGCCCTGCAGAGAAAAAAGGATTCGATATCCACTTGAAGGCACCAACGATCGATTTCATATGCAATCATACGGCTGTGCTCGAACTCAACGTCACCAAGGCGCAGTTTGCGTTCGATCGTCCGAAGCATTCTCATCTAGCTCTTTTTGCGAAGTACGCAGATGCCGTAGCTCATCATTTATCCTGTCTAATATATGTTTCTCTAGTCGCACCAATGAAGAAATATCCGATATCAAAGTGACATTCAGGATGAGCTTCCAAGCGACCGATGTCATGGTGGATGAGAAAGACAAGGGGACGCGCCCTGCCAAGAGATTTGACTTGAGCTACAGGCGTACGTTGAATCCTATGCGTTAGGGTAATATTGAGCTAACCGGTCCTGTACAGATGCTAAGCTGGTACAAATCTCTCCATCGATTTCGAGAGGTCGAGAAGCGTTCGAGGCGTATCTGCAAGGCTATCTCTCGTTCCTCCAAACTGCGGGCCATGCCACATTCTTCTGTCCAACATCCTTCTACGGCGAGAACCAGCCAATATCCCTCAACTTTTCTAGAGCTCCGCACACGTCGCCGACCGGCACCGGCGCACAGACTATGCCTATGGAGGAGATTAACCGCTTCCTCTGCACGTCGTGGCTCATGGCGTCGACGATGCCCAGATCCCAACCCGGCAAGCCCGTGGACTGTGTCGCATTGTCGCTTGCGGAGTCGAGAAGCAAGGTAATGCTTAGCGGAAAGGATGTCCATTTTCGCTTGATATTCGGTCCACCGGAAGTTGAGGTTGCAGCAGTATGCGACGACGAAGCGATCCTCTACTTCGACATCGCCGAAGCCCTTTTCTATAAGACAAGCGATTACGAAAGGTTTGCCGGACCATGTTAATGGTCGTCCTTCTGGCTAATAGCTTCACGTCGGCAGCCATCCTTTCAAAGTCTTTTGCGACTGGAAGGTGGCAGTGTTGACGAATATCAAGCGCGAGCAGATGAGCGATAGCAACGTGATCAAGTACGTAGTTGATCCACGAGGTAAGTGCAACATCGCAGTGCCCTACGATTTCATCTCATGTTTCGTCCATTAGGCAGTCACTTTGTGCCTCATCTATCGCAGCTTGCAGGCTGCCTCGAGGCCGACCAAGAGGCAGCGCAATGCAGGGATCGGATCATCGAGTTCATTTCTGGGGAGTACTTGAACGTCCTGGAGAAGGCGGGATATCTTGTCATTCTCCACCACGACCCCCGCCGGGCGAAGTCCAAGCACTACCCCTCCGACATAAGTGACCCTGCGACAACTTCGCCTTCAGAAAACGACCGGGAGGCTCCTATCACGAAGGCTACAACTTCAAGTAGCAGCGCCGGGCCCGTCATTGGTCCCACTACCTGGCAAGACCTGTCCCAGCGCGTCGACATGGCCGGTTTCGACCAGGTCTTCGCTCTGTCCGAGACCTCCATCAACGACCGCTTCCAATCCCAGTGGGCGCAGTCTCAATCAGACGCCGCCGCCGACCGCTCCTTAACCGAATGGCACCATGATGACCACTTCTCTGCGACATTTGGGCCTCTTGAGCTCCAGCTCACGAGCGAACGCAAGGCTATTCTGCGCGTCAAGCTCGTCAAAGGTAGTCTTAAGCCTGTCAGAGGCCGATCATTCCGCCGCAGGTATGTGTCACATTGCGGCCCCTAGGGAGTCGTGCTTACTATTGGCATATAGAAACGTAGACCGTTTCCATTTCTCGGACTGGTTGGTCGCTTTCTCCATCAACCTGAAGCTCTGCGATCACGCATCCCTGCCTGGTGTCGAACCTGGATGGCGCTCCGATTTCGCCAGATCTCATCCACTCAGTAGCCGAAGGGATGTCACCTTCAATCACGTCTACTTGGACCTCCAGCGTATGTGTGGTGTGTCACTCTGTCATGATGTACTGATTGACCGGCTTTAAAAGACGCGGAATTCGATCTCGAGCATTCGAGTTTCAAGGACCTCTGTACTGCGGACGACAAGCGGTCCATCGACAAGGCTCAAGCTGCTGTCGTGTACTTACGCGATCACTATTTCAAGCGACTCGCCTCCACAGGTCACCACATCCTTAGCACTGTTCCCGTCTGGGATGCGTCTTCCCATGCATTCTCTCGCCGTCTAACCAGCGTCACCTTCTACACCGACTCAGAGCGAGCACGTTTCGATGCCGGCGTCAGTCAAGCTCATGCTCGCGAACCGGCGGTCTTGGTCGTCGGCATGTATGATGGCAAGCCTTTGCCCCGCCCCATTCCTCAGCGTTGGGGTGCCTGGGTCAGCAACAGCCCCTCCTCATCGCACGGGACGCTTGCTCTCTCGGCTGACAGCTTCCTGCACGCAAGCTTGCTTCCCATTCTATCCGAGATGAATGCCATGACTCGTATCGAGCCTACCCCGTCTGTGGTCGAGCGGTCGCCTTGGCAGCTGTACCTCACTTGCTGGAGTAATCACAGTCAGCGCGTGGTGGGCGACTGTGCGTTTGTCCCCGACGGAGCAGATGGCCCGCTACGGTATCACTGGAGGAGTGGTCGGAAGTTCAATATTGGTCGTGACGAGTCTCGTTTTGGCCTCTGTATGTCCCGTGTCCCCTTTTATAGGTTTCTGACTAACTACTGGTATAGCTCGAACGGAGAATTATCTCGAGTTGCCTACGACGCCTAGTTCCGATGGCCTGGATATCGCTCTCTACGGCACTGTCTGTCTTGAGCTGGTTGAAACGGGTTGGCGGTACGTACAGCACTCCTCCCTGGTTTAAATGCCGTTTAACGCATATGCTGGTGTAGTTCGGTAGCATATGCCCACTGGAGGACAGTCGTGAAAGTCTCGTTTGAGGATTGCCAGCCTCGCACCACGACAGTCACTTACCCCACCGAGTTTACCGAGACGGAGTCAGAGGGACGGCCTTCCTCGCTAAGATCATTTAATCCTCAAGAGATGCTTCGTAACGCATTCCCGGAGACCATTGAGGTCCGAGGCCTCGAACAAGGACTACGGCCGCTTGTGACTGTGCTGCAGGCATGCCGTACGGGACATCCTGGCTGCCACTTCGTCGATCCTGTCTTCAACCGCAAAGGCGACTTACTCTTCCGTATCTCGGCACAGCCAAGCTCGCCGGCTCCGACTTCCGATGACTTGGCAGTTCTCCCGGAACCTCACGGACTGAACACGCATCTGCGCCTGAAACCATCATCGCCGATACCGGCGCGAGACACTTTCCTAGGTACGAGACACTTCTTCTGTTTGGGCACACCTGACGTGTTCTTTTAGAGGGCATACCAGCTCACATGCGAATGTCTACGGCGGGCGTGTATAATTATAATGGCTCTCCGGGTGGCTCCCCAATTTTTGACGTATTCAGCCCCACTCGAGACGGCGCGAAACACGACTCCTTTTATACCGGGAATCTGGAGATTGACGATCAGTCAGAGCTCAGCAGCCCTGCTACTTCATTCTCCTCGACATCCGCCAGTACGAAGCCGGATCTCAGCCCGCCGTGTTCCTCGATCTTCATTTCTCCGCTAAACGATTCTTCCGTGTCCGATGGTAGTTCACAAACACTGCGAAGCTCACCCATGGAAGTCACACTGTCAGAAGTCTCGCTTTCAGAAGCCTCTTCATCGGAAGCCCCGCCAACGGAAGCTTTACCAGCGGAATTGTTTGTTCCAAAACCAAGGCAACCGCCACAACAAGATATCCGGCCATCCGCTGACCCTCCAGTTTTCCTTGCGATCCCTGCTTCACCTGTGAACGACCTAGGTCGAGATGGTTCCACGTCTTCCGGAGGCAGTGTTGTCTCACGGACACAGCCGTTAGAGCAGGGTGCAGACTCTGCAAGACCTGCACTTTCCCTTCCTCCGCGCTTAGAAACGCAATTTAGACCATCCTCGTCTGCTTCCGTTGGATGCACGCTGTTCAATACAGGGAAAAAAGATACGCAGACGGTCCCCACTACGCCAGCAGTGACGAACAACCAGGCAACCTCTTCACATCCCTCGACGAACATGACGAGAGGTAACAGCTCTGCTATGTACTTGGTGGATGCCACTAATGTTTTACATCGGTTGACAGGAGGTGTAATTCGCTCTGGCACAGATACCACGGCCGCGAGCAATGGCGGTGCCCCGCCAGCACATCATGTATATCCAGCACCTCCGCAGCTCTCTACTCCTGACACGCAGTCTCCTAACGTTACGCTGGCTAGTCATGCTAACGCTGCCAACGTCCGTGCGCCTCTGGCCGCCGCGGCACACACCAATGGCCCTGCAATTCGCGGGCAGGAAACGGATTCATCATTAGCCTATCCACACTTCCTTCCTCGTGATAATTCGTCTTTCGGTAGCGATAAGACGCTCCAGCCGGCACCTGACGTCGTCTTGGACCCAACTACGCCGGCCGGCCGCAAAGCTCTGCGGGAGAAGTTCAAGGCGGCCGCTACGCCGCAAGTCCCCAAGGACAAGTACGACGCAATGGCGGCCGGTTCCATGGGTATCGGATTTGCAAGCAGCGCCGCGGATCTGGCACCAAAGTCAGACCCTTCGTCGAGGCCTACGCGACCATTGACTCACGTGGAGGCGCAGAATCAGCTTGCAGCAGTAGCGGTTACAATCAATAATCCATGGCTGCGGTGCTAGTTCCTTTCATTCCTTCGCGTTCAGCACGGATTTTCTGGATAAGTACATCGAAATTGTTCTATTTTCCGAAGGTTCTCGTATACACGTACACAAGATTGTCAGACATTAGTACTTTCACATTATGCCTCTATTTGCATGCATGTCACAGAGCCAACTAGTTTTCATATTTAGTTGTATGAGCATAATCACAACGTCTCATGAACGCTGCAGACAAGTAGCTCTGTATTCTATTGATGGCATTACAACCGTTTTTGATTCTTCGTCGAGCGCTGTCTGCCGCCTCAGTTGTCCTCTGGTCCAGCTGCGGCGGTGCGCAACTTGAATGGCGCAAAGTATGATTGACCTTCCGCAAACGCAAGGCGATAATTCTTCCCTGCAGGTACAGCAACGCTGATGAGCACATTACAGTAGGTGTACAGTGTTTGTTTAGGGCCACGATGAAAGACAGTATAGTACGGCGCGGACAGCCAAAATTAAGATAAGTTAGCTCACGTCATATGTCGAATCGCCGAACCTCTACACCTCTCGCGTCCGCACTGATGATTCTCCGTTCATCAAAGACGACATGTCCCTTGGTTACAGGGACCTCTGCAACAGGCGCGTCACCATCGGCCGGGCTTGCACCCACAAAGACTTCGGCACCGGTGCCAGCTTCGAGGTCCCACACCCAGATGCTCCCATTCGCGCCCAAGCTGACGCAACGACCGTCCGCGAGGGCAAGCGCAGTGACAGGGCCGAGCTGACCGTGTAACGAGCGTACGTACGTGAGCTTCGGCGGGGACGAGCCAGACGGGAGGTAGAGCCGGTACAGCTGCAGCGAGCTCGGCGAGTGCATGCGCGACGCGATGAAGCTGCTCGTTGTCGACGAAGACGGTGAGGATGGCGCGGACGGCGAGTCGGAACCCGAATCCGGAGTACTGTCTGTATTGGCTAGCGGAGGCGGATCACCCGGTGCAAGCACGACCCACTTGCCATCGGTCTGCGTGTCCGCGACACGCCCGACTCTGCGACCCCATTGCTCGCGCATGAGCCGCAGCTTGTGCTCGTCGATCCAACCAGAAGGGACGTCGTACGCGCGGATTGTGCGCGACGAAGACACGACGAACGACGGCGATGTCGTGATGATAAGCTCCGTTGCGCCGACACTCCAATGTGCCGGGAAGACGGGTATCGCGTACGCGATAATGAGCTTGTACGTGCCGGTGCCGGAGGGCGTTAGCACAAGCGAACTCGGTGGATGCGAAGTAAACGAAGAGAGCGTCTGCTTGTGTATGATATTACCAGAAGAGAGCTCGTATAGTGAGAGGTGAAAGGACCGAGATAGCGTCGCCAGGAGTCGTCCATGCAGGGCAGCCTGGATTATGGGCGTCGTCCGAGGTATGCTTGCCGCAGGTAAGTAAGCGAGCTGCTTAATAGACTGTGTTGGGTGGTGATGGTTCACCGAGAAAACGACGAACTCTCCAGTAGAGAGGAAGGCCGCTAGGCGGACGCAGTGTGCGTGAGCGGGCGGAGACTGGTCTAGCGCCAAGGCTGTTACGAATGTTGACGGCTGAGATCGCGGGGTGTGGCATATCAGAGAATGCATGCCGTGGAAGGGGGATACAAGCTGGAGTTCTGGGTGTTCAGACTGGGTCTTGACGGTTGTGATGGTGAGAGTGCCTGCCAGTAAGACATGGGTCCCGTAGAGAGCTCGGTCGGCGGAGTCGGGTACGCTTTGTGAAAGCTCGGGCTCAGCATGCAAACGTTCGACTGAACATCGTCCTGAAGAATGACCGTTAGTACGTAGTTCAACTCTGAAAGTATATTCGACTCACCAGTACGCCAGTTTGAGCTAATCCGGAACATCCACTTCCAATCTCTGAAGTCCTCAGGCATCTCATGCTTCGCCCTACCAGGAAGAGGCTTCGTCTCTCTTCCATCGCTCCTCCCAATAAATCCCCTCACACCTCTCAACCTAGTGCGACCATACTCGCTCAAGTACAGTCTCTTCCATAACTATCCCGGTGGATGCAAGTTCAGCGAGCGCTCCAACGGATGGGCCTGCGAGTGTGCCAAGTACCTGGTTGTCTAGTGCAAGGCGAGACCAGTCTCTGCTAACATGCTGCACAGCACAGAGGTCCGTATACAACAAATAAGAGAATATGACGAGGATTATCTCGTCGTACAGAGCATTGAAAGGACGATACGCCGAGTCCAAGCCGTGCAGAGCTGCGCCAAAGATACGCTTTGCTTCGGGTAGATCTGCAGGAAACAGACGTCGCTTCGTCATCGTTGGATACGCCCAGCTGACTCGCTAACTGTCTGTAGAGAGGAAAGGGATGAGAAATCGAGCATAAGCTTCGGGATGCTGGAGTACAGTTCATGACACATAACAAGTATTACTTAAGTCTGGTAAGAAATATTTGAACTCCGCCGGTATCTCGTCTCAATCGCACCCTTACGAGCACATCAACCATGTTGTTCAGGTAATTACTACTCCGGGGTATGCTTTGCTTCAACTCTGCTTTAGACTGGGCAGGCCTTTCCCGATACGACCCGCAAGATGGCATGTTTTTGAGGCAGCCCCGGATGAGTTCCCTCTGGTCCTGACTTAGCCCCCGCGCGGCTGAGAATATTTCTGACACGCGCGCCCCAACGCACTCGACCTTCAAATCGTCGTCTGCCATAAGCCCCATGCCACAGTTTGCGTTCAGCCCGCTATCCCCCACAGCCTTACGCCGCCGATGTGACGTCGCCAACGGTAAGCTTCAGCGATATTCGTCCCCGTCTGGGCACACCTCACTCTAACAACCCAAGTATTACTCAAGCGCAGGCAGAACCTCACATACCAAAGTTACAGCTACCTAATTATCGGTATCAGGAGTATTTGTCGCCGCCCGGGACGTTCAAGGCCGCCGGTCTTCGCCTCGTTGGATCTGCGTACCCCTATAATCAAGCAAGAAGTAGAGTTTACGGCAGCACACTCATAAACACGCCTTTCCGCCTCCCAGGGTGCGGCTGCGCTCTAGGGTCCTTAATGTCCGCCACTCTCTGCGCATGGCGCGCTCTGCATGGGCGGCTCCATTCTTTCAACCCCCACCGTACTTCTATCTCCATCACATGCCCTACTGCAGGAGGGCTTCATACAAGGCTTCTAGACACGGCGGCGGCTCTGTATGTGCCTACGTGCTTGCTATCTGCAGGTTAATGCCCGTAGGTCTGGGGCGAGCACGGGTCGTTACTTCAAAACTTGAAGGCCTCTCCACTATCCTCTGTGAGAAGCCGCAGACAACGCTCAACGCATAATATGGAATGGGACACTGTGTCAATTATAACGCTATCGATAAAATACAGGGTCATTTGTACAAGTGTCTTCTAAGACTACGTCATTAAGTTTATACAACTAAGTAGGAAAACCAGTTGGCTCTGAAACATGCATGCACATAGAGCATAAACACTTATCGATAATATCTCCGACAAGTCTGTGTGCGTGTATATGAGAATTTTCGGACATTAGACGTACTCATCCAGATGGTTTGCGCTGTCCGGAAGCTGAATGCGAGGGGATGAAAGAGACTAGTACCGCCGCGACCACGAGTTGTTGATCGTGCCCGCTACTGCTGCAAGCCGCCTCTGCGTCTCCGCGTGAGTCAATGGTCGCGTAGGCTTCGGCGGAGGGTCTGACTTTGGTGCCAGATCCGTGGCACTGCTTGCAAATCCGATGCCCATGGAACCGGCCGCCGTTACGTCGTATTTGTCTTTGGGGACTTGCGGCGTAGCGGCCGCCTTGAACTTCTCCCGCAGAGCTTTGCGGCCGGCCGGCGTAGTTGGGTCCAAGACGACGTCAGGAGCCGGCTGGAGCGTCTTATTACTGTCGAAGGGCGAGTTGCCTCGAGGCAGGAAATGCGGATAGGCGAACGACGAGTCTGAGCCCTGTGCACGAGGACTACTGTTGTATGCCGCGGTGGCAACTGCGACCGGAGGTGCACGGACGTTGGCAGCATTGGCGTGACTAGCCGGCGTGACGTTGGGTGACCGCATGTTAGGGGCAGAGAACTGCGAGGGTGCCGGATACACATGGCGTGCTGGTGACGCGCCGCCATTGCTCGCAGCCGTAGTACCTATGAACCGATGTAACACATGAGTGACCTTCTCTGGATCTATAGCGGAGGTCGTACCTCTCGTTGTGTTCGTCGAGGAAGGTTGAGAGATTGCTTGGTTGTTCGTGGCTGCCGGCGTTGAGGGCACGGTCTGTGTGTCCTTTTCCCCTGTGTTATACAGCGCGCGTCCGACGGAGGCAGATGAGGCAGGTCTCGGTTGTGTTTCGATGCGCGGGGGAGGGGAAAATGCAGGTCTAGGAGATTTAACACCTGGCTCTGGTGGCTGTGTCCGTGAGGTAACATTGCTTCCGGACGACATGGGACCATCTTGAGCTGGATCATTCACGGGTGGGGCAGGAACGAACACTTCAGTTGATGAAGCCTCCGCTTGCGAGGCTTCCATAGGTGAGCTTCGCACTGTTTGTGAGCCACGGCTGAGGATGGAAGAATCGTCCGGCGGAGAAATGGAGATAGAGGGATACGGCGGGCTGAGGTCTGGCTTCAGACTGGCGGACGACGAAGAGAATGACGACGCAGGGCTGTTGGGCTCTGACTCATCGTCGATCCCTAGGTTCCGGAAATGAGAAAAGTCTTGTTTTGCGCCGCCTCGAGTGGGGCTGAATATGGGTGAAACGGGGGAGGCATCCGGAGAGTCGTCATCACTATGCACGCCCGCCGTAGATATCCGCTTGTGAGCTGGTATACCCTCTGAAATAACATATCAGTTATGTCCAGGCAGAAAAGTGGCTCTCGTACGTAGATAAGTGCCCCGCGCCGGTATCGGCGATGATGGTTTCAGGCGCAGATGCGTGTTCAGTCCATGGGGTTCTGGGAGAACTGCTAAGTCATCGGAAGTCGGAGCCGGCGAGCTTGGCTGTGCCGAGATACGGAAGAGTAAGTCGCCTTTGCGGTTGAAAACAGGATCGACGAAGTGGCAGCCAGGATGTCCCGTACGGCATGCCTGCAGCACAGTCACAAGTGGTCGCAATCCCTGTTCGAGACCTCCGACGTCCATGGTCTTCGGCAATGCCCTGCGAAGCATCTCTTGAGGATTGAAAGATCTTAGCGAGGAAGGCCGTCCCTCTGACTCCGTCTCGGTAAACTCGGTGGGGTAAGTGACTGTCGTGACGCGAGGCTGGCAATCCTCAAACAAGACTTTCACGACTGTCCTCCAGTGAGCATATGCTACAGAACTACGCCAGCGTATGCGTCAGACGACATCTAAAACGGAAAGCGCAGCTGTACTTACCGCCAGCCAGTTTCAACCAGCTCAAGACAGACTGTGCCGTAGAGAGCAATCTTCAAGCCGTTGGGGCTAGATGTCGTAGGCAACTCGAGACAGTTCTCCGTCCGGGCTGTGCTGACGATCAGTCGACAATCTATCGAAAAGCGTATGGGACGTACAAAGGCCAAAACGGGACTCGTCACGACCAATGGTGAACTTGCGACTACTCTTCCAGTGATACCGTACTGGACCACCTGCCCCGTCGGATGGCGAGGGAACAAACGCACAGTCGCCCACCACGCGCTGACTGTGATTGTTCCAACTAGTGAGGTACAACTCCCAAGGCGACCGCTCGACCACAGACGGGGTAGGCTCGATACGAGTCATGGCATTCACCTCGGATAGGATGGGAAGCAAGCTTGCGTGTAGGAAGCTGTCAGCCGAGAGAGCAAGCATCCCATGGGAGGGAGAGGGATTGTTGCTGACCCAGGTATCCCAGCGCTGAGGAATGGGGACGGGAAAAGTCTTGCTATTGTTCATGCCGACGACCAAGACGACCGGTTCGGAAACATTGGCTAGGCTGGTACTGGCGTCGAAACGTGCTCGCTCTGAGTTAGTGTAGAAGCTGACGCTGGTCAGGCCACGAGAGAATGCATGGGAAGACGCATCCCAGACGGGGACAGTGCTGAGAATGTGGCGACCTGTGGAGGCGAGTCGCTTGAAATAGTGATCGCGTAAGTACACGACAGCAGCTTGAGCCTTGTCGATGGACCGCTTGTCGTCCGCAGTACAGAGGTCCTTGAAACTCGAATGCTCGAGATCGAATTCCGCGTCTTTTGAAACCGGTCAGTCAGCACGTCATGACAGGGTCAGACATCACACATACGCTGGAGGTCCAAGTAGACGTGGTTGAAGGTGACATCCCTTCGGCTACTGAGTGGATGGGATCTGGCGAAGTCGGAGCGCCATTCAGGGTCGACTCCGGGTAGGGATGCGTGATCGCAGAGGTCCAGATCGACGGAGAAAGCGACCGACCAATCCGAGAAATGGAACTGGTCTACGTTTCTATATGCCAACAGTCAGACACAGCTCCCTTGGGGCCGCAATGTGACACATACCTGCTGTGGAACGACCGGCCTCTGATGGGCTTGAGGCTGCCTTTGACGAGCTTGACGCGCAGAATAGCCTTGCGTTCGCTCGTGAGCTGGAGCTCAAGAGGCCCAAATATCGCAGAGAAGTGGTCATCATGGTGCCATTCGGTTAAGAAGCGGTCGCCAGCGACGTCTGCTTGAGACCGCGCCCAGTGGGATTGGAAGCGGTCGTTGATGGAGGTCTCGGACAGAGCGAAGACCTGGTCGAAACCGGCCATGTCGACGCGCTGGGATAAGTCTTGCCAGGTAGTGGGACCAGGAACGACGCTGCTACTTGAAGTCGTAGCGTTCGTAGCAGGAGCTTCCCGGCTATCTGATGGCGAGATCGTCGTGGGATCGCTTATGTCGGAGGGGCGGTGCTTGGTCTCCGCCCAGCGGAGGTCGTGGTGGAGAATGACAAGGTATCCCGCCTTCTCCAGGATGTTCAAGTACTCTCCACAAATGAACTCAATGATCCGATCTCTGCACTGTACCGCCTCTTGGTCGGACTCGAGGCAGCCTGCAAGCTGCGATAGCTGAGGCATAAAGTGGCTGCCTGGTAGACAAACGTCAGACGGATTCATACTAGGGACGTCGATAATTCACGCTTACCTCGTGGATTAACTATGTACTTGATCACGTTACTATCGCTCGTCTGCTCGCGCTCGATATTCATCAACACTGCCACCTTCCAGTCGCAAAATACCTTGAAAGGATGACTACCGCAGCTATCAGCACGAGGTACAATCATCTGTATGGTTAAGCAAACCAACCTTTGGTGCTCGCCGGTCTTGTAGAAAAGGGCTTCGGCGATGTCGAAGTAGAGGATCGCTTCGTCGTCGCATACTGCTGCAACCTCAACCTCTGGTGGTCCGAACACCATGCCGAAATGTACATCCTTTCCGCCAAGCACTACCTTGCTTCTCGCCTCCGCAAGCGACAACGCGACACGATCTACAGGCTTCCCGGGTTGGGATCTGGGCATCGTCGACGCCATGAGCCACGACGTGCAGAGGAAGCGATTAATCTCCTCCACAGGCACAGTCTGTACGCCGGTGCCGGTCGGCGACGTGAGCGAAGCTCGGGAGAAGTCGACTGGGATTGGCTGATTTTCGTCGGAGAAGGCCGCCGGACAGAAGAATGTGGCATGGCCCGCAGTCTGGAGGAACGAGAGATAGCCTTGCAGATACGCCTCGAATGCTTCTCGACCTCTCGAGACCGGTAGAGAGATTTGCACGAGCTTGGCATCTGAATATGGCCGGTTAGCTCAATGTTACCCGGGCGCGTGAAATTTGGCATACGCTTGTAGTCCAAGTCAAATCTCTTGGCAGGGCGTGGCTTCTTGTCCTTGTCTTCCACCATAACGTCGCTCATCTGGAAGCTCATCCTGAATGTCACTTTGATATCGGACATTTCTTCGTCAGTACGACTAGAAGACCGCAAAGTAGACTGAATCAGTAAGTGAGCTGTGGATATGTGACGGTCCGCATACCTCGCAACCGGCGGTTCATGCGATAGCCGAGGACGATCCAGAGCGTATTGTGCCTTAATGACGTTGAGCTCGACCATGGCCGTGTGGTTACAAATGAAACCGATCCTCGGCGCCTTCAGCTGAATGTCGAATCTCTGGTTCTCCGTGAAGCCGTAAGGATGATCATTCTGACTTCCTAACGAATACTTCGCAAGGGCGATCATGTATCCTGCAGCAGTATCATCAAGCGTTAGCCGGGAGGGGCACTAAAGCTCAACATCCAACACTCACGGTAGTTCTGGTGTTGGATGTAGCGAGCATACTTCTCCGTAGTGTAATCGAAAGCCTTCTTCCACAAAGCCCCGACTTGTGCGTTAAGAAACGTAATGATGCGAGAGACGTCGTTGTCGCTACGAAACTCTTTCTTGACTGCCATGGCTTCGGGGACGGGGGTACGGGGGGGGACGATACGACCTGTGCTTCATATGACCTGTTATACTTCCTAGAAGATAAAGTTCTGTGCTGTGGCGACGGAGGCAGGGGGTTTTCGGCCACGCCAGACCAGAGCCGTTGCCACGCCCCGCTACGCGTGGCTTCATGAAAAGAAAAGAGGCGCCAGGACCGACGGTGACGGAGGCTTTCGTGGGCATGGGAGACAAGGTATCCCTGCAATTTTCCCGAGATGAAGTGACCACGCCTGCTCGCTGGGGTAAATCTGAGATATGCGCTACAGGGCCACCATAACTTCGTTTAAGGCGCTCAGGCCTCCCTCTTTGGTAGGTGCGTGACATTCAAAGCGGGAAAAGTATCCGCGTATTAGATGCTTACTTCAAACCATCGGGAGAAAGCAGGTCCCGAGCCCGTATCAAACGCATGCAAATGCAGAAAATTCCTTATGCTCACGCTGTATACAAATGTGCCATGTCCGACTTTGCTCCATGCAGCACTGCGGTAAAGAGAAGCTCCGCGCAATGCCTCGAGTTAAGATCAAGGGGTAGAGCCAAGTGTCAACTTGCCTTTTCTGAAACGGGAGTGGTTCAGGAAAGCGATGGTGGTGGCGAACGCCTGTGAAGCAATCGGAGGAGCCGCTCGCGCATTAACAAGACCCTAAAAGAAAGCACGAAACCCTTCAGCCTGAACGAAAACAAGCAAGTCTGAGATCAGCCACCACAACGATCGGCAACGGAAGGGGGACGCAGATGCTATGCATGGCGACATCCGGACCGATTGGACCTGACGTAGTAAGTTTAGACTGGCTGCGCAGTGATAGGGCTTTGAAACATACGCATGTAGTTGCTGAATCTCCCCCTCCGGAACTTCTCATTGCTTCCTAAAGTCGTGTTGTGGGAGTCTCTAGTCCTTTCTTGGGCATACGTTAGGAAAATTTCATCAGAATAGGGGGAATGAGGCATGTCTGGTCGTTTGGCAATCGGATCGGCTTTGCCTGCTCCAACGCCGGAGCTGAACAACGGTGGGCTGCAGGCATCTAGAATTAGCGCTTCAATGAGGCAGAGGGTGACCTGGCGTGAGTAAGGCTCCGTACGTACGATCTGCTGGTGATGTTGGTGAGTAGGAAACGAGCAGAATAACCCTCGAATGAACTGGCCCACCGATCTCTTCCGGATTCGAGAGCATGACACCGCAATCGGCTACGCGGATGCGCTGAAGGCCTAAGTTATGTAGAGTGTGTAAGAAAACCAGAAGTACAGCATCAGGCTCCGAAGAACTTGCATTCCTAGAAAACTAAACCGCGGACACGAAGGTAGATCCGTTATCGCCCGGAGGAGCTGTCCACCGGGGGACGAAGAGCGGACTTCTCGCGACTTTGTACGATGGCACGAGGAATAGGGAACGCTAAACTATCCACGCATTTAACATGAGCGACCAATCACGCCAGAAAACGGCAGCCGAACTGAGGCTTGCTTCTTACCTGCAGTAACCGCGTGATCTCGTAAGTTCCGCCTTCCTGTGCGACTTGCGTGAGCATATAGAGAAGATCAGAAATCTTGGAGCGTACCGGTGACACAGGCGATGCTAAATGACGGGTGGAACACCTCTCATAGAAAACTCTAAGATTGGCTATACTTAACTTACGTAGAAGCTGGTAGCAATGCCAAAGTTTTGAATCCGGTGTACGCCATTGACATGCATCCAACAACAGCGCACAGCCGCCTCGCAGTCGATTCGATGAAGCCGGAGCAGTATCACTTACAGAGCCCCGAGAAATTAAGAGCATCCTGATGGCTGGGACGTTCAACGTGGAAAACGCACGGCTTTTTCCAAAGTCAGCTTCACTGCGCTTGAAGGAGTGTCGTAAGTCGAATAAGCTGTACATGGCCGTGCGATGTGAAAGACTGTATGAAGTCACTAAGCGATGCCGTGACCATCAAGTGACTCCAGGTAGAATTTCTTCTGGAAGAGTAGATCAGCGATTGACAACGACACGTGCATACAATCTGACAATACTGACCGCTGCTAGGATGTTTTCGCTAGGCAGGTATCCGAACCTTAAATCAACGGCTGCCAGGAGAAAGAATGAGGTTGCCTCGGGAGAAGCGGGTTGTTCGTACACACCTCCGCGATTCTCTCGGACGCTCCAAAGCGTCTAAAACAGTGCTTATACGGATCACTGTGAAGGGTGAGAGCGAAGGTGTATCTCAGTAAAGTTCTAACCTAACCTGGCCTCGTGGAGATGCCTTCTAATGGCGCGAAGTTAGACTGCAGCGAGATAATCCCACGAGTCGATCGTGGAGGCATCGCGGCTCCCCCAATTCAGCCTCGCGGGGAGCTCCGGTAGCTTCTTTCACTTTGGGCGGGGTTATCGGAGGAGTTGCAACTGCGCAAATAAGAGGGTGCTAACCCTGGTGCGCTATGTGCAATTGCTCCAGCCCGACTCCCGCATCGCCTTCTTCCAATGAGTGATCACAAGTAGTTGGAGACAGCTGCAAGCTCTATGCGTGGACAACATTCCCCACCAGACGCCTGTAAACAGAAGAGATGCTGATTCTCTGAGTAAGAGTACAAAATCAAATACCAAGACACTCACGTAGACTTGACTAGGTCTGTTCTATTGTCCGGCCTCAGGAACAGAAGGCTGTCGGTAATTATGCCAGAACCACCACCATGGTTGGTAGAGAACTGTCAAATCGCAAGCATAATAGAGAAGGTCAGAGACACAGAGTGTATTATTCGAAGGCTCGAAATAGGGGAAAAGTACGCGTGCGCGAGAGCAAAGACGAACTGGTAACCATATTCGGACGCGGGCCGTGGGATCTACATGCCTAATTAAGCCGACAAGCAAGGACGCTAATTCTAGGCTTCGTTTTGTGCCCATCCACCTATTCATCGACATCAGCTATGGTCGCTATGCCATGGAGGTATGTGAGTGGCGTATCCGCATGATTCATCAGTATATTGATTACTGAATATCGTTAATATGAAAGGCGAAATAACTGACTTCCATGCAGCAGACACTAAGGAAAATTCTTCTAGCGATGCCAAGCGGGACAGTGTAAAGCATCCGTCTAAGACTCAGTTCGAGGTCGTTTCATTCGGGGACATTTGCGACTAGCAGAAGCGTTCCTACTGTCTGGAGTATTGTCTTGTCGGCCTTGCCGTTCTCATCGCGCCTCTTCCGGTGCGCTCCATCGGCGTCCTCTTCCCCGAACTCGTCGGCCTCGAGGACTCTCTTCTTTCCCTTATGGCCTATCCGTCTGAGCTGTCAACGATCCGGATGACCCACTCCCCTTGATCCTGGCTTCAACCTGGGCAGGCGGCGCGAGATAGAAGATTCAAGGTGCAGGTGTCCAAAGCTGAGGCAGGGACGATGCACGATAACTGCTTGGCTGCGACGGTGGCCACGAGCTAACCGAGGCGTCCAAGGGTGCTCGGCGGAGCCTGAAGGCACTTTGCATCGGAAGGTGAAGTGGCAGTTGCGAGACAAGGTAGCACCTTGTTCGGTTGTACCTGTTATGTAGGTTCTTGTGATGGTTATTCGGGACTTGGCTACACAGGGCGTCCAGTATTAAACATCAGACAAGCAGAACTCATCTCGATTGTGTAGGAAAGTCATTGGAGGCACGCGACGCAACGCTCCTAGTGCTCGGGCAGTAGAGAGACACGTCAGCGAACAGAGAGATGTTGACCTCGCTCGTCGCAACCACCGAAGAGGCCGTCTTTCTCTGCCTTGGGGTCGACACGATGGGCGTCGAGCCGCTCGGGCGCTCCAGCGGTCCAACGTCCAACTCATGTGCGTATACAGCCAATCGGCTGTTGGTCTCGAGAAACGCCCTGTGTACAATATCGCGGATCTCTGGGAGGTACAGTACGATGTGTGCGAGGGTGTCGTAGTTCCTTTGAGCCAGTGGTTGAGCCTCGGCTAAGTCATCCAGGCGGTCTCGGTTCCGGACCACTCGCCCCCAAGTAAGTTATCGCTGATTGCAGTAAGGGGTTCAAAGTAAGCGGAGTTTAAATTTTACTGTAGAGACACATTCTGGAATCTGCAGAGGGGCTCAAACTCCCACGCCTACAACAGACCCGCCGTAAAGTTGAAGTAGAGCATCCTCTCAATCCGGAATACTTTCTTCCCGACTCGCAGGAAACGCTTAGCATGCATCTTCTCCAAGGCCCTTCCCCGCCGCCTTGTTGCCCGCGTTCTAGCACATGTATCCGACGTCGAAGCTTGTAGCTCTCGAGGTCACAGGACAACAAGGGACGACAACAGAGTTTGTGAAGCTATGCCAAAACTGAACGAGCAGATAACACGGACTGAGAACATGCCATAACAGCACGAGAATCCTGTTTCCTAAGTATCATTACTAATAGCCTTTCATACCTCAAAGCGCGAGTTTCCGACTCCTATCCTGCTTCAACATAGTTTCGCTCACGTCTTAGTGAGGTCGAGTCGCATTCCTGAGAGCCAGGCTTTCGGTTCCAGTGCTTTCAGCCTCCTCAGTCTTCGGCGAAACACTATGCCGAAATGACCGGTGGTAGCAGTCAGAACACGAATACCGACGGACGACCGGACAAGCTGCTCATAAAGTGTGCGAGTGGTGACCTACCCTCATTGCAGCTCGCCGAGTCCCTGTTTCCCCCACGTTCACTATGTTGGCGCACTCAGGCCAACCTCCTGTCCAAGCCTACTGGCCATAGTAATCGTCACCCTGTTTGTACCTGACAGTACAGTACTTATACCTTCGTCTTTCAGTGCCGCGAGTGACTATATCACTGTAGCCGCCACGTGCAAGTACATCCATTGCTTCCCACTGTGTTGCTCATGCAAAACCTGTCACCCAGGCCTCATCATCTACGAGTTTTCGATTACAATCGTCGGAGAGATTAACGCTGTCTGGAAAAGACCTATCACCGCATCCTCCATACTCCTAGGCTCGGTACGATGGTGTTTGCTCCTCAAAGCCATGCTACAACTTGCGCTAGCAACTTCGAATGTAAGCTTTGATGTCTTTGACTATGTATAATCTACAACAATACTTCTTACAGGTGTAAGTGCAGTTCGTCTAAGACCCATAAGTGTCGGGTGGCTTACAGAACCTAACACGCAGCTGCCCACAGTCTGAGATCCTGAGCTGGATATTCAGCCTTATTGGATACCTCCAGATAGCACGTATGCCTCACACAGTCTTCTCAAGTCAAAAGTGCCCACTAACCTCGTAGATCAGTCTTTTCCGCCCTGCGCGTGTTCGCAATCTGGAATAGGAGCTATGTCTGGTCGCTGATGGTGTTCACACTGAGCATGGTGCCATTTGCGACAAATCTAGTGCGTGTCGCGTCTGCTCGAATCCCTCATATACTCCGGCCGATGCTTCTATGCAGTATGCCGCGGTGGAGGCGGAGTACACATCTATTCAAGTCTTGGACCGGCTCATTGGAGTGACATGCATTCAAGAGCCCCTGTTCTCCGCGCAAACACATCGCATGTGGGTGCACATATCTTACCCTCGCACTTCTGAAATATTGAACTTCGCGGTATAGAGGTACGCTCCGCGGTCAGAGTATTCTAACATGCCGGAGACACTGACTCAAACGCCCCCTGCTCGCAGTCACATCCACCACACGCGGCTTACTCGTCCTCGCCGACACTATCGTGCTCGTCTTGACCTGGATTAAAACATTCAGACACTGGAAGAATGCTCGCCACCTCAAGATGAGGTCATCAGTGACGACGTGTTTGCTGCGCGGTGGTCAGTAGTCCTTTGCGCGCCTCCGCATTTGCTATCACTGATGCCCAGCTGCCTACACAGGAACTCTGTATTTCATGTAAGTGCAGCTCGTAAGTAGCTCTACATGGAGTGGCTCATGGCAGACGATAATGAATACAGAGCTCTGCTAGCGATAAATATAGCCCAGCTACTGACCTATGGCTCCTCCGGGGTATGTCGCCTACATAAGCACACGAGCCGTAGCTGACATTGAATTCAGGCCCCATCATTTCTAAACATGTTTATTACGACTCTGGTGCGCATCGTACGTTCTGTTTACCCTAGTTGCACTCATGGACTGGCCATGCAGCCCCCGGTGCTCATTGGCCGCTTCATGATCAATCTTCGGACGGCTGGCTCGGAAACGGGGCCGGACTACTCTGTAAGCGAAGGACAGTCGGCGCTACAGTTCAGAAAGCCAACAATTCAACTGGGCAATATTGGAGAGACGCTGCAGGGTGCCTGGAGCGACGAATCCTGTGACGAAGAGAATGACCTCGCTGAAGTGGATGAGGGGGAACGTCGTGAAACTACCAGTGCTGAAGTATGAACCGTCGCCGAAGATCTCTGGGGCACACACTAGTGTTTTAAGCGGACAGCGGGGTCTGTAACTTATGCGAGCAGGAAATTCGAAGGCTACGATATCGACTAATCCCGAGTGCAGGCTTTGAGCGCTTGAGCCTTGGCCTGTATATCACTCATACCGTTGATGGTACAACGCTTAGCTTAGGAAATACAACTCGACCATGTACGGGAGGCTCTTAGGCCATTCAAGTACTGTTGGTACGCACACTGTACTTGTTCGTAACATTGTTTGTGTTTTCTGTATTCATGGAGTCTGCGCGCGCTGTGTTTGGCGCGTATCTCATGCCGAAAACGAGCTTCACCATCTCTCGAGTTCATTGAACCCTTATTCTTGTCCATCATCAACCTTCATACCACCTCTTTGTGCCACAATCGGAGAAATTTTCATTACGCTCTTAGTTTAAGAAAAACATGTCCGTAGGCAGGTCGGGGGATTGAAATGCCTAATTAAGCCATGCAATAAGGACGCGATATGGTTCTGGGCTTTATTCTATGCTCGATCCATCTACTCGTTAGCTATGACGAGACAGTGTGAAGTATTCTCCTTGGCACACATAACATTCTCGTGAGTTGACATGAAAGTGGTTTCAATCTCACTTTGAGATAGTTTTATGCAGGACAACTCACACTCACTTACACGAGGTCTTAATACAACTTTAAAGTTGGTGACGCACGGCTTCTCTCTTGTAACCGCGTTTACATCCTTTGTTCCTTCACCGAGAACCACTCCCTGGACAACTCTCATGGCTAATGCTCCTGATGTATTTGCGCAAGAGCTCGACCACTATTGCCTTGGGCGCGCTTTGTGGTCACCTGAACCTCTTCATGGCGACATCTACATTGGTGATGTAGGGTATATAGACGAGGATGGCGCCTTCCACAGGCTTTTCAATGTCACCGTAGATCAAGATCACCCAGTCAATGGTGGCGGCGTCCCGTCCAACTTCGAGCCATTATTGCTCAATCAGCGGCTGCTAACGGTCAGGCCCAACTATTTCCCAGCCCAGTCATTTGTAAGCAGGAGCGTGAAGAGTCATAGTGTCGGAGGATCTGCGAATGTGTAGGTGGCCATTCGTCTTTCAAAGCGTCGTCTTCGGACCCTCCACAGACAGAGCGGAACTGGCGCAGGTGCGGGGCTCGGATACAAGTTCGAATGCTCAAGCTCTCAAGGCGGTATGCTGATCATACATGATCAAGCCACGAAGACCATAGTACAGCGATCAGCCAAGATCACGCACTATATCGCGCGAAATCATGGCAGCTGGTGCGACTTCGCAACTGATCCGGATAAGTACGGCGTTCAATGTCAACCGGAAGATATCATCATGGTTCGCGGAACACTCAAGACGTCTGCGTGGACGGTCGCCGCATACCGGGGAAATATGAAACAGACACACAGCTTTTCGTTTAACTGTCAACTTGGATCCGTCGTCGAGGCAACCGTCGAGGCCACGTCTTCGGAGGAAAGGCACATGCCAAATGTGCAGTATCGCACGGGACCTCGCCGCCAGCCTTCATCTGTAAGCTCATCTTCCGAGGCTTCGGCAGTATCATCTCGTAAAGCCTACAAGTACGAGCTGCCGGAGTTGAAGACAGTGTCGACCACGTACTGGGAAAGGAGACCTGAAGAGGCGAACGACCAGTCGGTCTTCCTAAGCTATTACAAGATTAAGCGACGCCCTATACTCCCTAAGAGAATCATCGCGAACGCCGGGCCGAGCCAGCTTCCACCTCATGACGACCCAGCGCCCTCTAAAGTCGCGGGTAGTACAGGGCGATCGGACGAATCATCTGCAGAGGTGCGTTCCCGGTGATATACGACAATGAGTCCAGAATGATTAATTCAAGCCAACAGCTACGCTTGGCCGTCGATCTTCTCCTTGACTACATTCTCGAGGTACGTAAACTAACATTGCTCGGCTACTTGCTAACAGTTCGCTACAGCACTCAGACGCGGAATTTGCCATCGCCAGCGATGGCGATATCTCCGATCTCTTCGAGGTACGCAGCTGGTTCTTGATCTTAGTGAATCATCTCACACTAATGCTTTCTGAGGGTCGGACCATACCAGAGGATCTCTATGGGTGGCTAACCGAGATTAGGCCTCGGATCGACGTGGATGCTGAGAACAGTCAGCGATTCGCTCAGCCATCTGTGCGACCTCTAATCTTCCCATGCAGTTGGGACACTTTCCGACCCAACAATACATACCAGCACATACAACCGCTTCCAACAGTCCAGTACAACTCATGGATCGATAAGCGAACAGTCTTCTCATGAGATTTACGAACACGACAATGCACTCCAAGTAGCTGCATTTTTCAAGTCCCAATTTCACGCACTCTGGCAACAGGCGAACAGCCACATTGGAAGTCGATATGCGCAAGGCAAGCACGATCTGACCTACCGTAAGTTCAGCCGCCCCCAGAGTCTCGCTCTTGTTCACGGTGCCCCACAATCCAGGTTACTGCATTGCACTGGCCGAATACCGAGATGGCACCCCGAACGTTTCCCCGGAGAGGGTTAACTTTCACGTTCAACTAGGACCGCCTGATCTCGAGATCTGTTGCCAGCACGAAGTAACACTCCATCTAAATATAGTTAAGGGCATGTTCTCTCCGGACCATTACAACGCTCCCAGCTCCTCGCATTCTCGCAGGTAACATCCTCGCCAGATTTCACCGCATATCAGGCTGACTAATGGGCGTATCTAGCATGTCAGCTATAGAAGAAATATCCGATACGCGAGTGACGTTCAGCGTACCATTCTACATGACCTCTGCGGCCCCTGTCGTGGTCGGATCTGTTCAAGACTTTGGAGATGAACATCTTATTATACAGCTCCATCTTGACCTCGAAAGTTGGTTGTTTCGTGCCTCAGAGTTAGACTCTTCTCTGACAGGAATATACGCAGATGCTAAGTTGATTGGAGTTTCTCCCCGTGTCGAAAGGAGAAGAGAGGCCTTAGAGGTCTACTTACAAGACTACCTCCACTTCCTGGGGCGCGCGGGGCACGATACGCTTTTTTACCCCCCTTTATCGCCAGACGAAAGCCTGCCGGCGCCCATTGACTTCTCGCGATCTTCGCTTGGATTGCCGGGCGTTACACACGTACAGAACGTACCAGTAGAGGAGATCAACCGCTTCCTCTCAATCGCCTGGCTCATAGCTTCCACAACGTCGAGTACGGCAGATGGTGCCGTTCTTCCTCTTGCGGAGTGCCGAGGGTCGTGGTCGTCCGGCAATGAAGAGGTGCACTTCCGCTTGGTGTTTGGCCCTCCGCAAATCGCAGCGCTATGCGACAGGGAGGTCGTTATATGCTTCGACCTGAAGGAGGCACTTCTCTACAAGACTGAAGATCTCGAGAGGTATGTCCACAGTGGCCGTCCACATTCTGCCTTCGATTAACATCACCAACAGCTCTCCGTTCAGAGTCTTCTCCGACTGGAGAATTGCGATACTGATGAATGTGGAGCGTAGTGAAGAGGATAGCTTTGTGGTGGAATACCATCTGGACCGTCTAAGTAAGTTTCAGCATTTAATTTCAGTAAGCTCTTGGTTTACGGATGTCTTATTTAGGCAGCTATTTCATGCCTCAATTCTCGCAGTTAGGGAATTTCTCGAAGCTGAACGAAGACGCTGTTGGCTATGGGGATCGGGTCATCGACTTCATTTCAGGAGAGTATCTGTACATCCTGGAGAGTACAAGCGGGCTCGTGGTGTACCATCGCGATTCCCGCTCGCCCGGCGCGTCGCTTCAAACGCCTGATTTCGACACCAGCCATGTTCGCCTTCGACAAACCGCCATTGCAGGGCAAGGTTCCTCCTCCGCTGACGCTGTTACCTGGACAGAATTGTCTCAGAACGTCGACATGCACGGTTTTGACATGGTCATTGCGTTGCCACAGACAGCTATTAACGACCATTTCCGCTCGCAGTGGCAGCAAGCGCAAGCGCGCGCCGCCGGCGACCGGCTGCTTGCAGAGTGGCGGTATCAAGATCTCTTCAGCTCAGCGTTCGGGCCACTGACGATACGACTACTTGACGGCGGGAAGGCTCTTCTACTTGTAAACATCATTGAAGGTGGTTTGAAGACCGTCCGAAGCGGGGCTCGGCCTGCTGGGTATACCGGTTCATCGTCCATCAATAATGAAAGGGCTGAGTGTTGATACACAGTGATCTTGACTCTTTCAAATTTGCGGATTGGATGATTGCATTCGATCTCAATCTGGAGCTATGCGACCACACTGCCATACTCGGCGTTAGCCCCGGATGGCGCGAAAGTTTCATCAGGTCCCGTTTCTCCAGCTACGCAAGTGGGGATCTGATGCATCTCTACCTGGATCTGCAGCGTACGCGCATCTTCGCTAGTATCTGAGTGCTTATTGGTGAAATTGAACTTATCAGATGTCGACTTCAACCTCATGCATTCTCGCTTCAAGGGTCTGAACGACCCGCGCTTAATCGACAAGGCTCAAGCCACCGTTGTTTGCCTCCGCGACTACCTCAAGCAACTCGCTTCCCGGGGTCGTCATGTACTCAAAACTATCCCCGTCTGTAGACCTTCCTCTGATACGCACTCGTCCAACGTCACTAGCGTAACGTTCCGCGTCAGCTCAGAGCAGCGTCCGAGCGTCGAGCAGTCCCCCGCATTCGAACCAGCCGTTCTCATCCTCTGCATGAACGGCAATCGGCCCTTGCCCAGCCCCCTACCACAGCATTGGGGCAGATGGATCACGAATGAGTTCTCACCATCTCGTGGTACACTTGCTCTCTCGGCTGACAGCTTCCTGCGCGGGAGACTTCTGCCCCTCCTGTCGGAAGTGAATGCGATAACACGAATCGAGCCTATCTTCTCCGAGTTCCACAAGACGACGTGGAAGCTGCACCTCACCACTTGGGCGAAGAACCCCGAGCACGAACTGGGTGATTGTTCATTTGTCCCTTGTCCACATGCCGAGGCCGATGGGGTGCTGCGGTACCGTTGGAAGTTTGGTCGAAAGTTCAGCACCGACTGCGACGATGCACATACTCTCTGCTGTAGGCCTTATGGTACTATTTTCAATCGTGTTACTCACCGCATCTGCACAGGTCTCACTGAGAATTATCTCGAATTCTTTACGGCTTCCGGCGGCAGCTTGGACATGGTCTTACGTGGGTCAATATTCCTCGAACTCGCTACGAACAACTGGAGGTACGTCATTTTTCATTCATTTACTCTCATGTGCTGACGGACCAAAGCTCAAAGGCACATGCTCGTTGGAAGACCACGCTAAGGATCTCCTTTGAGGGCGGCGGCCTGCGTTTCATGATGGCTGCGTCTCCCATAACATTCACGCACGCTGAATCCGCCGGACGTCCTTACTCGTCGACCCCATTGAATCCGCAGACACTGCTTCGCAATGTGTTGCCGGGGTCCGTGGAGCTCCAGAATGCGGCAGAGTGCATCGGGGAGCTGGAGGCGGCATCCGTCGCGAGTAGTTTGGACCAAGATGCTTGCGTTCTCGGCAACCCGACTTTCAATGCCAAAGGCGATCTCCTTTTCCAGATTCACACACAACTTCATGTTCCGCCATCAGCTATCCGTGTACAAGCTCCTTCCCTAGCCTCTACCATTCATGGAAGTCACGTTGACGCACCACCAAAGCGTGCCGTTGGTGAAGGTGAGAAGCAAATCTCGTGCTCTGCACCTTCTGATATGGATGTCTGCAGAGCACCGAACGCCCGTACATCAAACCGAGCCACGACAACAGCGCATGAAAAGGGGCGATATCTCCCAAAGGTATCACGGGGATGAAGATGATGCCTCGGAGAAGTCCCCCTTTTCGGCTCTCTTGAGCCCTACTCCAGTTAGCGGCATGGTATTCGACAGCTTGCATACCCCCGCGACGTCACTGGCATCCTCGAACCCTAAGTCTGCAGGGCCAACGATGCCATTTTCGAACCTTCTCGCGCCGTCTATTATTACCAGCAGCTCCAGGTCCGTCGCACCGAAGGCAACGAACGATGTACTGTCTCCGGCTAGGCCAGCGTACGAGAGTCTTTCAAACAAGAGTGAGTGAGTATGTGTACTGTTATGGCGGTCGGTGGCTTACTTCTGGGGCTACTTCGCCAGTAGCGGCATCTCAATCTGTGTCCACGGTAACAACCAGTAGCACCAGCAAAAATGCGGGGACATCTGCACGTCGACGTCTGTCGCCGTCACCTCCTCCTTTGGTCATACCGACCCAACCACTCTGGAGAAAGGCCGCATCTCGTCGAGACAGCACTACGACCTCAAGCACGGGGAAGCGGGAATAGTGCTAATTTGAGTTTTGAGCGTTGTTTGTACGCCATCCTGGTGGCCAAAGTTAGTGGTAGCGGTATGATGTTAGCTGCATATGGTACAAGGGATAGTTCGGGTATCGTACGATACCGCCGATTCATTGCTTGGATGTGAATGATCTGTCAGTACTTCAGCCTCTAACCATGCGCCCCTATGTTGCTATTGCACGAAGTCTTGAATAGTAGGCATGCGTGGTTAATTGTGGCGACGGAGCAGTGTCAGGGCGCGCTCCCTCACGAGAGAAATTTGGAACTTTTTTGTTACAAAAAATATGCGAAAACAGCCTGAAAAAATAAGTAAGAAAATGCCATATTTTTCCT